ACCTGAAAATGACTCTGTCTTTGATCATGAAAACAAATTCTTTATCAAGTCAGGAAACATCAAATATCACAAAATTGAAGTGAATCGCGAACGAACCTCATACCTCATAACAATGGAGTCTTCGGGGAGTTTCGACGTTTTGGTGAAATACGATAGCAAGCCAACAACGAATGATTTTGATGCGAATTTCACTGTCCCAGACTACTCTTCATGCACGAGAAACTTTAGAATCGATGGGGATGATGAAGAGTATAACTGCAGCCGTCATCCAAATCAACTGCTTTTGACAAATGCAGTAATACAAAAACCTGGAGTTTATTTTGTAGGGATCCTTTATACCCAACACTCTTCCCCTGGTAGCAATTCCCGTCGTATGCGGAGGTCTTGTTTTAGCACCAACAGGCAAAAACGGTCATGTGTCGAGACAAAAGACCCTCCACCCCCTCTGGGAGTTTTATCAGCTTATGATCCGCGAGTTGGCGTGAACTACACACTTGTCTCTGATGAACTCAGCTGCCGATTTTGGTCACATAAAGAACAGAAATGGCTAACGGAGGGCTGCAAGGTATGCTGCTTAAATTTATTTCAGATAAAGAGGCTTGCGGTGTGATTAAATTTAGATTGGCCCAACAACGATGCCGAGCATTAAACAGTTAGAAAAATTCATCAACGTTTTATTCGTCAAAACTTTGGAAAAAGTATGCCGAGGACAAATAAATCTAACTCTCACGCTACTCTCAGTCCTAATCTTCTTCGGTAGTTTGGTATTCGGCTGGTGCTGAGGTGCAACATGGTAAAGTGTTATTCAAAAATGTCCCACCCAAATAAGATTAGAGAGACTCAACCAAACTTATGTACACTTGAAATTACTAAATTGTTTTGATCAGAGTCAAGCGAGTTAAATGTTTATGCAAAGGTCGCAATTGGTTGCACTGTGGCAATGGAATGCTTTATAATTGATTAGAATTTCTGATACCAATCATAAAACGTAGTAAAGAAAAAAAGAAGCAATTTTGGATTACTCTATACTCTCAACCGATGACCCTCTGATGTCTTTGTTAAAGTAACCATAATCACTAAAATTGTTATTCCTTCACGCCCCAGGTCGGACCTCTTTCCAATAAGCATCGTCTTCGTTGTCTCTGTAACCACCTTACATCGTTCGGTGGAGGCCTTTTAGTAGCACCCAACCCAATTGACATGGATACCGTTTTTAAAGAGCTCAGCCGCCTTGACGAAACTGATAACTTTAGCGTCCTGCTTGCGATCATTCTTACGTTCATGTTGTATTGTATCGCCTTCGTCTTCGCCAAGAGGGCGGATAGAAGAGATCTCGCTAAGGTAAGGATTTAATCAGTAGCTTTTTCTTCAAAATCCTCCCCTTTTTTACAGAATTTCAACACCTTAAGATAGGAGACAACCACAATTTCCCATTTGCACTAAAACTTCATTCGAATCTCGGTCTCAAAGTCAAGCTTTAAGCTCTGCTAATTGGGGAGACAATATGTAGGTAAGAAACAGACCTATTTATACAACTACAACTCAAAAAGAGAAGACCTGAATATGGATATAACTTTTATGACTCGATCTGCAATTAAAAATCTATGGGATTGTGAAAACTTGATAATTAGATTCTAGAAGAGGAATTAATGAGTGGCTGAAACTTAAACTAACTGGCAAGCTCCTTAAGGTCCTGTTTTCTAATGTTCTTCTTGATACTACTCAAGGTTGGTGGGGACGTTGTCTGTCCTTATGTCTAAACGAATTTGCAGAGATTTTGCCAAGCAATGTTAGCAAAGAAGATTTCTTTTGAGGAGAAAAAAATAATTTTCGCTGTATAGAACTTCATGAAAAGGCTGTGCAAGCCGATCTGTCCTTCCTACCGACGAGAAACTAATACCCTCCTGCTTCACTTAATTGATTGTTGTCTATTAGAGTTAAATTGTTGATGTTCTTTGATAGCGCACTGTCAAATTAAGTAGTACAGTAAAGCAACACTGACAGGGGTTAGCCTACGATTGGAGATAAGATAAGAAAAGATAAGAATTACTTTAATGGTAGATGGTATGGGTTTCATCTATTTCTAACTCACGTGAATATAGATTGTTCTCCACTTCCCAAAAAACTTTGAGACAGCACGTACATTTGTAGTCGGGCAGTGTTATTGTGTTCAAGAGGAAAATAAGACTTTACCAATCCATTCTTTCTTTTTTTAGCATGGGTCCAGGATTCTGTTGGAAACAGAGGAGTCCCCTCTCGTCCACCAATATGAGCTCACAATCAGTACAGGTGTGTGGTCAGATAGTGGTACAACAGCCGAAGTTACCATGGTGTTTTACGGTAGCCATGGCAACAGTAGACCAATTACTGTGCGTGGGGATCTTCATCCTTCTCGGTTGCTACTTTCCCGCGGTAGTGTCAACAAGTATCTTGTCTCACTTCCGGGATCCCTTGGAACATTAAGCCACGCTTATGTTTGGCATGACAATTCCGGAGAAAGTCCTTCTTGGTTCCTGGACTACATTGTTGTTAAAGAACAAGAAACGAGTCAAAAATGGAAATTTTTATGCAATCAGTGGTTTTCTCCCGATAAGGACGATGGAAAAATTGCTAGAAAGTTGTTGGTCGAAACCACTAACTCATTTCCTGAATTTCAAGAGGCATTTCGCGCACGCCTGTCTGGTACGCTGTATGAAAAACATTTATGGATGTCTTTAGTTACTAAACGGCCGGGAAATTCATTTACACGCACTCAACGCGTCACGTGTTGTTTGTCCGTCATATTCAACGCCATGCTGGCCAATGCAATGTTTTTTAACTTGGGCGGTGAACCAACGGAGAGTACAATCAAACTTGGTCCATTAAAGATTTCGATGAAGCAAATCATAATAACGATTCAAAGCTGCTTGATAATAGCTCCCATCAATTTCCTCATTGTTGCCCTCTTCAAAAACTCCAGGTCAAAACTCGACAAGTACTGTTGCAATCAGTCTGGTGAAAAGGAAGATCAAGATTCCGTGGAAGTGGATGACGATGGAAACAAGCCCCTGCACCATATTTTTCTTTACGTTGCTTGGTTTCTTTGTTTGGCCACTGCCATAACCTCTGCCACAGTCGTGTTCTTCTACAGTCTTATGTGGGGTAAAGAGACGGCTGATAATTGGCTTTCATCAATCCTGATGTCCATAACAATGGACATCCTTGCGGTTCAACCTGTGCGTCTTGTTATGCTAGCCGCTGCCGCCGCCATGATAATAACCAAAGCAAATAGAACAAAAGCGAAGCTCTCGTCTAAGAAAAGGTAGCCGTAGAATCCCCAATATACCAATAAACCTCTATACGCGCCTTGTCTCTACCATAAGAGCCTGGTATAATGCTATCAGTGTAAGCTTTATGAGGTCCTAAGACAATGTTACTTCTTTTCTGTTTTTATAAGTTCTTGTACAAAAATGAACTTGGGTTCATTTAAAGCGAAATAGCAGTACGACTACAAAGCTGTCGTTCCCAATACAAGGACACTGAATTCTTGCACAATCAAGAGCAGAACTAAGACAATGCTCACTTACTTTGATAAATTTTTCGCGTCTTTTAAGCCGTTGATCCATTGGTTCATGCTCAAATTTAATTTGTTGTGATTTGCTCATACTAGTTTTTCTCTCAATCTGGTTTCAGGCCAACACGATCGAAAACCCTTCTTCCTTGATCTTTGAAAAATATTATACCGAGGGGTCATCAAAAATTTCTAACTTATTATTATATTGCAGTTGGCAGTTGGCAGTGGAGGCCGATGAACCACCTGACATTTTTAGGGGAGCCTTGCCGGATGCCACGCAATTGGAATGTTACAAAAAGTACAGAGTCAATGAGAAGAAAACCATGTCAGCATTCAAATCTTTGATTTCCTTTGTTTCATTTTTTTTGATACTTGGTATTGTGTGTTATGGAAACCAAGATTATCACCAATATCAGATAGGTAGAGAAGTCAAGGCCCTTTTACCACGAAGTGAAAAGGCAAGTTATTCTTAAAATTATGATTTGACATATTTTAATCATGCTTGACCTGTTGATATCTATGTCGGAATTTACAGTTTTAATGCGACAGAGCTTAAACTTTTGAAACACTGTATGGAGCACATTAATTCCTGAGGCCTAAATTTCAAATTCATCTGAAAATATCACGTAGAAATCGTTGTCAAGAAAAGACACTGACTACGAAATATGAAAAATATTTTGCATCGCAGAAAAGACTTTAGTTGGGTACTTCTGTTATTAAATAAGGAACTCAGCAATCTTATGATCCTAGTTCCCTCGAAACTGATTTAGTTAAGAACCTCTGTGATCTGTGGGACCGTCTATCAAAAAAATTACGCATTTAGATAAGAAGGATCTTGTAATTATGATGAGCAATTGTGAATTTGCGTTTAGGTAATGGAAGTTTTAAATGCCATATATATATGTTATTCACCAGACGAGAGGTCCGTATTGGAAAAAACTGTGCCCGAGGTCTTGGATACGGCCTCGGGCGGTACACGAGACAGAGGGCACAGTTTTTCCCAATACGGACCGACCGTGGCTGGTGAATAACATTTTTATTTTTTTTTTAAACCTAACGAATGGTTCTGAAAAGAACCTGAATGATAAAGGGCTGTAATTACGGCAAGATTCTCCATAAACGGAACAATTTATGAGCGAGTAGATGTTATATATATAGAGGTTTCATCAAAACATATTTATTTGTGTAATGATATTAAAAGGTGATTTAAAAGGCTCCCAAGAAAACTTCGAAACATTTTTTCGGATACCGCCCGCTGTGAGCGGACCGGATGGGGAGAATACTGCCCGCTCTCGTAAACAGTCAGATTGCAGGATTTGTAAAATACCGCCCGCTCACGAACTGAGAAAAAAATAAAGTAATATATTCACAGTTTACCAGTTTACAGTTACATGTTAATCAATAACACTTTATTGGGGGGGGGGATATTTTTAGGTACATGAGGCGTTGGGATTGTGGACGTGGTTGATTAACATTTATGCTCCTGCTATGTACACATCCCATTGGTACAACGGCGATAAGGACAGCAACGAGATGTACATCAGTGACATGAGCTCTGTTTTGATTGGCATGCCAAGGATCAGACAACTGAGGATCGTAAGAGGTAAGCGTGGTGTAAAATATTATTTTTCTACTGCCCCACGTTACTTTCCACTGCTCATTTGTCAATCAAGCCAGCTATTTCAAGGACAACGAGTTACAGTTTTGGTTTTGTTCGTGTTCTTCGAGTTTTTTTAACTTTGGTAGTTTAGTTTTGTTACTCAGTTAGCTTTCCACACATCTTTTCATTTATCGATGTTTTTTGTGCCTAGGCTTCGGCACCAAAGTGTATAGGGCTATAAGCTTTCCTTTCCAGGATAAATATCACATGGCAATGGTGATATTAAAACAAGGCACCTTCTTTCTGCTAAGGGCCCTACATTTGAAAAATAGAAAATAATGTGGAGGAAGCCAAAGTGCTGGAAATTTGGGGTTGGGATCTACGTTGTTACTTCTTAGTTTTCGAAGGGTTCAACCCTAGAATCTAAGTTTGTTTTCAACGAAAATTTGCCCTTAATATCCTCATTAAAAATAACAATATCAAGGCCTTCAAAAATATGCGCTGTTTCACGGGTTCAACGATCGTTTTTCAGGTTATTGAAAGGAGGATTTCAATCCATGCTTTTTTTGTTATTGCTTTTAGATAATTATTGCGGTCATGATTAGCGGCAGCAAAAAATAAAATCGCAGATTCCGTTTGGTCAACGTTAGCATGTTATTGAAAGGCGCATGAAAGTAACTCAGGCAAGTTTGGATTGCTCTGATACAAAATTTGGGGCTTTAAGAGGAACATGTTTGTCAAAACCCGTGATGAGGATTATTTTTTGCATTTGCTCTCCTATAAGCGTTGAATTTACTTCTGTTTGTGCCTAATGTAGTAACATTGGTGCATGTTTTGATCGACAGACTCTTGTCCAAAGATACTCGTGGAAATCTATAACGTTACTGCAGTTTGCTATCCTAACTATGCCATTTGCTGCGAAGATAAGACACCAATGTACCTCCCGAAATGGAAACTTCCTCCAACTGACGTTTCACGTTCTTCGTTCGATATATTATGTCCAAAGCCTTGGCGGTATCATACCTCAGAAGAAATAAATAATTTACCGAAAGTAACCCCTCGAGGAACATATGGAGGAGGTGGTTATGTTGCCGATCTAGGCTACGACTTGCAAACAGCAAGAAACGTTATGAAGAACTTAAATGAGAACAGCTGGATCGATCGGCGAACTCGAGCTGTCGTCTTGGAATTTAACATTTTCAACAGTAACATGAACATCCTCGTGGTCGCACAGTACTTCTTCGAATTCCTGCCAACAGGCGGTGTTTTCAAGTACGTAAGTGTGCAAATGTTGAACTTGTATGGAACAGAGACTGGTTCAGTGCAGCTTGTCTTACTTTGTCGTCTTCTTCTCCTGATCATGATCATCGCCTTCAGTGTAATTCAAGTGGTCAAAATGTACCGTCGAAGAAAGTTATACTTCAAAAACATTTGGAACTGGCTTATTCTTGCTCTCATCATTACTTCTATAACATCTGTAGTTCTTCACATCATTCGAGAGAAGGCCATGGAAGACACCATAAAGGAACTTCAGAGGAACATTTATGCCATGGTCGGCTTCCACAAACCTTTACGTTTGATGCACTTTGAAACTGCTGCTCTGTCCATCGTCATCTTTCTGGCGACAGTTAAGCTGCTGAGACTCCTACGCTTTAGCAAGCAAACAGTATTTCTGTCGATAACAGTTCGATTTGCTGGAAAATATTTGTTTTCCTTCTCGTTCGTTTTCATTGTCATTTTCTGTTCGTTTGCCATGTCTGGTATGATAGCATTTGGATCTGTTGTGGAGTCCTATTCCAGTTTCCCACGTGCTTGTGTGGCTCAGTTTGAATTCCTACTCGGAAAGGCTGTGCCCACTTTTCAAATGGCAAAAGTAAACCCTTTTCTTTCCTTTTTGTTTTCCATCCTTTACATTTGCTCTATGACTCTCTTTTTCCTCAATCTTATCATCGTCATTTTGAACTGTGCTTTGGAGGAGGTTAAGGATAATCTAGATTCTGTGGTAGATGAGCTCGACTTGGCCGAATTTATGATAAGTTATTTATTCCGAGGCATTTCTAATCTATTTGGCTGGAAAAAACCCAAGAAACTTCACTGCGAAAGAACGACCTTTGAAGACGGGTGCGCCTATGTTAAGAAATGTCTTACAGAGATCGATCATAGACTGTTCGTATTGTCAGAGGACACCTTTCCAGCAGAACTTTTGCAGAAAGTTCGAATGGTGTATACATCTCCTTGCCAAACACAGTCTAAGTTGGTTAACAGTGAACCAGGTTCTGACAGCAAAACACCGTCCTCTCACCAAGATGGGAGGCAAGAAGAAACTCTTGACAATCCCGAAAGAGAAGTTGTAGTGGAAGAGGACTGCATTCCTTCGAATTTCAAAATGAAAGAAATGATACAGGATTGCAAACAAATGGTAAATCGACCAACCTCGCCTTCGCAGATATATTTGGAACCTAAATATGAAGAGACCGCCCTTTAAATGTGCAAACACCTGTTGAACTTAACAAAAAATCTCTGCGAAAATTATCTGGATCATGTTGAAATATATAAATTTCTGTGTCATTTAGTTTTGAAAGTAATGTTCTTTTGAAGCAGGAGAGCGACTTGCCTCTCCATTCCTAGTAAAACAAAAATCAAGTTAAATTTAGGCCGTAAATAAGTGCTTTTTGTTGGAAACAGCTGAAATTATGATTTTTTTTTAGCTCCAATGCAATTCTCTCCCCAGTGATACAGTGAGTAGGTGTCATTTTCATAGTTTTGGGGTGGTTCTAAGGGCATCAATTGATTTTTATCGGCTTTTAATTAGTTGAAAAGAAAAATTATTGTATTTATGATGTAGCAGCTTCGGCACGAACGAGAGGCACGAGGCGCAGAGAGAAAGTAGAACGTGTAATAACGGACGGAAAGATTATCCTTCTACCATCACTCGAAAACAAGTACGAACACGGGTAGCCCATCCTCGATGAACGAGTTCAACTGTACCAAATTGTTACAGCCTGCATTGCTGGCGGTTTTGTATGCGCTTTGAAGCGTCAAGTGGCGGAGCCATAGAAAAGAGTGGCGAGGCCGAGCCGGAGAGGTTTGTCATTAGTTAATTCAGAAAGGGAAAGCGGTTTCTCCCTAATGTAACACAGCAAATAAAGGTTGACAAACAAAATGACCAACCATCGTATTTTTTGGCAGATAATGGAGTTACGCTATTGGTGGGAACATGATAATGAGAACAACAAGAATAAATAATTTGAATGAAAAGCCTTCGTTGATACTGTGGGGTAGAGTGCGATTCAAAAGTTACGTATTTGTTCTAAAGTTTTGCAGCTTTCCGAACTGCCTAGATGTAAGGAAAAACCGCAAGCTATCATATGCTGCTTAGAATGATTGTGGAGATTTTTTTTTTCCTTGAGCGCGGTCGTCTACGAAAGGTTATCAAAGTTGCATTTAAGGTGATTCCTCGGGAGAGAAAATTTCCAAATCGTTTGGTCGGAAAAAAGAAAGCATTAAGGTGATTCCTCAGTATTGCATTGTACTTAAAATTCACGTTATCAGGTGAACAAGTTATCGAACAATTTTTTTAAACATTTAAGGAAATTTTTAAAAAATTGTTCGATAACTTTTTTTTCTGAGGAATCACCCTAAGTGCCACTTTGATAACCTTTCGTAGTCGACCGCGCTCAAGCAAAATAAACCTCGACCAAACCAGCTGATCACGGTACCAATTCCGTGAAACAAACACATTTCTCTAGTCTTGCTTTTGTATGAGAGCTGACAACATTTATTCAGTCCGCCTCATAAGACTAGAAAGCTTGAGGACTACTAATTTACTAGTTTTTAACTATTGTGCCACCCTCATAAAGACATCACTTAATTACTTACTATGTCGGCACCTTGCTCTATCATTTGAAGTCGAAGTTTATCTCTACTCAGCTAAATTTACATGACATAACTGTTATCATCACAAACAGGTGCTTCAGTCCATGGCGCCAACGCTAGTAACTCAGGAAAAAAAATCTTAAAAACAGAAAAAACTTCAAAAATCATGTGAGATTTCGACGGTATTTTCACCTGCGTGGCTTGTTTGCGTGGATGTTTTTGTCACAAGTGTAACGAAAATTTTTTCTTCAGAAGAACGATTAGTTGTTGGCTAACAGTAATCTGTGAGTCACGGGTTCTTCCAGTCCTCTAGCACAGGGATCCAGTTCATTTCTGTCCAATTTTTATAAAAAATGTAATTCAAAATATTTCACAAAGTCAATGATAATGTTAGTAGTAATAATAATAATTATGACAGTGGTTAAATATTTAAATTGCCAAAAAAACAGATCTCTTGTGTTCGCGAAAGACCAAACTTGAAACCCCCTTGAGAGTTTCTCACCATCCAACAAATAACACTTTTGTTTCCTCTGACAAAGACATAAAAGGCGGCACGATCCATCACGATAGATACCCCGCAAGCCATTTTCATTGCACAATAATCAGAAAACCAGCTGTCGTGGGATTGTGTTATGTATTTCTGCTAAGTGACTGCTTACCGTTCTAAGGAGACGTTATAAGTAATGGATCGGTTGAGGAAAAACTTTCCTTTTTCATGCAAGGTATGTCACATGAGTCATAACTTTACAATCTTTCCTTTTTAGGAATTGTTTATTCCTATTCCTATTTTTATCATAACTTTAAGTCTATGGTTATGAAAGCTGAACGAGATTTGACGTTCGATGTATTTTCACATGGTCAAGACTATTGAGTGAAGTTTTGTGACTAATAAGTTTGTTGAACTGAACTGAGTTCCTCAGAGTTTCCTGTGTGTGCTTTGGTAGAAGATGAGAATTTCAAGGGTTTTCAACATATCTAGGCTGCGCTATCGAAGGATTTTTACATCTTTACAGGTGTCTTCTGCCCGTAAAACTGTTAACTGAAAGACTGAAACGATCTTTTGTGTGACCTTGAAAAGGATGGGGTTAAAAATTTCATACGGAGTTCGATGTCTTTATCAAATAATTTTTTTTTCAAAATCATGTTACATAACAATTTATGAGAAGTTTTCATTACCCTTATTTTCTCCGAAAAGCTTGAATTCTTCAGAAAGCTTCCTAGCGTGAGCAGAGTACTGCACAGAACAAAAGAAAACATAACGATTGGAAATTATTTCCCTGCGAGAACTGGGCGAACGAACATATAAATAACACTGGTTTTGCAAAATATGATTGAATTGTATCTAGATTCAGTTTACTAGCTCAAAGACAAAGTCTGAAGCAGCGGTTAAGAAGTTATCAAGGAAAGTTTAGGAGGCATGCAGTATAGGAGGATATGTTAATTTTAGTTAAAAGTTTGCACCTTAACTTACGCCAATGTTATTTTCGTCAGCGTGAATGAATTGCTCTAATTTAAAAAATTTAAACACCCTTGTAATGATCTGGTTCATTCACCAATTCTGGACCATCATTTCTGTGGGCGATATGTATCCTGCTGGTATTTAGTGTTTTACTCGTTATTACATCTTTCAAGTAGTTACTTTTATTCAGGTAAATTGACCTAGCATACTAAGGCGTTAGGTCACATATTTCTCTTTTGACTTTCACTCCATGCTAAACTAGCGTGGTGACAAGAGTGACGAGGAATCTTTTTTAATTGAGGGCTGTAAGTTATTTACGGCCTTTTATCTAACAGCTTTTTTCTGTGAAACTCATTTTTGCGGTCGAGGACAATCCACAAAATTTAAAAGAAAAAGAAATTTTATAGAAAACGTTGGTGAAGGAAACTAATGCTAAATGGATTATGGGACTCTTTCAAAAGATGCCGGCTACCCTAATGGTAGAAAACAGACACAAAAAAAATTACATCCAACATTCATACTTCACATCTCTTGTACCTCGTTTAGTCATGTGGGTAATTAGATAAAATGTGATGAAGAAATATTATGGACATTATTAATAACTTAAACCATGTTTTTATTTTGTCTTTTCCAGGTAACGTTTATTCTATTCGTGGCATCACACAATCTTCTTGCTCCAGCGGTTAACTTCTTGGTCAAAGCAGGTAAAACTTCCGAAGTTCGAAATGGCCAGCAAAAATCAATCCCCCCTTTCTATGTGCATTGGCTTAAAACAATGGATAAGGGGGGAGAAAGGCTAAGAAAGTAATACCACGTTTTAATTTTTCCCTTTTTTCTCTTCTTCAGATTCCTATAAAAGATGGAGCTTAAATAATAACGACAATGAAATTGAAAAGAAGGGGATCGTAACATCGAAGCCATCACCAGTAGGATGGGGCGTCTATCTTGATGGATCACCGGACACCTACGTCAAACTAAAAGGTTACAAAGAGCAATGTTTGGGAAAACCTTCGCAATGTGACTTTACCATCGGGTTTCTTATGAAAATTATTCCCCAATCCGGAGTGCAGTTTTACTTTGGGAATAAAGTGGACGGACTTTTGTACGAAGGTGTAAACATATACCAAAATCATAGTGGCAGATTACGAGTAGAAGTTTTAGGCAATACTACTTACTGCAAATACGTCATAACGCCACCCCAAGGAGTGTGGTTTTATCTGGGGATTGTTTGGAACAGGGTAGGAACCTTGGGTTTGTATTATGACCCCTTATCCAGCTTTTCTGTCCCTTATTACCACTGTGGAGGTAGAATCGACGGACTGGTAAGGAATGGCACGTACCACCTAGGCAGATACACGTACCCTACTGCGTACTATGACAATTTAGAGATTTGGTATTCCAAACAGTCTCGTATTGTTTTTGATGAGAGGTGGAAAGCAGCATTTGGTAAGTTTGCCACTGTGCGTAAATTGATAATTTACAGAAGTGTCATTACATTTATCCTCTTTCATATTGACAGTATAACAAAACCGCAGAAGTTCAGATTAAAAAGAGTGAAACATAGATTGGTGCAGACGTCTGGCTTGTTAGGTGTACTTATCACATGCTAAAAACTAAGGAGATTAAGAGAATGTACCTGTTTGTCTAAATTATTAGATAATAATTATACACTTAAAGTATGGTCCCGAAGGAAACATTTAGTTTGTTTTCCCGAGAGTCCTGATGTTTCCTGAGACGAAGTCTAGGGAATCATCAGGACTCGAGGGAAAACAAAACTAACTAGTTTCCCGAGGGACCATACATTAAGTGCTTTGTTATATATTTAGACTTTCCCTCAAACAATCCTATGGCGAAAACATACTGTTGAATTCGGCGCGCGGGCAACAACTGCACAATTGCATCCCGGTCAATCCAGAGGTACGTGACCAAGAATTAACCGATCACAGTGCTCGTTTTGTTGAGTGAAAGTCTAGGTATATAACAAATAAGATTATTGTTGGAAGAATATCATCATAAAGTTGAGAGAACGAGAACAACTGAAAAAGACATAAAAGGACGACTGCGTTATCCCTGAATAAGCAAAAAGAGTGTGAACAAAAGAGTCCTTTGTGACGCTTCAGAAACCTTTTTTTTCGGTTATAAGGCCGTGGGTTTGACAATGAAATAATACCTGTCAACCCATTTTTAGCTTATGGCTTACCATTCAGGAAATAAATTTGATTTAGCCTTCTTAGTAATAAATGAATTTCCCTTCCATATATGTTTTAACGCTGCATAGGAAATCACCCAAACTGCTTACGTTTGCCTTTGTCTTCACAGATGTTAGTGGACAATATACGGTTATACAATTGACCATTATCTTCCCTTACCTGCAATACAAGGCTGGAGACGTTGATCAGGACGAGTTTTCCAACAAAGTAAGAAATGTGACTCAAATGCGCCCATGGCATTCCTTGCTTTTTGTAACAAATCATTCAGTTCCTCAGGTAAATTATTATTTTAACCTTTTTCCTCAGTTGCTTGCCTGTTTCTCAACACAGGTTAAGGAATTATTCATTAACGACGCGCATTTTCGAGACATCAAGAACGTCTCAGTTTCTCAAAGGTAACGTCTTTTGTCAAAGCTTCTTTCCATATCCTATTTAGTTTTATAACACCGTTAGGGTACGATAGTCGCCCATTATAGCTTTTAATTTACTTAGTTATCGGTAAATTTAATATGGCTTTCATCTAATGTTGTATTTCACACTTTTTCGTGTGACGCAGCGATGACAGTAAAACAGCAGTATCATTTACTTTGGAATTTAATCGCACTCAAGACCTTTGGGAATCCATCCTGAATTTACAACTTGCAATGGAAAATGGTACTCTTCTAAGGTCTCCTGGCGTCTTTGATGAGGATTCGTGTCAGAACACTGATGACAGCCATTGTGAGTATGAATTATGCACTGGTGGTAAGGCGGGACGCTAACAAGCAAACCAATTGATTAATTTAGAATCTCTCCAGTTTTTTAGCTCAAAAAGGTCGTCTTTAAATTAACTGAACTGTATAATGAGTATACAATGGATCACGTTATCACCTTGGTCTGCTTCTTGACGATTTCTAAGCACAAATGGAAGGAACTTTTTGAGGTCATTCAGACCTCCTCTACTTAATGTAATCCTACGAATTTGAAAAAGCTTCTTTTTCTTGCCGACGTAGGCTATCTTTTATCTAAACAGTATCGAAAGATTTCCAAGAAAATCCCACTGTCATGAAAAAATGAGAAAACACTCGTAGGGTGATGTAAAGAGAACTGCCAAAAAATCATTCATCATCCTGACGCCGCTGGTCAAGGTGACTATGCAATCGCTCCCAAATTTTTCATTCGACTATTCTCCGGGCGAGATCTGCAGCACCTCATTCCCATTCTTAGTTGGACTGGAGCGGACTGTGCAAGATGTTTTTGAACATATAGTGAGGACTGAAATTTTCTGGGCGAGTACTTAGTTTTTTAAGTGGAACTGTTTTAACGATTCATTAAAGACGGTGCTTAACTACATTTAACAATGTGTGATAAATCCAAGATGTTTTCTGTTTTGTAGACTCAATCAATCATATGTGAAAAAAGATAACAATAAGACTAAATTCAGCCTATTCTCTGAATTTTCCAGTTTTCTGTGAGATACCTGCAAACTTTACCATAGCAAGGGTCCATGCATCCGCAGCAGAAATAGTATTGGACCAAGTTTTCCTTGAACCGCACGAAAACTATTTCTTCGGATACAGAGTCCTGTATAAAAATCTGGATGATCCCAACTCAAACTGGGCCATTAAAGAGAATATTCGCCGCTATTTGCCACCAAATGCCGTTGAGCACAAAATTTCTTCACTTAAAAGCTATACGAAATACAGCTTTCGTGTCTTTGCGGCATCGTTCAAGTCTGCTGGCCTCATCTCGGAAGCTATTGAATTGAGAACAGATGAGTCAAGTAGGTGGCTTATAGTAAAAATAATTAGAGCACAGAAACTATGAAATTTGAGTTGTTGTCCAATATACTGAACTGAATTTTAACTGTGAACTTTTCTTTCAACGAAGTACTTGTCAGGTAAGGGTTCGAAAGAGTTGTTAGCGATATACCTGATAGGGAAACAAAAATTTCCAAGGACAACTTGCTAGCGTTTTTTGGAACAAGTAGACAATCACCGCTTAGGGAAAATTTTGCTCCAGAAAGTATATAATCTTCATCCAGCCATTAGAAAGGAAATATGAAAATAAGCTCATCATCGTGTTTGGAGATTCTAAAGCGTAACCTGACTGTTAGGAAATCATCATCGAATGCACTAAGACTTCAGCCATACACGCCGCCATATTTGAATTTAACTCAAAGTCAGAGCCGAAAAAATCTAACGTTAAAGAATTCGTTCACACACAGCCGCTGCTCAAGGTATCATAAAACAAATCACTATTTTAGTCTACAATACTCATTTTGTGCAGTTTGTATTCATTCAAACAAAGCTCAAAACAATGGGAAAGAGAGAAATGAGACATAGAAGTAGGTTGCTGAGTAGGATTCAGTATAGCGGCGTTCGTAGTCGGATTTTTTCACACAACTGAGTATAGTTTTCGAAAGGTTACGTTACTCTTTTGAGTCTCAAAGTGCGTTCCTTTTTATTTTTTCTTGTTCACTTTTTCATCTCGAATTTTAAGACTTTTGAATCATACTTCTTCTTTACAAAGCAAATATCGTGGGAACATATATAGTGTAACGTCATCTGCGAGCTTCGAAATTGCCTCAAGGATTGATAGGAATGAAGTATTTTAACCAGGATTTTTGCTTTGAGATATCTGGGCTTCATTTTGTTGAAGACAAGTAAAGTGTAAGGTTGTTTGTATCGGGTATTGACTGTCCCCTTCGCATGACTAATGAACACAGTGATTCAGTTGATTTTACTTCAGCATTATCCTTAACCAAATCTTCCCATTTTCATGACGCGTAGCTCCTAGCATTGGTCCAGAAATTGTTGCCAGCCGAAGCACCAGCCCCACTTCAATCTATGTGCAGTGGAACCACACAATTCCAGAAAATAAAGTCAATGGCATTTTGATCGGTTACACAGTCCATTGGAATGACGGACGTTTTGACCATGGTCACCCTTACAGCTCAAAGGGTGTCAAGGATCTTGAGCTTAACGCCACAAATTACACTATAACCTCACTTCACGAATACTGGCCTTATTCAATTTCTGTGGCTGGACGAACATCGAAAGGAGCTGGAATACGGACGTTGAGGAAAGTGACAACCATTGACGATGGTAAGAACTTCGCGAAATTTTTCCGAATGTTTTCGTAGTCGTCGGAATCGCTCGTAAAATTGTGTTCTCTGTAGTCCTTGAAATGAATATATTTGGGGATTTTTAAACTGAGCATTTTCTTTTAAGAAAATCGGGTTTCTCGTTAATTGAAATTTCGGGTAACAGTTGACTTCGATAAAAGTTTTAATCGTAAGTTTGAAATACAGGAAAAAACTTTTTAAAGACGTCTTTTTCATGACATCACTTTTTCAGAAACAGATAAATCAATTGCTCATTACAGTTTCCATCAACAAAAGCTGAATTTTTTTAACCAGTTTTTGGCCTTTTTCGGTGGTGTCTCGCTTATTTCTAACCATGAACTCACATGATTCAAAAGAATGCCAAAGGTTCCATCGTAGAGAATGAATCGTTTTGGTAAAAAATCCTAACAATCAAACAGTAAATTCTAAGCAATCTTCCGAGAGGCAACTTGATGCTTGGGCAAAGTGTACACCTTCAGTTTTTTTTTTTTTTTTTTTGATAAGCACTTATGAGAATGTCGTTATATTTTTGCGAGTCTCACCAATGTTAGAGCAAATCCAGCCTTGTAATAAACTTGGATAATTTGTGTTTTTATTTCTGGTATTTCTACAGCTCCTTCAGAGGCACCGTACAACATTCAGCTTCACATGGTGAATGCAACTACTTTAAATGCTATTTGGCAAGATGTGCGTTTAATTCACCAAAATGGCATTATTCTGGGTTACCGTGTTCGCTTTCACCATGCAGATGGCGGTCTGCTATTGTGGAACATGACCGTTAGACCAGACGTCCATGATTTCCTTTTCTCTAGTCTTTCGATCTTCCAGAATTATTCGGTACAGATGCAGGCTTACGCCAGAAAAGGTGATGGGCCGTGGAGTAACAAAGTATATCAGTTGACGGATGAATCAAGTAAGTGAAATGGCGGCGTCAGAATTTATCAGTACATGGCCTCTCCATGCTATATTGCTATATTGCCAACAAATGGGTGATAAGGTGAGATGCCTTGTAAAGGCATGTTCAGGATGAAAATTAACAGTAAGATCGCGTGGAGCTCGAGCTAGCCTGCTCCAACAGTCCAAAAATATTTTTAGCCTCAGCTCGGCGAGTTTCATTCCAGGATTCGTAACCTGGACTCGGTTTTTGTACTAAAATAATTCAGGAAACAAACTATTTCTTTTCCTTAATTTTTTTTATGTTTTTCTCTTCATTTCCAGCCCCTATAAATTCTCCTGTCAATCTGAGAGCTTACAATGTCAGCTCACGGGAAATTAAAGTTCTTTGGAACTACGATCATAACCCTAGACTGGTTCTTGGCCGCTTGCAAGGTTTCACACTGTATTTTCAGGAGGCCAATGCCAGCGATATTTTCCCAGAAGAGGCAAACTTAAAAACTTTTGAAACTCGTAACAAAACTCTGCGAAGTAAGATCGCCGCAGAATTGAAAATATACCGGCTATACAACATTACTATAGCAGCTCGGACAGCCAAGGGTACAGGTCCCACGAACGAGTCATTTGTGGTCCGAACTCACGGTGAAGGTTAGTTGAGTCAACTTAAAGTTTCAGCGCTCTTAGTTGGATCCTTGTTTAATTAAGTTCTAGCTCTCATATTCTTTCAATGCTGTTACTGACGTTTTCTCGAAGAAGCCACTTCTCCACATGTGCACCTCGAAGGCTACACTAACCATTTTTCGTATTCTTCATATTCAAACCGGTAAAATATTCTGACAAGTAAAGACTCACAATGCCTTCCGACAAGCGTAGTTCGCTAAATGATTCCCTCGACGTTTCACGATCATTGTTATTTACCTTTATTACACCTCGGAACTCATGTAGGTTCTCTCGCACAGCCCTGAATTGATTTAAACTTGATTGTGAGCTACAGGCCTTGGTACATCTCTTTTTTCTGTCTCCCGTGGTTAGTCCCTGGCGCTTCCCCCCAGGCTCTCACTGCCTACAACACAAGTAAGTCCAGCATATATGCCCGATGGCAGGAGATAGTGGAAGACAAACAGCATGGAATCATGCTGGGATACAAGCTGTTTGTATACGAGTTAACAGGTAATGGTTCAAAAACTGTGGAAAATCGCACTTACGGGTTGGATAAAGTGGAGACCAACTTCACAAGACTAAAGATATTCACCAAATACAGGATAGAGGTTCTGGGGTTTAATAATTATGGAGACGGTCCGATTGTGGCTGTGGATTTGTTTACTGAGGAGAGCGGTAAGTAGAAGTTGAATCTTTATTTAGTGTATACTAGTACTCTTCTGTCAAATTAATCGAAGGTCCAGTTATGGCTATTCAGTTGCCCGAGGAAATACCTATATATATGAAAGTGAAATAGAAATAAAGGAACAGCCAAACATACCAAATGACTGACTGATAGATGAACGGACGGGCCCACGGAAGTTCTAAGGGACTAAGTGACGTTTTAACCTACTAACTGACTGACTGACTAAATGAATGGCTAACTAAATGACTAACTCACTGAGTGACTGACTGACTTACTACCTTACTGATTGACTGGCTTACCCACCTACTGACTAACTGACTTACTGACATACTGACCCATTTATTGACTGACTAAATGACTGACTAAATGACTGACTAAATGACGATCTTACTGAGTGACTTACTGACTGACTCTCTAAGTGATTGACTGACTGACTGACTTAATGACAGACTAACAGACTGACTGGCTGGCTGACTAACCTACTCAATGACCTACTCACTAAGTAACTGACTGACCGATTGACTGACTGACTGAATAACTGGTTGACTGACTAACCGTTCCACCGACCGATTGATCTAGTGACCAGGTGATAATGTGAGTAACAGTTCATTTTTCCTCTCAGGATTAGACAAAGATAATTTATCTGTTGCCTTCCAAAAACAAAAAGAATTACTTTTGTGATCCTCCTGGTTTTTTCTTGAAGTTCTCTGAGACATTTGTGTGAACCAAAATAACTGTACTATCTGGCCGACTCCTCTTATGGCTGCCTTTCACCAAATTGACTTACTGGAGAACGGTCGACATATCGACTAAAATGCCAATTAAGTGGCTGACGTCAAAAAATCTCTGAAGACAGACTTTCTTTGGTAAAATTTATTATTCCGCATTGCTCTTTTGCAGTTCCGAGTCAGCCGCCCTCTAATTTCACAGCTTACAATGAGAGTTCCACCATACTCCTTGCCACTTGGAAACCTGTGCCCAAATGTTGTCGGCTCGGAATTATTCGAGGTTATCATGCAACATTGACAGACCCAAGCAACACTTCGGTGACAATAACAAAAACGGTTATAAGGTCTGGTGTACGGTTCCCGAAGCTGAAAAAGTTTCATACCTATCAGATATCCATTGTCGCATTTACATCTAAAGGAAATGGAGCCAACGTTTCAACGTTAGCGTCTACCGATCAGGATGGTGCGTTAAATTTGTCAAGGGTCATGCAATTTTAAGGCCTTATTAGAAAAACCGAAACCCCATTCAAACCAAAGCTTAAACAGCTGTTTTGTCAAAAACAGCTTGAAATGAGAGGGGTTAGGTTCTGAAGAAACTGTGGTGCTACATCGGTGGGGGAGTATAACAAGATAATTTGGTTTTATCAACTGAATTGATAATGTAAATTGGTCAGCGTAAAGAGTTTTAAAGCTGACGTTTCGAGTGTTAGCCCTTTATCTTTCGCAGTAACGAAGGACTAATGCTTTAAACGTCAGCTTTTGAACTCTTAAGGGAGGCCAATTTACATCATCAGCTCAGTTGATAAAACCAAATTATCACGGTTTGAAATAGTTTTCTTGATAGAAGCTGCTTAAAATTGATGTTTGTAGACTTCCAATTGAGCGCAATGAAAATTAAAGTCATTGATTACTTGAACCTTATACAGAATTGGGTATTTCAGTTTTCTATTGCTGATTTTTATTTATTTAAAACTGGTTTAAGTAATAATGTTAAATAAATCTCTGTCGTCGTATCTACAACTGGGAAACAATCAATGAAAAATTATTGTAGCCTTCTGTTCTCTTCCGTCCTATTTGAGTAGTGGTTTCTACTTTTGAATTGTAAAATTATCTCCCTGGGTCCATTTAGCTTAAAGATGACGTTAGGTTTAATGTGCAAAAAAATTCACTTCTATCAGTTTTTGAAAGTGTAAATTATCTTTGGAACCTTTCATTTCAGTTCCGGACGCACCACCACAGACTGTAACCGGTCATAACGTAAGTCAGACAGAGATAAAGTTACTATGGCGGCCGGTTCCTCTAGACAACCTTAACGGAATTTTGATGGGCTATAAAGGATCTTGCCGGATAGCAAAGGGAAACCAGCCTAGTACTGAAAAGCAGTTCAACAGCTCTGTCTTTGAGGGAGTACTAGATGGATTAAACGCTTTTACGACCTACGCATGCAGTGTCAGGGCGTTTACTATCAAAGGCGACGGTCCACCCAGTTCAGATATACTTGTGAAAACTGAGGAGGAAGGTAAGGGAAATCGACATCACCTGATAACTGATGATTTATAGATTCAGAAACGTGGACACAGCCCCATGCATACTTCATTATGCATACAGTTCCTGGATTAAGAAAACAATGGCAATGGCAATGGCAATGGATACGTTCTTTCTTTCTTTCTATAAGTTCGCACTTTCATTCGATCATTTGTCAATTCGTTCTTTCGATCCTTCATTTGTTCGTGCGTTCTTTTCCTCCCTCATTTGTCCGTTCTTCCTTTTTCCTCCTTCATTTGTTTGTTCGTTCTATTTCTCTATAATTTGTTTGTTTGTTCTTTTCCTCCTTAATTTGTTTGTATGTCCTTTTCATCCTTGATTTCTTTGTACTTTTCCTCCTTGATTTGTTTGTTTGTTCTTTTTCTTCTTGATTTATTCGTTTGTTCTTTTCATCCTTGAATTGTTGGTTTGTTCTTTTCCTCCTTGATTTGTCTGTTTGTTCTTTTCTTCTTTAAATTGTTTGTTTGTTTTTCTTTTCCTCCTTGATTTGTTTGTTCTTTTCATCCTTAATTTGTTTTTTTGTTTGTTCTTTTCATCCTTGTTTTTTTTGTTTGTTCTTTTCCTCCCTGATTTGTTTGTTCTTTTCCTCCTTGATTTGCTTGTTCTTTCTTTTCCTCCTTTATTTGTTTGTGCTTTCTTTTTCATTTATTCTCTCAGTTCTTTCTCTCCTAGCCCGTTTAAAAGTTATTTAATTTGTACTAAACTTTGCTAGGTAGGGTGATTTCAATCATCGAAAATAATCTTAGATTGATTTAGTTTTGAGTTAATTCGCTATGTGATTGGTCCAGAAAACGCGCGCCATCCTCTCAACCAATCAGATTGAAAACTCAGGCAATCGCGACTTGGTCACTAGCGTTTTCCGGCACTTCCAGTGATTTACATTTTTACTTTGCGATCTCATTGGTTCCTTGTAATGAATTGCTTCCCTGTGATTGGCTGTTATGATTACTCTGGTTTGGTTTTACAACACTCAATCGGAATGCGCTTTACTTAATTTTTTTGGTTCACTTAAACATTTGCACTCACAATGCTTTGTCCTTCCTACAGCACCTCGAGTAGCACCAACAACCTTTCAAGGGATAAATTCAAGTTCAACTTCTATCTCACTGCAGTGGAGTAATATTTCTGCCATGGACGTCGCCGGAGTACTTAGAAACTTTCACATCGCTTATCGCGAATTAGACACAGCTGACAACACCACGCACACCGTAACTGTGCCACTAGCGAACCTAACATTTGAATTAACTGACCTAAGGAAATACACCAACTACAGTATTGAGATTATGGGAGTTACAAAGTTTGTCGGGATAGGCACAGAACCGATAATAGTTTCCACTGATGAAGACAGTAAGTTTAAGCTTTTCCTTTTAATTCCTTGATATACCTCGGTGGACTTTGATTCATTAACAGACAAATGAGTGAATGAATAGATTGATGAAAGAAAGAAGGAAGGAAAAAAGAAACGAGTGAGGAAATAAATGAATGAATAATTATATAATTGAATTGACCATTAGTATACGTGTACCTTGATTCCTTCCTCAGATTAATTTCATTTCGTATCCGTAAAAGTTGCAAAACCAGCCCAAAACTGTATGAGACCTCCACTGCTTTACATGCTACAGAGAGGTCAATCAATAAAAGGGAAAAAAAAGAAGAAAGAGATAAATGATCGAAAACGTGAGCTCACAAAGCAATCCGCGTAAATATAACTGATGACATGGAATTATAAGATGTCTGCTATCATCCGCCTTTATTTCAAAATTTAAGAAGTTCTTACATAACCATCTACCAATAGGTAAGGTTTGACAAAAAATCTCGGGGCAGGTTTTCTTTTCAGGGCGATTGACCATAGTGATATAATAAACCAATTAGTATCATTGAGGGTCCAAATTTTGCATTGTGTAGTTCCAAGTCTTCCTCCTCAAGACATCAAGTTGCAAAATTCCAGCTCCACAAGTATATTTGTTCAGTGGAAACCAATCCCTAAACACAACGTTCATGGTAAACTCCTGGGAATCAAGCTTTTATATCGATCTGCACCAAGAGACAACAGCATAGTGTTCAGGTCCCACGCAAGGCGTTCGATCGTGAGCGACTGGTCCGTGTACACCGATATTACTTTACCTCCGAACGCTCTTTCCTATAACATAACGTCTCTCGAGAAATTTACGAACTATTCTGTGGAAATACTGGGTTTCACCTCAAAAGGAGATGGAAATGTTAGTCACAGGTTTATTGTATCTACGGATGAGGATGGTCAGTATGGAAATTATTTATGTTCATCCAGTTGCTACTTACATTTTCCTTATTTAATTCGACTGGAGTGACAGAAACCCTCACGCCAATGATTGGTTGGTCCAATAATTTAGAATATGCACAGTGATTGGCCGCTGATTATAGCCCACAACTGATTGATGTTGAGAAACCTAAAATGCCTTTGTAGCCACTCAGCTAAGTTGTAAATTGCCTTAAAGCACAAACGGATTTAGCTTGAGTGGTGCATGGAACTAGTCAATTCATATTTGAAAGGGTTTTTTCATGGTCGTTTTCCCACATTTTATAAATTCATCTAAAAGAAAATCGGCAAAATCAAGGTATTAACTACTGTTACAGAACAATCCAACACTAATAACCGCAATTACCTTCGTTCACTCTAGAGTTCTGATCGTCATTGTTTATGTTTGAAATATTTTTGCAGTTCCTAGTATGCCGCCAGCGTCTCTTACTCCCATATCCCGCAGTGGGGACTTCAAAATGGATGTCAGTTGGGAACCAGTGCCGGATGGTTTTGTACATGGAATTCTGTTGGGATACCGCATTTACTATAGAAAGGTGCAAGAGTTAGGAAGAGCCTCTACCTCTGAGACGGAGGCTGTGTCTGTTGGACCTTTTGAACAGAACACCACAGTAACGATGCTGAAAAACTTTGCAGTTTATGATTTGCAAATTGCAGCTTTCACGATCAAAGGAGTAGGAGTGTTGACTGATATTAAAGATGGATGTAAGTTCTCGTTTTGGTGATATTCATTGACTGACAACATACCCGCTGAAAAGAAAAGCGGGGAAAGGGAGAGTCAAACTTGTAAAAAGAGGTTACCAAAAGTACACATGATCCAGACTTTTAAGTTTAGTCGTTTAAACAGGAAACTGAGATGTGCAACTCATTAGCCATAAGCGCCCAGTTTCTTTATTTGCCAAACTTATCTTCATATATTTAGTCACCTACCACTTTTCTCGTCATCCAAAGAAATAATGCATTTCTTTTGTGGCAACTCTTTTGCGTTGATCTGTCGGTTGAAAACCTTTTGACGGCAAGGAAATTCCGAAGTGTTTATAATGTGCTTAATTGCTTTTCAGCGACTTGCAGGTGCCCCCGAGAGTTTAAAACGACCTGGTACCCGTTCCCCCCGTATATCACATACGAAAACGGCACCGTGGGCGGCTTCATCCCACGAATCCTGGAGGGGGCGGTGGAATATTGCTGCAGTGACTGTGTCCTCGCCAATGGCAAACCTGCAACTACTATCGACTTTGTGCTTGACGGAAAGGGAGGCCTCGCGCAGAAGAGTGGCGTCGAGGCTCTGATTAGCAGCATCGATTCACAGACCGATTTCAGTACGCCAGTGAATGGGTTCCAAGGGCAGACACATTACTCTCTGTACAGATACGTCAAACTAGCAGAGTCCCCCGGAGTGGGTTTCATCACTGTGATGAATCCACACGAAAAAGCCATCGCAATTGCAAATGTTTTTATTCGGTCATGGCCGCTGCTCCTCCTCTCCATAATCATGATGGTCGCAGTTGGAATTATAATGTGGTTGCTGGTATGTAGAGCCATATAAGGCTCGTTTGAGAAATTACTTTTAGGGTGGCTCTTAACAGTACTGGAATGAATGTCTGTAGAAATACGCCAGTGACTGTGCTCTGATTCTGTCTTAGCTGTTTAAATCCCTTGTTTTTGCTTCAACCCAAAATATTCATAACATTACTCTCTATTATGATAAAGTATAATAAAACTGTCGCAGAGTTTTATTTTTTTACTTTCACCAACCAATCTGATGTATCTGACTTTCATCCTACATAAACAATAGAGACCTCATTAACAAAAAAATGCAAGATATATTTTCCTTCAGGACGCCCGATCTAACAGTCAAGAGTTCCCAGGCTCTTTCACCCGAGGGGCCCCTGAGGGACTTTGGTGGGCCTTTGTTACATCGACGACTGTGGGGTAAGGCGAGTTTATCAACAATTCGTACGTGTCTTTACATACCACAGCTGATAAAGTTGTCGGACCTGATAAGTCAACTTTTGTTTTCGTTAACTGTGGCCGCGTCGCTTCTTCTAACCAGAAATGAAAATTTATTTTTAAATGGGTCATGTCTTATATACCTCATCGCCCATTACTATCTGAACTTTTTTCTTAACATAGAGCAACTTAGAGTGTTGCTTCCCTCCCTTGATAGTGGAGTGGGTATGGTGCAGATGTGAGAGCGCTCGCAACCCTCTGCTATGGCCCGGGTTCGATTCCGAGAACTGGCGTCACATATGGGTTGACATCCGTGTATACTCTTGGATGGAGGCATGTGTCTTACTCAAGTAGCGGCAAGTGGACAATGATGATAACCAGATTCGAACCCAGACCACTTCATCCCTCCCGGAATTATTATTCTGTAATTAGGTGAATAGAATAAATCGAACCTAGGAGTAGAGTCACGATCCGAAGAGTAGTTCTTCGTCCACTGATACCTTGAAATTTGGCTCTTGTGCAGGTATGGTGACCGCTGTCCGAGAGGAGTGTTTGCTCGCTTATTTGCAATTTCTTGGACATTGAGTGGTTTGGTGGTTATTGCCATTTTAACTGGAAGAGTCGCCACAGTTCTCACGGAATTTGGTTATAAAGGGCCCTACATACAACTCTATGGTGCAGAGGTTAGTCATTTGGTCAAAATTACAGAGTTGGGTTAGTGTGCTCGATAATTAACAACTCGTATTAGTCGATAAAAGTGCACAACAAAGACAGCCTTGCCTCTTTCAAAATTATAACCTGAAAAACCAGGTGCTGGGTGTTTTAGTTTGTCTTGTATAGCCTGTCCGCAGGCCCTCATGGGTAGCGCTTCGGGAAGATCATTTCTTCGAAATTGTGAGGCCTTAGGCAACGCGAGCCAGGGAGAAGTTTGCGGGGGTCTGACACTGATAGTGCCAGACCCCCGCAAACCTCTCCCCGACTCCGGTGACCCGTCTCAAAACTTGGGCGGAGAAACGCACATCTTGCAGCGCTGATAATGAGGGCGTGCTTCAAAGCTATGCCTTGAAATCCTCCGCTCTGACATATGAAATAAGAAATTCGCAAAATTAATCTCTTAGATAAATTATTCTTTGTTTGCCCATATATAATTTCATTTCTTTTGCTGACAATACATTTTGGCCTCTAGGTTGCAGCTATTGCGAACAATTCTGATTTTCGACTAGGTGTGCGGAAGAATGCACGGATGAACACAGGTAAATATTCGTTTCAAGGAACAAAGTCTTTTCAGGTTCATTTTTTTCTCGAAGTTGTTCATTCTACGTTAGAAAAACAATTGAAGAAACGTCTGCAGTGTACCTTTCGCATTAAGTCCTTCTCTGGGTTTGAGTTTTCTTTCAGCTTGTCCCCGTGATACCTTTGATCTTCACTAACTTCACAATTTCCTCCTTAAAATTTTCCAGTCCGTAACTACAAGAGTTATGAGGAAATTAGCCGTGCTTTGGCAGACCAGGAAGTAAAAGGCGCTTTGGTGGACCTTTATGTGTTGTCCTCTCACAACCACTTGTTTAATGACCCTCGCTTCAGGATCGTTCGGATATACGATTTCAAGACCAGTTATGGGGTGGTCCTTGCAGGGAACTCTATGAAGCTGGAGCAGTGTTTTACCGAGCATATCAAGGCTTACTCAGGCAGTGTTTTCCAGAAAATTGAAGACAATATCAAGTTTCTCAGGGTACGACTGCATGAAAATTTTAGCTTTTGTGAGAGCCCCCTAGAAGTTAGTTAGTTAGAGGGGTCCATGTTCCTTACTTTCTTCTTTTGCAATAGTCCACCGAATACAATTTTACATTTTTCATAAACTTAAGCTTTTCAATTACCCCTGATCACAGAAATTGTTCCAATTTTCCTTCCTGACTCTTCAGGTATGTTCTCTGCCATTTCTGAATGCTACTCATCCAAACTCTTCCAAGCTTAGACAAGTGTAACAAACTGATCAGTTTTTTCTTTCTTTCTTCTCTAAAAAAAGCTTGGCTCCAGGCCTAGATCCACTATTCAGAATCTTATAACAAGAGAATATAAATGAAAAATTATGCGGTTGAAATATGAAATCAATGATGGGCAACCTTTCTTGTCAGATACTGACTTCGCAAGTTGCCCTATTCGATGAAGGTTATTATCGAAATACAAACACTTCGTAAAGGCGCGTTCGATATGACGTGGTAAACGGGTTTTGTTGTTTTGTTGTTTGTTTGTTTTTAGGAACCAGATCATAGCCCGGCCGAGCAAAATTCTACAGAGCTGTTCAGTATCACCTCTCCACAGTTCATCATCGCCGTCTCGATCATCGGGTCACTGTTGATATTAGCTTGTGTGCTCGGAGTTGTCTACGAAAGGCGACGAAAGAAACCTGAAGGTTAGTTTTGATCCAAAAAATTCTATGACGAGTTGTACGGATGAGCTAAATAATACAAGCATTTTGATGATCTATAGGAAGACAGTCGCCTCTACAACGTCAACAAGTTTTTGCTTACTCCCGGCTTATATCACCACAATTATTCGTTAGAATGATCAAGAACCTTGTGTCCATAACAACGTAACATTTTTTAATGATGAACCTTTCTGACTTTTTGCAGTTTTAATTAAAAGCAAGGACCTTAAGAACGAGATGTCGCAAGTTTTACACAGCTTTATTGCCAGATTAAAGGAAAAGCTAGAAGTGATCTCAAAGCGGCACAGGGCAGAGAGATTTCACCTAAAGCACACAGAAAGAGAGCGAGACCAGCAAGCAGCGAGTACAGTACAGAAGTGTTACGAAGTACTGAGCTTGCGTGACATCCGACAAGAATGGTCCCCACGCGACGGAACTGTCAGAAGTGTTACGCCATCGTTGCCTAGCACAAACTTGTACAATCTAAGGCCGAGGCTATTTAGTGAGGCGAGATGTGATTCGTCTCCCAATGTTGTAACAAGTCGGAAACTTCCGTTAAGGAGAAAATCCGGGTTTAACCTTCCTGTCCCACTAGAGCCAGAAGTTCGCATTATGGATCAAACAAACCTTTAGATGTTCTTTGTAACAAGCTTTTTTCATTCATGCCCGTAGAGGCAAAAACGTTTCCCCGAAAATGTTCCAAAATGGGCAAAATGGCATGAGAATTTGTTCTAGAGCTTCTTAAAACTTTCTTGGAAAAGATCCCCCGGACCCCGACCCGGCCCACTGTAATACATTACGATCGCTACAACTGCCAGGTCCCCTCACTTCAAAAATACGTTCCTACCGGCAATATGTTTGTTCCCGCTCGGGCCAATCACCTGTTTCGATGACGCGTCATGCGTGATAGGAAACTTGGCGTTGTAAAACGAGAGAAATATGCTTGTCTCCTGACAAAAACAATTTTTTTCTCTGATGGTAACTTTTATGGTCTCCTGTAAAGAGATGGCTAAATGAGAGGGTACACTGCAAGAAACATTAACATTAAATTGTTCAAAGCTGGGTTAAGATAACTTGGGGTTAGTGTGAAATTTGATTTTAGATCTGAAAGCTTGAAGAGCCAATTCAGTTTATTTCTTTTTTACTACAATTAGATAAGTGAATGCTCTAAAAACAATGGGTAAAATTATTCCAAAACGGCTTTTGAACAGAGAAATATAGAAACCTGGATTGAAATTAAACCCTGGGTTAGCGCTAATCGGCCCTTGAACAACTGGGCCCAGATGTCTAAAATTTAAAGCCGCACCGTAATTGCCGAAGTAAATACTATTACGGCTATCAAAAACTTCATCTTTTACGGCAACAGGATTAAAACTGAAATAGGAGGTGTAAATTATAAATCTTGCTCTTGGTTTATGGATAAAAACGACCTCAAAACTGTGAATTAACATAGTCAGTGAATTCGTCATGTTAGTAGCGAACTCGAACGTACCGCTGGAAATCGACAAGTAGTGCCGGAAACGGGCGTGAATCAGAACAAGTTTCTCTCGCTAGTGATAACTGATTAATCTAAAACCACTTTACATCGAGCGCGCTGAAAGATACGCAGGCCACGTAGTACTTCATTGAATATCCTTTGTTCTGTGTTGTGGTCAAAATAGTTCTCAGGTTGTTCCGCAATGCACACTGAAATTAACATACGACGCTTTCACTATTATGTAATAGTTCTGAAAATACTTTCGACAATGTTCCGATCGCTTCTCTTCTCTCAGATCACACGAAAATATATATAATAAATGTGGAACGAACTGACTTTTTTGTGGAACGAACTGACTATTTTTGGAACAATCCGACTTGGAACGATCTGACTATGGAACGAAATGACCGTAAACCGACAGACAGAATGAGGGTTATGAATAAGCTCTGAAAATTGCAATTTTTACGAAAGTTACTAGTGGAATGGTCGCAGCTAGCGGCCACTAAGTTGCAAGCCTCATCTCCCTTTCTTCTCTTAACGGCCTCTAGTCAAAAGTAATTTCGTAAAAAGACGTTCTTTTCTTCCTCAAGATGATCATCTCACACCTGGAGCTTGGGCTGCCTGTGGTCTTAAGTCAAGCCCTTTTTACAGTTCCCGGTGCCATATTGGATTAATAACCACGTTCACGTTTCACGTTCTAATGCACTTTTCAATGTGATTTCTCCCTTCAAAATGGTTCTTTAATACAATAATATGGAAATTTCGTCATTAGATGACATCCAGAAACTCGAAGCAAAAGATCTCAGGGAGATTTTAAAATCTAATTCAAAATCGACGGGCGGAATTAGAGCCGACTTAGTGTCGAAAGTTTATGCTTTGCTGATGTGACACGTCCTTTCATCAAGTAGTGGAGAAAACCGAGAACTTCTTACAGATGCCCAGGACCTAGAACAAAACCAGAGCGACTTCAAATACTAAGCAACTGTGGTAAGGATTTCAGCCCTTGGATGGTCGAGCGATCTCCGTAATTTACCTGAGATTAATTTCATTCAGCTTTACGATTACCTTGTTGTTTCACGAGAATATCGCCACATCGTGTTGAGAGGAACGCATCACAGGAAGTACCACAGAAGTTGTTCAGTATGGCTTAGAAAGCGAGGCAAAGGCTGTAGCCCTCTAGGTAGAGATTTGTTATTGCTGCTGTTGTTGATGTGGTACTTGTTGTTGTACCATATTCTTCAGTTAAAGTTGTTCCCATTTTGTTTACTAAGATGTATTTTAGTTTGCCATTTGTACATTGTATCTTATGGTAAACTATACAATAGAGCCTGTACAGCCACTTGATTATAACCTTCTTTCTATCAACCCATGAGGGAAACTGTAACTAACAGATGTCATAATATTTTGAAACCCATCTGGCCCAGGACAACTTATGCTCGTGATACATTGAAAACCATTTGAGTTTGCACTCATGGTAATTTATTAGATGGCAAGACAGCATTGAAAGAATCAGACCAAAATATTAGACAATTTAAAAACTCCCAAAAGTGACTGATTCATGTAACTTCTCCCTATAATATCCAAACACTATCCAGCAAACAGATAATGATAATACTGAAACTTATCAGGCAGAAGTTATCTTGATCTTACATCAAATTCTCATAACTTATTTACAAGTAAATGTGTAGCAACTAGAAGGGAGAATTAACAATCAGATCTTGGGTATTTAAGGGTTAAAGGAAGAGAGCAGAAATGCTTCCTCTCAGCTACTAATCTCAGCAATACTAGTCCTTCACACACATTTAAGTTTCTGTCAGTGATAAACATTTAGTGAATTGATATTCCCATTCTTAGCACTCAGAGGCCTTCTGGCACAAAGGTTTGCTATACTAGTACTTATTGCCTTGTTTTAACCAATGTTATGATAATATAATTTTGAGATACTTAAAAGATTGAGAAATATATCCAAATCAAGATATTCATTTTATACTGTTACAGTTGATTGATACATAAAGCACACAAAATATTTTGTGAGAGTTCCATGTGGCATCCATAATGGATTACTATGCTATCATGAAAAACAAAAACAACAACTACTGAAAACTGCTTTTGTCACAATTGCTACCAAATTTGTGTCAGTTTTTTGGGTCTGCCATAATAAGTGAAAACTCTGAAGATACAGTGTCTTGGTTATTTTATTAAAAGCAATTACTTTCCAAGAGTTTCTCTGCTAGGAGTGTTTTAGGAAAGCCATGTAGTAAACAGGTGAGTAGTACTGAACTTATTGACTTACTGCCGCAATGAAAAAAAAATCTATCGAACTTAAAACAATTCAGGTACCTAATTGAAAATTTGTACTAATTTTGCAACAATAGTCACCCTCATCCATAATTCACTGAGAATAAGATAAGTATAGAACGATAAATACTTAGCAAAAATACATGCCTCCGTGCATAAACTTGAAGAAGTAAAAGCTCGTAGGCAAACCATTGGGGCCATAAAATGTATTTGAACAACCAAAAGCGGCACACTACTCTCCTTTCTTTTTGGGAGAAAAATTAGCTTTATCGAGATTTTGGCTAGGACCATCCATTTTCCTTAAAAATCAAACAATTTCACTGCCTAAATGTGAATTTCATCAAAAGTGCTCAGAGATTTAACACGAGTTAACCCCCAGCCTCGTTCTCACGTGTGCGCGGTTGCATTTCCAATATGGCGCTAGCTCCGACCTGTAGGTCGGAGCTAGCGCCTAGCGACGCGGACAACCAGAGAACTGGAGCCATTCGTGTATTTCACCGCTGACAGGAATAGCTCCGACTCAAACGTTTAATAACTTTTTTTCAATGATTTTTTAATAATTTTTTTAACAGTTTTTGAAAAAAAAATTAAAACTAAACTAGTGAGCAGCACTGGGCGAACAGCAGTTTTAAAACAGATGAAGAGCCCGATGAATGGTTTTGTCCTTCATGTGAACAATAACCAAGAAAATCAGTTTTCCACGAAAAAAAACTCCCTCGATTGTGGCCAAGCCATATTTCTCCGGCAGAGCATACTGTAAATTAAAAACATCGGGCGCAGCGTCACGCAACATTGCGTGATTTTCCAAACGTGAGATGCAGTTGCTGCATTATTTTAAGACTTAGGAACTACATGGCCCTGTAGTAATAAAAGAGGACTTCATTTGCAAGCACTGTAGACTTCAACATAAGAAGAATCTAATAAATCGCTCTTTCAGTTTTTATCTCAGTGTATGAATTATTTAGCCAGAACGAAAAAAAAATTAATATACGCATGAGTTGGAGCCATTCCTGTCTGCGGTGAAATACACGAATGGCTCCAGTCTCTGGTCGTCCGCCTAAACTGACTAAATGAGTTTTGTCAGCGGAGCTTGTCAGCGGATGACTTTTTCATCGCCGGAATATCGCTGAACGACCTCGCTGATCAAGATAGACTCTGCCTTCTCTTGATTATGTAAGTAGCCATTTCTTGATTGACTCATCGGTGTTTTCACATTGATATTTCATTGTTCCGCTTCGAGACACGCGGTTAACCATACTCACGAGCAAGGAGTTAAGATATAAGTATTAACTTTTATTATTTTTATCATCCAATCACGGGTCGGAGCCATTCCTGTATTTAGTCGCTAGTACTGTAAAAAAGGTCTCTTCGAAACACATAATGGTTTACAACGTGTAAGTGACAACGTGAAAGGCGACGTGTTAGAGGCGGAGATGTGTAAACCTTTTCGTTTTCTGTAGAAACCGAAGCATTTTATCGTCTTAAATAATGTATGATATTTTCTGACTTGCAGCCAATGATGAAACGCCTGACGAAAACAAAAATGACGTAATTCTACTTTTTTTACATAAGCAACTGAATTTAAAATTTTTGCCCAACACGGATAAACTATTTCGATACAAAACTTGCAAAATGGCCGAAGACCAAAGCAATCCTTTTCTGACTGCTACTATCATTGGCGATTGTGGAAATTCTACCAGTGGTGGATCAGAACCAAAATATGTTCCACTAGCCGCTGATCTTGTTCCCGTTGAAGTAAAAAGCTGGTTCGTGGCAATGGAAGCGAAAGAGTTATTGAAGAAGTATTCCCCAAAAACTGAAGCGAGAGAGTTTCTACCGAAAACTTCCAAGTATGGTTGTAAAGAGAAAATGATAGCCGCTATAGGCTCAGAAGAGATGGTTTACCCCGGAGATTGCGGACTGTTTTCAACCATTCTAACAGCCTACAACAACCACTGGACACTTCGAACGTCTCCCGATGACTGGTGGTTCTGCGTGATCAGGCGAGTGGCAGGTGCTATCGAAAAAAACGCCAAGAAAGATTCCGTACGTAAGATGTTTGTTGATCACGAAGGAAAAAAAGAAATTGAAGTGGAAGTACCTGACACCACCATCTACACTGTTGACTATAGCTGGTTCTTTGATCAAATGGCAAAGGGAATACGAAAGAACGTCAAAGTACCTGAGTTCGTTGATGGAGTAACGGCGGATTTTAGCACCACAACACCAGTGCAGAAGGTCGTCTCACAGATTGTGTTGATGCATTCGGTTCAGGAGTATTTTAAGTACAGCATGATGCTTATGTGTGGCATTCCTGCTGTGGAAATGCTGGGCACTGAGGACGATTGGAAGAAACTTAAGTCCAAACTTAAGGTAACCTTAGATCCTTGTGTGCCCCCCCCCTTTAACCCTAACCCTAACCCCCCTCCTTTTGCCTTGCAGTGATAGGAGATAAACTTAACCTATTTATCACGATCTGCTTTTTGGGCCACTCAAGTCCCACATTTTTTCCTTCTGACCCTAATACTCTCACTCCCATACAAGGGTGTAGTTAAGGGCACTTGTACTTGATGATGGGGAAAAATCCTGAAGTGAGCGGTGCAAACTGTAAGAAAGTGCAGGAGAAAGGGAAGAGAAAGAGACCTTACAGTTTCATTAGCAAATTATTTTTATTTCTACCCCTCCTCCACAACCACCATTGCAAAAACTGTTGAAACCACAAGGTTGCGCAGTTGTCACCATAAGAATGTGGCAGCCTCTTTGTTAAAGATCAAACAGACATATCTCAGCTTTTTTGACAAGCACATGTCCTCAAATAACCTTGATTAACTAGTTTCTATAAAGTTCACAAGCCAGCCCCTCAACAGTTGGAAGTTTGAACCTTTGTCAGGTTTGTTCACAGTATTTGTGTACTTTGTACATAATTGATGGCTAAGTAGTGCACTAGATATACCCACTTAAATAGCTGATTCATTTATCCTTTTTTAGGTGCTGCGAGCACTGCTTGAACCTATCGAGAATGACCTTGATTTACAGACAGAATGGTGGAATGCTGTGGAAAATGTGTTTAACAACTTGGTGGCTACCTATTGTGGGAACCCAGACAAGAAATGGTGGAGTCATATCATTTCTTACAAGAAAGAGTTCGGATCTGGAAGCCCTGAATACCAAGGGTGGATAACAGAGTTTTTGGAAGGCACAAACAGGGTCCTGACCATGAGCCAGTTGTCAAGTGGTATCATTAGTGTGCCCCTTGAACTTAAAAACCCAGGTGGCTTGCAAGACACTGCTACACTTGTGGCAGGAATGGCAGGTTTCACCATGCATAACAAGGACACTACAAGTGTGTCTGTGCAGCCATACCAAGGCTGGTGTCTTTTTTTAAAAGAAGACTCTCCATTTTGCCAAAATTCTCTGAGTGGTGGAAAATAGAGGACCTGTATCTTGGGTAACAAAGCAATTCTTTAACTTGTTTTGATTCATTTTCAGTTCGTATGTGGGATGTTTTTACCCAGTATGTAAACAAAAATCTGCATCCTAGCAGTTAATTTACATCCAGAAATATTATAGCCCTCAGATAGTGTAAGAAGTACTGACAAAAATAAATATATAGCATTCATGTTGAAATTGATATGACAAAAAAGTGGAAATGTTGCTTTAGAGGTGAACCAATAAAGACAAGTAAAACTTTTGTTACTGACTTTCACAGTTAGACCACAGGTTTGTTAGGGAATGGGTAGAAGTGACAAAAATGTCTTACCCAAAAATCCCAGCTCTGCTCAAAATACAAAAGATGACTCCATAGATTGGAATGTCCCTTTATTAGTAAATTCAACACTAAAGGAACCCCTAGAGGTATGTACGGCTCTCAGTTGAACTGAAAAGTGTTCCAAAAAGATTTGTGAGGTTTCCAGGGCTACAGTCTCAACTATTTTTAAAGTTTTCATTCAGCTACTAAAGGTCGTAAAGATGTCACCAAAAATAAAAAAAGTGGAATAGAATACTTAGTGACACACTGATTTATGTAAGTGTTTGTTTTGATTTAACTTAACCCTTTCTCCCCTTAACAGTGGTATTCATATTCTCCACACTGTTCTCCTTACATTTCCTCTGGTACTGACTAGGAGAATTTGTTTGACAATCAGGAGCGTTCTAAATTGGTGATCATTTCCTTAATGTATGATTCAAGGGTGATACTGCAAGGAGAAATTGGCAGCTAGTCCCTCTTAGAGGTCAAGACAAAGGAAACACAAAGTATACCCTACTGCCTGACCACTAACCACAGATAATTTGCCAAATTAGCCACTTATGAAGCTGGTTCAGTCCCCAAAATTAATCTGGCATGCAGCTTCAAGCTCCTGTTTATTTTTCAGGATCATTATCCTCGAGTGCCATGTGTTATACCAATCCATAAACTAGTATCCCAGGAAAAGGTTACACTTGTACTCTCACTTGCCCAACCCTTTACACCCAAACATCAGTTGGCATATTCTACATACTGTTCTCAATACATTTCCTGAAGTGCTGAGATGGAGAATTTGTTTAACAATTTAGAATTTTTTAAGTGATCATTTCCTTTATTCTTGAGACCTTAATGTGTGATTTGGGAGTGATTTTGTCAGGAGAAATTAGATGCTTGACACCTAGGGAGTCAAAGGGTAAAACCTCCCACCCAAGAAGTCTCTGACCCCCTCTGAAAGTTTCTTTCTCTCCCACCATTTCTCTGTCACATTGCACAAGATGGCAGCTATTACACATGACATGATGAATAACTATTTTAGTGAATGAAAAAGGGTTACTACTCATAAAATTTGAAATTTGTTTTTAACTTCTTTAGCCAAACAATTGATGAGTAATCTGTATGCTCGATTCACAAACCAACCATACCTTGAAACTTTGAGTCATGACTTCCACATTTTAACTTGCTAGGACATCTTTGAGAAAAAAGATTCTGAAATATCATCCACAATATTTGACACCTTACTTTCAGAGGTCAAACATCATACTGTTGGCTCACTTCCAAAAAGTTAGGACAATGCCCCATCCAGCACTGGGAGATTAATGATAATAGTGATCCTCTCAGAACCAGTAATGACAATCTGATAGGTTGAATTTGGCAATGACTACCTAGTCATGTAATAGATCAAATAAATTCACCAGGTAACAACTAAGACAGGTAGCTTCAAACTGACTGTGCACCCTTAAATACCAAATTATAATCACCAGATATGGCTGGCTAAGTAAGGTAACAAAGGAGGATCACATCTGCCATTGAAGGGAAATACTGCTTCAAAATCTGACTGCTACCTATTGGCACTTGAAAGAAATTAAATGGCAGTCAAAATTTTTGTATTTTTAACTCTGACTCCAAAGAGAGACTGGCACATAACTTCTTCTTACAGTACCAACCCTGAATCACACATGAAGGTCACAATAAAGAGGAAATGATCACCAACAAAAGTGCACTTGATTGTAAAACAAATTCTCCTTGTTAGCTTGAGGAATGTATAGGGACCAGTATATGGAGAATACGGTACCGAAGTTAAGGTGTAGAGGGTTACAAAACACCACGTTTACTAACGAATTAAGGGTCAAGATACTTCAATGAAAAAATTAAATGGCATTTTCCAAGCAAAAAGAAATGTGAAAGTACTTGTAGAGGGAAGCCTTCATTATTTTCTCCCTCACTTTGCTGGAAAGTTTATGCCACCTTTCACTTAAAGACTAGAGATTAAAAAAAGAGAGAGATAAAAAATAAAGCTTTCAGGAGCCAAACAACAAATTAACTCAAACTTTACTCCTTCATGTAAACAAATTGCAGCAGCAATGAGTAATTACTTTTAATATACAGCAGGGATTTAGTATACTAAGCTGCTAAACTTAACTTAAATTAAAAAAAACAAGGAATTAAAACTATGCCTCTTATAACTTTTTACTCCTGAAGCACATATCACACATAGTCCTCCTTGTATTCAGTTATGTTATGGTGCACTTTTCATGAAAACTTTGAGAGTTATAGTTTGCAGATTGGTAATTCTTTATTAAGGCAATTTCTAATGTCCTCTATGAAGAGCTCCCAAAGGTTGCATGGAGAGCAGTGGTGCCAGTTGTTGGAAAACTTAAGATGAATTTGCCTTAGAGATTGGTAAGAGACTGTCATGTTAAACAAGGTATGCAATGAAAACTCAAGCCTTTGTTATTCCAAATGAATGAAATTTCCCTGGGAACCAATCTTGTGATTTTCTGTTTAAGTAACAGACCACTAACTAGGAAATAAATCTCACTTTGTTTTCATTTGAAGCAGGTAGTCAGTTTTGAGGTAGTAAACTGTGCGATTTTCCTTCTGAGTATCTCTGAATTAAGGACTATCTGCCAAATTCAGTTAAAATTAAATTCTGCAAAATTTTCATGAAACACCTTAAGAGGTCATTTTGTTTAATTCCCTACAGTAGCCCATTCTAAATCAAAACAGTTACAGTATTTTTCAACCAATCTTGAAGTGGTAGCGTTCAAAAAAAATACTTGTGAATATTACACTTCAGATTTTGAAAACAAATGGATTATGGAGCAGATTATGAATTCCCCAAAACAAATAAATCTAGTAAGAACTTGTCACTCTTGAGGTGATGTGTAACCAGCATAATTAATCAAAGTTGATTTATGTAAATTCTGGTATAACTAGATACAAACACAATGCATCATTCTATCTAAATAAGAGCTACTGGTAATCATGTTTGCACAGCTCTGCCCTGATGATTAATCATTGCATCACATTCATGCAATATTTATTACAAATTTGTTGAGGGGCTAATGAACCCTATTGTTTAAAAATGTCCTTTTATTAAGAAGGGTTATAACACACCTTCACAAGTCATTTGTTTCATTTGCCAATTAAAACTGTACTTCCAGAGCCAACTGTTTATAATTTCATTTATATCCCAAATCTTTATTATGATGTCAGCAAAAGGAACAAATACATGAAGTTATTCTTTCCATCAATCAGGAGTTTCCCAATTATTTTAGTGGCTTCTGGATTGGTACATTAGTTCCACACCCACTCACCGAAGGCGAGCAATTTCTTGTCTTACAGCTGCGAGAGGAGAAAAGAGAAACATTTTCACCAAAATTGCAAAGAACTTACGGTCACAAAAAAAATTTAAATGGCTTAAAGTACATGCTGCAATAATGAACTAAGTTTTTAGTATGCGACTTTTGTTTAGCAAGAGAAACACAGCTCCAGAGTTATTTTTTGCAATTTTTATCCATGCAAAATATACTAAAGCCTGAAAGTTTCTAAGTAGCCATAGGGAAGTAAGTCTTTTATTTTTCCTTTCATTTCCTTTTTTGCCCTCCTTTTAAACCACTAACCTTCAATTATCTCTCTCTTGGCAGTATCCAATTCCTGTTTAAATTCAGCAAGTAATTCCTATATGAGAAACATACAAAGTTAATATACAGGGTCAATTTCCAGCAAAATACAACTGTGTATTGGAAATCTTGAGATAGAAATGCAATATATAAATTATGCTCTAGCTTTCCATTTTAACCATTAGAATATCACAAAAATAATCCTACCGATTTTAATTCTTCAAGCTGATCATTACTTAAGGGGGATTCTGACTTGCTGTTTTTCCTGCAAACCAAAAGAACAATTTAAAACTCAGTGATTTTTGCTCTCAAAGTTGTCTTTTCATGGTATAAATAAACTTGTGTAATTCAAACCTCAAGCTTAGATTGATCTTGTAAATGCCACACAACTGCCTTTTAAAATAATTGAAATATCAACAACAATAACTGGCAGACAAGATTTCTTGTCAGGGGAAAAATTTCTCTCCAACGTAATAAGATGAAGTACACATGAAGCTTTACCTTTATCTTGAATTTTGTCAAAATTTGGATTAACAGGGCTTATAGACTTTCATCTAATTAGGAACATTAGCACTTCACTCTAATGAAGGGCTAACCATCAAAACGTCAGCTTTAGAAACTGGCCAATTAACTCAGCTAGTTAAACCAAACTATCAAGTTTCATGTTACTTGTTGAAACCTTCATAATTCATGGAGCCCGCATTAAGTCTCTCATCCAAAAAGAATATTTCCACCTTTCACAGCTTGAATATTTTTCTCAACATTCCTTGATTAAGACCACCCTTACCTGGCACCATTACTTGTTGGTTTCCCTATTGACGAGAAGTTTGGTTTAATGTTGTTGTTTCCAAATGCTGGAGCTGGGGGTGGATTGCTTACAGTGGTGCGAGGTGCTAGTAGTGTCATAAAAATAAAGCATAAGTCAACAAACTAAAATTGGAATAACACCTTATAGAGAAACTTGTCTCAACGAAATTCCTAATCCCTTAATATAATTTTAACCACGTATGTAAGACCATCGAAAATTTAAAAAAAAATTTCCATGATTGAAAAATGAGATGTGACTTGATTTAGGAAAATGTTTCAAGTGCTGAAAAATTGAACAAGGTGGAACAGCAAACATTATAGAATAAGAGCAATGAAAAAATAAATCTCCTATTTTACACCATGTCACTTTATACAATATTCTCGCATCATCTACTAAAATCAATTTCTCTCAAGAGCTTTGTCCAGGAAAGAAAACCAAAGAGAGTTTATCAAACCATGAAAGAAGACTTTAGGTATCATTTCAGCAAGAAAGATTACAAGTATGTCTTGACTTTGTCTACTACATTCAGTTTTCCAGGCTCATGTCCAAAAGTATCTTTTGAAGGCTTAGCTATAACAGATAATGAGACATCAAAAAGGTTGAATACTTACCAGCAGGTGCTCTTTCTGTTCTTGCCTCAGTTTCCTCTCTGACAGGCTAAAAATAAAATTAAACATAAAATTAAACAGGTAAACAAATTCAAAGCAATATTGGAGTCGGCAGCAAGTAAGGTTTAAGGAATATAAATATTGTTATCATTGTGTTTGTTGTTGTTGCAATTACTAACTCAAGTGAAATGGAGGAAAATAACATGCATTAATTGAATGCTTAAAAAAATTAGTTGCCTCTGGAGCCATAACTGCCCCACCTGGCATCAGACCTTATCTTGGTTTCCAAAGTAAGACATGACTTGGAGTCACTTCTCCACTTGCATGGGATATAAGTCCATTATAAGCTACCAACCCCCTCCACCCCCCCCCCCCCCCCCACCTATCCAGAATTTTGCAAAGTTTTTCTGGTAGTTCACTGGTACTTGTTTACTGTCATATGTTAGGAGAGGAACAGTGAGAGTAAAGTGTCTTGCCCAAGAAGACAACAAAATGACCCACCCCAGGTCAAACCCAAACCTCTTGGCCAACTCGACTCCTTACAGATTCAACAGATGAGTACATTGTCAAGCATGAAGATATTCAAGAAAAATATTCACCCAAGGATATTGTTTAATTTAAAACCTTTTCTAAAGCAAAAAATTTGATAAACATATGACAAACAGTAAAGAAAATCGATACTGAGATCTTAACAGATGAAAGATGTGACAATGAAAATAGTGCTTAAGATGGAACACCCTTAAAGCGTTGAAAAATCTTACCTCGATTTCTCTTCCCTCCTCTTTGGCTTTCCTATGACAAAAGTGCAGGTCATGTTTATTAGAGTTTGTGTAATGTAGGGATGGAAAACAACTTGTACAATACAATTAATGCTGCATCTGGGTAAAGGTTTTATCTACCTGGAACTATAAATTTAAAATCATTATCAACTTAAATAGGATACTGCGTTTTTTCAACTGAATGTAATGCACTGGTACCCATTTATACCCCTGGGTGGAGAAGTACTGTGAAAGTCAAATGACTTGCTCAAGAATACAGCACAGTAACTTGGCCAGAGCTAGAACTCAAATCTCCAGCTCTGGAGTTGCACAATCATGCAGATCACTGAGCCACCAAATCTCCCAGAATTGCATAACAACAATTGATTGAATCTCTCACACCTTGCAGCCAACTTTCTTTGCATTTCTGCCATCATGTCCATTCCCCCACCTATGGACTTACTTCGACTTGTTGAATTAGCTCGTTCAGTTCTCGGACTTTCATTTTCAGCCTACACAATAACATAGAAGTAAACATCAAATTTGTCAATAAAATCAGTAACTTCAGCTAGGAATCTGAAATCTGGAGATGTTTGATTCTGGATCTTTCCCCTCCTCCTGGATTGCACATGGTTCCAGTTCATCTCCAAACATTAAAGTTTAGAATAAATGTAGGTCCAATTGCATGCAATCCAAAATTAAAAATAACTTAAGGTAAAAGCAGTCCTTCTTGAACATAAACCAAATGAAATTTATCCAGGAGATGAAATTTACTTGATTTTCCCTCACTTGATGAAAGTATATTCAACTTTTGGTTTTTTGCAGTGAGATTTAACACAGTGTATGCAAGAGGAACAGAAGTTTTTCTCTTTTTTGCATTAAATGGCATCTATAGAATGAGGTTGTTCAAAATTTTTCCCTTTTCTTGAATGTTCAATGCATTTACTTTTTTTAAATAGAATAAGAGAGATGGTAAGTTTTGAGTTCAGTAGAGAAATAGAAAGATGTTTTTCATCTTGTCACGAGCATGGGACAAAGAAAAATTCTGAGTCCCCACGTGGAATCTAACCTCAGACCTTTGGATTCTGTGTTCCAATGCTCTACCACTAAGCCACAGAGACTCTACTGTGAGCAAGGTCTATTACAAAGTTCAAGTTTTTTTCTTTGTCCCACACTCATGGCAAGACAAAAAACATCTTTCTATTTACCAAGCTCAAAACTTACCATCTCTCAAGTATTCTATTTACAAACATGATGCTACCGACATTGCTGATCCTAGCAGTATTAAGGAAGTGTGTCATATGAAATTCATAACAGACCTTGCTTACCATAGAGTCTCTGTGGCTCAGTGGTAGAGCATCGGAGTGCAGCATCCGAAGGTCTGAGGTTTGATTCCTTATGGGGACTCAGAATTTTTTTCTTTGTCCCACCCTTGTGACAAGACGAAAAACATCTTTCCACATTTACTATTGCATGAACAAGGTACATAACCTCCATAATCTTACCTTAGCTGCCTTCTTCAATTTTGCAGCTGCAATCTGATCTGCTAATGAGCCTCCACCTCCACCACTAGGTGTAGGAGGAGGAGGAGGTGGTGCAGGAGGTCCCCCACCAGGAACAGGAGGAGCTGCTGGGGGAGCAGGTGGAGCAGGGGGTGCTGGGGGAGCAGGTGGAGCTGATGGGACAGGAGGTGCCTGGGGTACATCTGCCAAACAGATCAACACAACAGGAAAATGATTAACTCTGTTTACCATTTATACAAAAGCAAGAATTGATACCTACTTTATTGTATTTCATCTAGCATTTCTCTCACTAGTTTGATACTCCTGTGAAAAGCCAATCACCAGTTTTTTTTCCTACTTGCATGCTGTTCACTATTAGCTTGAAGGTCTTCCCTCAAGAGGACAGCAACAAGGACATATTTTCACCTTATCGCTTTGAAGGGAAGCCCCTTAACCCTCTCACTTTCAAGATTTCATTAGTAATTCTCCTTACTGTCTTCTGTAAAATCCTTACAATTTTAGTTCAGAGAATTTGGTATCCAATCTTAAGTAATATTCCCCTCATGGATATTTTTCATTATTCTCATCCCTTGTCTGCTTAATGTTACATTGATATGGTCAGGAGAAATTCTGTCTTGGTCACTCATGGGAGTTAACGCCTTAATTGAAACAACAGACCACTATTGCCCAGAGATACTACTTAAATTAGGGCTTTCTGTTTTCTATAGAAAAACTCTTGCAAGTGTGTAGAAATTCCAAATTTATAACCTACTCTGTGGTGGCAACTGTGGTCCAGGAGATGTTGACAAGGAAATAGTGCTTGACTGGTGAAACAAATATGAAAATATACAATGTAGCTTCAGCAAAGAACACTCTTCATGTTACCATGTTATTTTGGAAAACTAAGCCAATATGTTGATATTTTCACCTTAAATGCACCATTAAAATTAATTACAGACCATTATCTACTGGTTGATAAGTTCGATTTGATTTCTAGCCAATGTAATCACGGTATGTAGAGAAAAGTGCTAACCAAGCTGCCAACAGAGGAAAATATCTGCACGAGACCTTAACAGATGGGCTGGGCAAAGAAGTGTGTGTATGCATGTATACTTAATTGAACACACCTGATAGCACTTTTCAGGGCCAATACTAATAAATTGAATCAGTCACTGTAAATAAACATAGTGTATAAAAATCCTGACTGCCTGGAGGCAGACCAGTAGGCTGTATGTACAAAGCACAACAGAGGACTGGAAATAGGAACTATCACACCCTGGTTGTTCGGAGGTTGGATAAGGCTATCCACCAGACAAAGCTGTATCCATTCAATAACACTATACATTTTGTAATAACTTATCTGCTGGATAGTGATTTATCCTTTGGATAGTGCTACCCCCCTGTATACAACTGGGTCCAGATTACAAGCCCAGCTTCCTAACCACTGGGCCACAATGCCTCCAGATGTCCATACAGAGAAGAATGAGGTCTAACATTTTCCCAGCACATCACATGCAAGCTTTGTTAGAATTATATTTGTAAACAGCAAATTTCTTTTTTAATGCTTTCATGAGACTTCTCTTCTGATTCACAGTCCTGGTCAAAATGGCAATTTTTGGCTATGCACTCTGTAGTTTATAGCATATTTAACAGAAAATCTTCTAAATGGTGTGCTATTTTAATTTTCAAATGTTTTGGAAAGTCATGCAAGATCATTTCAAACAATGCCTAGTCCATTACTGGGAAAATATTGACTTTCGTAGGATAAAAGATAAAAGAAATATGATTGCTTGATTTTAGTTGTAAGCCTTCTATCTTAGAAAAAATAAATCACCTTAGTGAAGTGATAGGCTAAGAGTAATCTGTGGTTCAAGAGGAAGCCAACCATTCAAACCTTATTAACCATTTACACCCATAAATATGCATTTTCATTTACCACACTGTTTGCGATACATTTCCCACTGACATAGAGAATTGGATTAACAAATCAGAGCGTCTTCATTCTCCTGACGTTATCATGTGATTCAGGGGTGATATTTCATAGAGAAATTAGACGTTGGCTACTCCTTGGGGTCAAAGTGTTAAACAGGTGAGAACAGACTACTATAGCCGAAAGGTATACTTACATTAGGGCTTTCTGTTTCACGAGGTGCATCATACTGAGGGCGGTGAGATCTGTTTTCTGAGGAGACCTTCCCTCGTGAATATTGGTCATGTCCATCAAAGTGGTCTCGATTCACCACTTCATCATGATCAATACCCCTACTGCTGTTTGTATACTGGGGCTGTTGTTGGGGCACCATGGGCGGCTGGTGAGAAAGTCCAGCTGTGAACCAATAGACAACACTTATTATCATCACCAAAAATTTTCTTGTAGGCTTACCAGTCAGTGTGTACCCAAATGTGTTTTGTACTCAGTCAATTCATGCCAAGCTATGTTTTCCATGTTAGGTATAAAGCGACATCAGTTACTTTTTACTGTTAATTACAAAGGGAAAAATCACACTTGCATTGCATGAGGCACCAATTTAGTTTTTACTGGGGTTAAGAAGGTCATATGTACACTCAACAGAACTTTAATTGTATCTTACTTGCTTGACCTTTAACCAATTGTTGTTCACAACAATCAACATGCATTAACTTTGGTTATGGTCACAGAATGTTCGGAAGAGTATGAATCAACCAGTGCATAAAGTACAGACTGGCACAAACTGGGTACAAATTGTCCAAATTTGGGTACCAGTTGGCTGAGTATGAAGAGTCCCTGCTGGGCATGAAATGACAATGCCTTCTGCCATTTTAACACTCCAACTCAAGCAGTTTATCTATCTGAGAGCCTTCTTTAAAACAAGTTAAATTTCCCCTTGGTGTGCTCGAAATTTAGGTACAATATTCAAAAGGTGACTGAATATAAAATTCATTAGTTTTAACTTTCTTTTGACATACCAGTGCCACCACTCTTGAGGTTTTCCAAGGCAGTATTCACAGCTGACCCAAAAACTTGTGCATCTTCTTTGCTTGGAAAATTCAAACCATACACCTGTCTCTGATCTCTCCATTGATGAAAAGTTGGAGTAGCTTCATTGTATTTTAATCCTTTTGCTAATGCACAGTTTATAACAACCTGTAATTTCAAAATTGGCCCAAGTTATTAGAAGTGTAGATTGAATTCCAGGATACAATGCAGTACAACTGCAACAGCAAAGTAACTTTGAATTCATTCCCAGACCAGATGTTACTGAAAGCTGCTCATTTGATTTTTAATTTAAAATTTTTTGTACCCACATTTGCATACTTTTCAGAGGCAAAGTTCATGAATTCAAGGGCTAAATTAGAAAAATACTACCCAGAGGGCTAATAAGTAAAGACCAGTAGGTACACATAGATGAAAAACTTCCATACAAAAGCTTACAGACCACAGGCCAAATTTTCTGGTAACTACCATCATTATGTACTCTAATGAATGGCAAATCAACATCATTTGTTCCCTCAGAGAAATTTGAAGTCCCAGCCTGGGATGGGTTCCTTTCATGGGAATGAGGAAATGTACTTGAAAACGGTATCAAAAAAAGGGACAACCCATTACATGCTAACAGGCCTGGTCCTAGATATAACTTAGTGAATAGGTAATTGATTTGCTGGAGTAAGCTACCATGTTCCCTTGGGAGGGGGGGAGTAATACAGGGAATAAAAGGGAAATGGTACCATGGAAAGGGGCACCCAAAACTTCATCAAGAAGCATGGTCCAAGATCTAGCTGGGGCAATAAAAATTTAATTTGATGGTCTCAATCCCCCCTTTGTAGGGAATTGGGGGAATAACTGGGAGATTGTACCAAAGGGGGTACCCCATTTCCCATGAAAAAAAAACATGTTCCATTGTAGCATTTACACTGTGCACATACTTTTACAGACAGTCACCAACAGTGATGTTTTAACCTCACAACATACCGTATGATCTTGTACTTTTCTCCCAACTATTCTGTATGTATTGTTGACTGGATGATGATAAACATGAACTCTGGAGAGCCCTGATGATCCTCCAGAGTGTTCCCATTCTTTTCTGTCATTGTTGTAGAGCATTACAGATGCCCGTGCCTGAGCAATGGATTGTTCGCTGAAAAAGAAAAGTAATAATCTTTTGAAGACCTTTTTAATCTAGTATTTAGATTCTCAGACTGGGGTTTCAATAACAGCTGAGTAACAGATACATTTGTAGATCCACCAACTTGTAATACCATGCCTACATGTTTCAGCCTTGAGCCAGTATCATTGGCCAGTAGAAAAAAGCCAGCTCAAGAGTTTCACTTTTACATCTTTACACTTTTAAATGAAAGAAAAACAAACTAATCTTTTAGAGTCCAGTGATAGTGGCTTGCTGGTATGTCAGCTAATAATAACCTCAGCTGAAAGATTGTCCTCAAAATTTCACATTTTGCCTCATGTTTCAGCCCCAAACATTATCAGCTGACATACCAGCTGCCTGAAGGGGTTTACTCACTAAATATTCCATAACAATAGTTTGATAAAAATAGTTCTAGATACAGTTTGTTTTCCATGCTTTACTATCTGTATGTATGTATCCACCCCATGAACTAAACCTATACAGAAGACAACTGAACCTAACTCTCAGATAAATGAAAACACTAGTATATGTAGTTATGGATAAAGTATAGCCTCCCAAACTGAGTCTTCACTGAAGTATTATTATAGTCTAGGAAACTTGTTTACTCCTCTTTATCATCTTTTAAACTATACAGCAAACTTTTACTAGTAATTATCCCTTTAAATTAACCTTCACTAATAATGCAACAACAAGGAAACTTACTGATAATTTCCTTATTATTTTATTATAGGAGTGGAAAAGAATTAGTCTTTGACATCGACACAAACAAATTCTGTATAAAGACAGAACAACACCAGGAGAAAATAACAAATTTTGTTTTTTCATTCAGACACATCTTAGCAGGCTGGAATCATAAAACAGTCACTTTCCCTTCATACTTGAATACCTAAACGGACCTCATACCCAGTAAATAACTATATTGTTTCAAGCCTATACTTCAAAAGACATTGAAGGGCACTGGTGTTGATATTCATGTGATGTTGCAATCAGGAAAGAGAGTCCTATTTAATCTCCAGAGTCATGATCTAACATAGTTAGAAAACGAAAATATTTATTTTGGCAACTGTCCTATCAGGAAAAAACACTAGTCAGGGAGATTTGATCCAACACGTAAGCAAATAATTGGTCATCAATATTCCAATGCCAAAGAAATACCCCTCATTCATGAAATTATCAAATTTGTTCACAAGTGCAAATGTGTATATTGTCAATGCAAATAGTTGAACTCTCAATGTGTATACATTATTTAATCAAAGACATCATTCAGTCAATTACACTGGAAAATGAAAATTTAGGAGAGAGATTTGGTAGAACTGAGGAAACTAAAGTATTTATATGTTACAGTATATTTATCACCTAAATACACGCGCGGGATAGAACAATCTAATTATGGTATCTACCAGCTAATTACATCGAACTGATCAATATATCTTTAGAAAGTCGTATACTTTGAAAATCTTAAGTACTATCTTCTGAAACTCGTCAACGTCAAGTCTTTCTACATTGTTTACACAGACAAACAGAGCATTTTATGCGCTAGAGCCTGCAAACAGTCTTGTTTAGTTTTCACACTAGTTCAAGTACGACCAGGTACTATAATTATCCCCGTGACATGAAACCCGTATGCTCCAAAATAAAACGATGTATTCATAGAAAGGAACGAGGGGTTAATTACTGCAAAAAATTACCGCAACGTTTCAGCAAGTTCTCAAGAACTCGCTTTTTTGTGGGGATTTGATCGTTGCATTGTCTAAAGAATTTGTCGCAGAAACCTGCACTACAACATACAACCTGTGCGTAGTATACATGTTTACAAATTCGCAGTTTGATTGACCTTCATCTTTGCAATATAACTCCGAAAGGCCGCCAAACGAACACTGACAAGTTTATGAAATATAGATTACAAGATTTGCCGAGAAGTGCATTGACAAAATTGAAACTCAATACCTGAAATACCAACCATCGACCAAGAAAACAAATATCTCGCTTTCACAAATGTAACTTTCAATTTCAGCGGTTTGGACGAATGAACATGACCAAAAGTGAAAAATATATTTACATTTGCTTTCATCGAATGATAAACACTTCTAGAATAAGACAAAATTTCAGCTGGCTTACATGTAGACATGCTTCTACGCAAGACACATGTTATAGCTTATTCGAACCGTGCATTGATCCAATAAAAGTCAACAGTCAAGTAATCCCACAAAATGTAGAGCATCAAGACGCAGAAATATTCCTTAAGATTACTTCCTTATAACCCCCTACTAGATCACTTCTTTATAGTTTACAAAAATACTGCCCCAGGGCCACTGAAGTCCAGGGGAAAATAACACAAACGCGACATTTTAACTCAATGTTTTCGAAGCGATTAAAAGTTCGAAATACCAATGCAGTATCATTCAATTACCAACGAAATATTGCAAGGTAGATTATTCGATTGTTTAACGGAAAAATAACAAGAGCAGAGGTAACGGGCTACAAACCAGTGGGAAACACAAATGAATGAAATACAAACATAAGAGTTAGAATATTGTAATTTTAAGCCGATTTCATCGCGGCGGTAGAGTCAGTCCTCATAAATGCTCAACAGGCTTTCGATCGTCTGTCATGTCGTGTTAAAAGGGGATCAAAATCAATAAAATAAAGCATACTTACCTCATATTGAAATAGGACGATCGGCAATAATCGTTTCACGTCAATTCAATGATCTGATATGTTACAGAACGATCGTAATTCAAAAAATGATGACTGATTGAAAAAATTGAGGCTAGTTTGTTTCCAAATCACCGCACCCACGGCGTTCTGCCGCTGAATCAAGACAATTCAGTCCAAAGACGATCCTTCGAAAGATATTTCCTGGATCGAAAATTCTCGCAACCATTCGACAGAGACTAGGTCTGAACGTTTACTTCCGAAAGTCGAGCAACAAGGAAGCTGGAAGAGCTTTCACCTTGTGGTGTATTCCACCGGATGTGCCCACCTTCACGACGCCGCCATTGCCGCCGTAAGACGTCATCAGACTGTTCCCCAATCTTCCTCTACCTGGGTTGGTAGGCTGTCAAAGACCTAGCGACTTCTTGTTGTGAGCTGATTTTAAGCTCACCAACAGATAACTCGAGCACATTTTACAGAAGGACTATTTCACGCTATTAATGATCTCCCGAGATAATTCGCAAAAAATTATTAAAGTCTGAAACAAAAAGGAAAAAATACAGGCTGCGACAAGATCGAACCCGTGTGACCTTTGCGACGCCGAAGCACAAGACGGAAATAGACCAGGTAAATTCAATTGCAACTTAATATTTTTATAACAACATTAAAATAGAAGTTAAAGAGTGTATAGAATTTTTCATAAAGTAGATGATTGTGATGTCAGATATGGTACTAGACAGCAAAGTTCATCTCATAATTTAATTGTGGCAAGCATTGTTCCCAGGCCGGCGGAAAATGCACTAGCATAACGGTTCCTACTTAAGCTGCACAAGAAATACAAACGAGTTGCTAAAAGTGTGAAATAGAGGGTTGGAACAAGAATAGTAGATCCTACGAGAGAGTATTTCTCCTCTCAAACCCTACTACTTTGAAAACCTCGCGGAAGTTTTTTTTTTTAAACAGAATCACTTCTCATGACTATAACAAATTAATTCCGTTAGCTAGTTATTTACGAAACACCAAGACCCTGGCGCCACCAGGCAGCCCATGTGAGAGGGCCTCTACTTTTTAGATCGTGAGTCGAACCGACTTGAATTAGCGCATTTGATAATATCCTCCTGTATGTTAATTTGCGCTATATAAATATTAAATATTATTATTACGAATCTGTCGTTATTCGTGTCGCAGACACCAAAGCTGTTTTAAGAAAATAGCAACTGTCTTCTCATATCATAATGTGCCATGTGATTGATTACAGCCAATAAACCTGTAAATTTAACTTTAAGGTGACTGCGACTACTTGGGACTTTTTCAATTAGATCTTTAACCAAAGAGAAAAGCACCCCTGTGTAGTGGTTAGCGAACCAGAAATCCTTTTATAAGCAGAAGTCAATATTTATGTTTTCGAACTGTTTCCAGTGAAGTTTTCTGCCTCATTCCCCACTTCTTCGGCAATCATCATGGTGTACTTTGTAGCACTTTTCAGATTTTATCAAACTCGCCGCAACGTTAAAATTCAAAGCCAAGATTGCCAGAACTACTTCCTTCTCTGAATGTGCTTACCTAGTCTCGTACCCAGATCCTATCGTATAAAAAATGTACAACCTCTTGGCCGAGGAAGCTGTGGGTACAACGCTAGTACTTACCATTTCCGAAGCGAGGCGCAGCCTATGTAGAGATTTATTATCACGGTCTCACAATGATAATTAAAATTTCTTTAGGCACTTTTCGAGCCACAATGATATAAACACACTATGCTAAACGATACCAACGACAGGTAATCTTGTGTTAACAACTGAGTTGAAAACGTAAATTGGGCACCATAAAGAGGCTGACATTTCGAGCGTTAGCCCTTCGTTAGAGCGATTGACGAAGGGCTAACGCTCGAAATGTCAGTCTTCAAACTCTTTATGGTGCCCAATTTACGTTGCAACTCAGTTGTTAACACTAAATTACCTGTTATACTCTCCCACCGACGCTGCACCACAATTTCTTTAGAAACTTACCCCCTTGATACCAACGACAGGCTGACTAAAAATTTAGACAAAGAAAACGAATTAATAGGAATTTAGCAACGGGATAGCTCTTTGCTCACTGCTACCCATGTCGACACTGATGCCTGGAGTGTTTGTGGTCAGCAATTTTTTTTTTTTTTTTTTTTTTATCTAGAACTTAAAAACAATTTCTCCTCAAAAAAAATACATCCACCTCTTCAAATGTCGATTTCAACCTCTTTAATTGTGTTGATGTCCGGGAGTCGTGGAGCTGTGTTCTCATGCAAGAGGTTCCCGTTCAGACTATGACTGAGTACGTGGAAATGCTCTTCATAAAACTGACCGATTGTATGTCCTTTCAAAACTTTTCATTTGGTAACTATAGTTTCATTATAGAAACTTTCAGTTGAGCGTCGAAAATAATCTGTTATCGCACTGACTTTAATTGTTTAACTTCACTCTGTGATTGGTCGAGGAAAATCACGCAATCTTCTTCAAAGGTTAGTGGTGGGTGGTTCGACCAAAGCCTAAGGGAGTGACACTATGTCTATTGCGATGCAATAAGAAAGTGATCAACAAGCAATTTGATCAATCCTTTCCAACGAAAAACAGAAATCTGTAATCTAAAAATTTGTTAGCAAGTATGGCCAATAATAATTTGTTATCACTGACTTCCCAGGAGCCCATCAAGTTGAATGATTTTGACAATTCCTTTCTGTTTCTTTTCGCGATATTCGTATATCTATTGTTTAAGCAGTTCATAGTCTCGGACTCGAGCTACCCGGGTTTCTTCCTAACTGTTTTAAAACTATAAGAAATAAAAGCATACCACTGTTCTAGATACGTTAGAATACTTCTGTGGTCAAACCGTTTTTAGTAAACTGAATTTTAACCAGCGGTAAATGCAATGTCACATTACGTTCATTTTGACTGTATGTTTACAATAGGTACGAAAGCGATAAATTCTTAACAGTAACCAATTTACAAAGACCTATCAACTTACAGCGTCGATGTCTCTGGCTACCAAAATCAGAAGATTCCTCCTTCGTCTAATGGCAACCGATTTAAGTGAATTTTTTCATTATAATTCGAACTTTACCAGAAAAAAAAGAGGATCGTATTTTAAGACGGCGATCTTTGACAAATTATTGAAGCTCTTTCATGGTACAATCGTTTTTCATCAGCCAAGCCGAGGATGTAGTTTGGATGAATATCTGACTCACCAGTAGCCCCAGCAGGTGCAATCTGCCTCAAGTGCTGGAACACGTCAAACCTATTTGACTCTTTTGCCATCCGAGCCAAGCAAGAGATCACTATCTTAGTTTTACGGTCTGCCTCATTCAGAGAAGCTTTATCTATTTGCAGACTTGCTTTGAGTCGTCGTAAACCTCTTTGGCACCACGCGAAGCTGACATGAGTGATTATTGAACTTCAGCAGGAAGGGATATTTTCTCAGAATCTAAAATGAAAACGTTGCATCACAGTCAAATTCTTTTTATTCTTTCGTGAAACTTTTCTTCCTGGAATGGAGAATTTACATTGCAATTAACCCTAAACCCTGACTTACATGGAAAAATAAGGATCGAAACACTGGTCAATAGGTTCATTTGGTGACTAGAAAAGATTTCATTTTTTCCTCTCCGCTGCTTTTCATTTCCTATCTTCGTCCTTACAGGTTGCCTCACTCTGCACACCGTCGAATTAACTGCGGACAACCTCAAGCCAGGCATCTCCATCGGCTATTTTGTAGCAAGGTGAAAATTCCATATTAAGAGTAAACAAGAAAGATAAAGGAATTTTCTCTTAAAGATTGTGATGTTTGCTGATTACTTTAACCGTCATTATTTTTCTTTTCCTTAAAAGGTATTTCTCATTGGTATGTATATCTGAGGAAGTCAAAGAATGTTAAATTTGCAACTTCCATGCTTTGCCTCTGTGAAATGAGATCGAATGTGTTGAGACGACAGTTTTCTTAAGGTCCAATTTAGCTGCTTCATTTGCGCATAAAAGGTATACATGAAATACCGCTTTAACAATTTAGACAAAAATAACCTCAAGTCACCTTTCATAGCAACCAACTCTCTCCCGTTCATGTTCAGCTTTCAGCTGTGGGATATGAGCAGAAATAATCATTTTTCGGCACATGAAATATTGTTAATTATCCTGGTAATGCCGCCTACAGAGAGCGTGCGAGATTCAATCACTTTCAGCCCTTAAAAGATAGGCCCAGCAGTAACCTGGTGAAGTTTCCACCCTTAAATTACCACCTCGTTACCACGAAAAACAAACTTTTATTCGTGTTAGTAAAGTGAATCGTAGGTCAAAGCGTGATACAAATTGTGCCGCCTTAAAAATATGAAGAAATTAAATTCAAAGTTCATGTACAGCACAAAAGCTGAGAAAAAGGTAATGTTACGATGAAAAAAGATCGTTACCTGGCTTTCATTTGGTGACAACCATGGCGAAAATGTCTCGACCTGAACTTTTTTGTTTAGTGCAGTGGGACACCTCCTGCAACGAACGGTTCTCTTTGCACTGCATATTTCAGACTCAGTCCAGTAATGGAGACAATCCTCCTGCTTGCAATCTCCTGTGCGATGTGGGCGAAAGTACTTGAGTGAGCCTCCTGTACAACTGACCGGACACATGAAACTCACATCAAATCTCAAGTTCTTCATCCAAGAGAACTCCTTTCGCATTGACTCAAGTACTGATCCCAAATGTCTTCACACTGTATGAGCAAACGTCTCGTCGAAGGTTTCATTGCTGACATTCATACACAACGTCACCTGTGATGGCTGGAAGCATTTCAATTCATCAGCGAGATAAAGAAATTGTGCTCATAAGAAAAGGCTGCTGCAGCATTTTCATCTTGGTGTTTTTCTCCTGCTTTCCATACCTCATAAACAATTTAAAAATGGGAAGGATCAGCATCTATCCCAACAGTGCTGTCCTCAAGTGGATTGAACTTTTGGCCCGTAAGTGATGTTTTTAAGCTGGTCTTTCCAGAGCGGTCTTGTCGAATCAACATGATCGGAACCCTTTTGTTTTGAGTCTTCCCTCCAGCAAGAGCCTTGTTCAAGGCCCTTATAGCCATACGTCCCCTTGCAAGAATCTCTGGAGGAGCGACCTCTGTAACAGTTGCCAAAAAATTGCGAAAAAGTTACGTTTCATAGAGCTAACAACAAGGAAAATGTAAGACACTACCTAATTAACAGAGAGTTCAAAAGTATCTTAACACTATCGAAACACATTTACATTTTAGAAGTGAGCAAATCTAATTTCACGATGATGATTCGAGCCGATAACCTTAAATTTAAACACACTGCTAACATAAGCAACTCAGAAACAAAATTTTAAAGTATTGTTAATTTTGTGAGTGGAAACATCGCCTGAAGAGCCCTAGAAGTATGTAGTCGAAACGTTGCAATCCACATCCCAATTGACCGCATCGTGAGAAAAACGATGATATTTCTTTTTTGAAAGAGTTCTTTACCTCGATGACAAACCACCACCTATTTTACGATACGGTGAAAAGGAAGTTAGAAAATTAGGCTTTGCAGTCAAGATTGCCTGCGATACTGTCTATTTTGAAGGAAGTATATTTAGGCGTCTGCGTATTTGCTATAGTTCACAGTTTGCTGAGAGGAGGATATCTTCCGTAAGGAAGCAGAGTTTTCCTCGAACCTACCGCTTTTTCCATTTTTTATAGCAATACAAACCCGTTATTTCAACCACCGTCTGCACATGGAAACATTTTTTGTACCAGAACCAAAAACATCCAACATTTGCCGTCCAAGCTGAATACACGTTTACCTGGCTTGTCCTGGGCTGGCGTATGCTTCAAATTTTCGATAATTGGTTCTAGAATCTTGACCGTGTCGTGTTTTGTTGATCTAATGTCCCTTTTTTGTTTCAAAGCGTTCACATCTGAGTAAATGCTCTCCGGCGGCTTTTGTAGGGAATTTATCTGAGTTTGATTTTCCCCTTTGATACGTTGTTCTAGTCGGCTACGAACTTCATTTGTGGGAAATTCTGACCCTGTTAAATCACCAACGATATAAAGAGGGTTGACACTAAGAGCTCTAAATGCTTCTGTAGCGTGCTGCACCTACTGATCAAAAGTGACTTTCACAATTTCAGGAGACAGCGAGTGAATAAGCGAATTTCTTAAAAGACGCAATTGATCAATAGCTAATGCCAACGTTTCAGCAGTATTTCCGCTCGGGCCTGGAACAGGGTGGCACAATCCCATTTTTCTTAGGAGAGGTGTGTGGGAACTTTGATTTTTCCACCCTCTAAAGTGAGAAAGAAATTTCTCACTGCAGTGGAGTCATCCCACAGATGATGACTGTGAAGATGTGTTAAGTTGTTGTCCCACATAGTCTTGAATGTCTGATGTAAGGCTTTTGGGAACCTCTCCAAAACAATGGTCGAAAATTTAAAATAATTCAACTCCTCCTTCCGAAATTGTTGTTGCGTCATTTGTTTTAACAGCTGTCTAAAAGGTAGTAAACCAGGCTTATTAAATCTTGGCAATCTGTGGAATACTAATAAAGTTGAAAATTTGAAAATCACATAATAACACGTTACTACTTAACGGTAAATCAACCCCAAGTTTGTTCTTTTTGAGATCGTCCGTGCTTTTCAAGATTTCATTACTTTCCTCTGTGTACGTGAAGAATCGATATTTATCCAGTCATTTCAGCTATTGAAAGGAAATAAATGAAAGGAAAACAGAAAGATAATCAGTGTGCTAGTCTGGAGTGGGCTCCTTTGTCAGGAATAAGGACAATAACTTGTATATGGTACCAAAGAAAGAAGCACCCCATTCCTCATCTAGAGGTCTAGGCCAAGATTTAATAGAAAGAATTAAAAATATAATGTTCAGGTCTAGGAACAAGTTTATTTGTGTGTAATTGGGGAATAACAGGGAAATAGGACCAAAAATGGGAACCCCACTTCCCATTAAAAACATGGTCCATTGTTACGTGTACAAAGTGCAAACACTTTATACAGACAATCATTGACAATAAAATTTTGAAATCAACCCACACCATTTGGACTTTTAGTTTTCTGCCAACCATTCAGTGTGTACTGTTAAGTGGATGATGATAAACATGAACCCCGGAGAGTCCAGATGATCCTCCAGAGTGTTCCCATCTCAAAGAATGCAGGATGCAGGGCAACAGCAAGTAACCAGTATATTGATATCCAGAGGTTTAAATCCCTGACATCAGCTTCTTCTAATGATGAGTAGATTCCACATCTTCCCTAGTCAGATTTGAAGTCTTTGCTTTAGAAATTTATGACATCAAGAAAATTAACTTAATAGAACTTAAAGGATTAAAAAAAGACCACAGAAATTAAAAGCTGATATAAAGTAAAGATTCCAAATATGGCCAGACTATGCTTTCAGTAACATATCTCAAAGAACAAACACTGTAAGTGGGAGCATTTGGGGTTGATTAGGTTGATGAAAGAGTAAAAAGCAAAAACAAAATAAATTTACTTGCATGGAGATTTTTAATCCCTGTAATCATTATCATTTTACATTTAGGGTATCTTGGTTATTTTATAACTCCTGATCTTTCTTGGGGGACTGGGCACTACCACAGGTATTCTCCCACCAAAGAAATTGTTGCTTATCTTTGATACTTGAGAAATGTCTGCTACTTGCATACTGAGCAGATTGTTTATACACTGTTTTAATGCCACTGCTTTACTTTGAAGTAATGGTCCACTTTTTAAGCTACTAGCATCATTAAGAAACAAAAGGGGGCAGTTTCCAGTAGTAAGACCATCCAGTAGAAGATGAAGAAGATCCAAGAGCATTTCACCACAGTCTTTTTCACAGCATAAGAAATTGGACATGAAGTAACACATGAGTAAATGCTTCAGAGAAAAAGTGTCACAGATGCTTATACTAGCAGAAATAGATGTGTGTTCACAAGCTTCGACAAAATGAGTTTCATTAATCAGTTTTGCCACACGATAAACCACAGCAGCTTTTTCATTTTCACTGAAAATATATTTCAGCATAGTTATCTCTGCTCTGGACCAAGAAATTCGCCAAATAGTTCCAACCTTTGTAACTGCATGAAAGCCTGAGCTCTTAATTTTATTTTTGATCAAGAGGGCTGGATGACCTTCATCAATTAAACTGTCAAACATTCCAGACAGCAAAGGCCATCCTTTGCATTCTACAGCCACACATAAATCTACAGACACCTTAAGATGATCTTTCCACAAAAGATCTACTTTTTCTGAGGCTGCAGTTTGCATGGCTCCTCTTAATTTCAACCGATCAAAGGTAAGACCAGTGGAAGAAAGCAACTTTATATTTGAAGGCCAGGTTATCGATTTAAATGCCTCTCTTAACAAGGAAAAAAACCTCTGCTTCAGCATGCTACTGTCCAAACAAAGAAAGGTGTGGCCATCAGCAGTAGGAGCGGTGTCGAAAGGATCAACAACATTGTGTACCTCCTCGCAAAGTTCTGACCATGAATTACGTATTTCATCCTCGTCAAGAGTTGGAATACGCAAGTAGATGTAACGCTGTTTTCTATCCTTATAAACTACATCACATTTTCCCGCAAGTTTGGAAAGGCACACCATAAAATCGAACTCATCGGCTTGCTTGATTTTTGTACCCTCGTAAAAACTACCTGACGGCTCAAGTTTGCTTTCGAATCTTGGATCATTAGAGGCCACATTTAAAAGCAGCAAGGAAACTGTTTCCTCTATGGCCTTTTGGATATCTTGAATCTCTCTGTTATCGGGTAGTTTGGCGTAATTTTTGTCCAAATACCCAATACACTCATTTAAACTCATTTTCCGTTGCCAGTAAACAATTTCTTTCAGGTGGTTACCTACTTGGTGCCAGTCTTTCCCGTTTATTCACTAATCGCAGAGTCTGACGGGACGGCTTGGTTCCATCACATGTTGTCTACCATATTGTCGTTCTTCATCTAAAGTATATGTTCTCGAGATATGGCCAGTGAAGAAAGCACAAATAATGATGCTGCGGAGGTCAGTAATGAACAGAAAGATGAGAAGACAGAAGATAACGAAGCTACGACGTCGGAACCCAAAGAAGATAGCAATGACACCCAAACCACCGGAAAAGATAGTAACGAAGACGAGAAAGAAGTGAAGTTGTATGTTGGAAATCTTCCAGACCGCTGCAGACGAGCGTCTCTGCAGGAATTGTTTGAAAAATACGGAAAGGTTTCACAATGCGATATAGTAAAGAATTTTGCATTTGTGGTGAGTTTGAAGTTAAGGATCAATAAATATTTGCACGTGACATCTGACTATATCTGTATTAGTGGTATAGACAATGGAAAGTTGGCCACACTAATGTTGGTGGTGCAAAATTGTATAATTCCGAGTCCTTTGTTTTCACTTTAAATCAGTTGATATTTAAGGATAGGTAACTGTTAACTTTTGTGTGGCCCTTATTCCAAAATTCATATACAGATTTAAGTGATAGTGTAGTCTGATCATCCAGGTGAGAGTAGTCCTGAGAAGTGACTGACGTTTCAACAACCTGAGCAGAAGTCATCATTAGATTCAAGTGCATAGTTGTTGTTAGTCGAATGTTCTAAGTCTGGTTCGTTTTTTTAAAGACTGCAAATTCAATTGTTACTCTTGGGGTCACACCATGGACTGTTCACTACCTATTTGATTGCCAATTTCGTTTTTTTATTTATTTTCAGCACATGGTGGGTGAAAAAGGTGCAGAAGAGGCTGTTAATAAATTAGATGATTCAGAATTTTCAGGAACTCACATACAAGTACAAGTAAGACATTAGAGCAATCTTTATTTATATAAATGACCTTCAACCACTGGGAGTGGTGTCATTGAGATTGAAAAGAAAATTAAATGTATTTGGTTAAAAAAATGGGGACTGATTTTTTTGGTAGACTAAGGAAAACTGTAACAAGGTTCTTATCAATAGAAAAGGCATCTTCTTCATGAGTTACATGTTAAATACAATTTGACCTTTTCCATGGAAAAAATTGATCATTTTCTCATGGGTTCAACGCACTTATTGTTTAGCATGAGCTTTCAGGGAAGTAAACAATTGAGAAGGTATTGCTAAATTTCACCTTACTGTAAGGCCTACTCTGCACACCAGATCAAATAGATTGTTTGCCAAAACTACATCCTTGGGAACCACTCTGCAAATGAAATAACTTGAAAATGCAACTGTTGCATTTTACTTTTATTACATTTTCATAAACCTTTTTGTTCACAACTTTTCGAAACATCTTGGTTTTACTAGCCAACATGATAGCTCTTCTCTTAAATTAAAATTCTCATGAGTTAATTTTATATATGAGCATCATGCAAGTTGCTTGATTGTACATGTTTTCAAATTATTAGTCATGTGAGCACTGTTTATTTGTAGTATGCAAAAAGTAAAGGGAAGCCATCTGAGGATGAGTGCTTTCAGTGTGGTAAACATGGACATTGGTAAGTGTGGATGCTCCTGTGACAACATATAACTTAAACCCTCCTCAGTAAGATTGTTACAAGAAATGAAATGGTGGACAATGCAAGAACTTTTGAATGTGAACAAATTCTCCTTTTCAACTCCAAAAGAAATGTAAAGAGAAGGGTATGGAAAATATTATTGATGTTGTGGTGTAAAGGATTAACTCTCATGGGTGACCTAGACAGGATTTTCCTTACAATATGAATACATTAGCAAGATAAGAGTAAACTCAAGAAAAATCTAAACAAGGGGACTATTACAAGTTGATCCAATACCAAATTCTCAGAACTAACTTCAGTACAGTACAGTACAGCAGACAGTAAGGAGATTTACTTAGTTGCTCACACATTATTTTGGATTGTCTGGGGTTGAATATCAATTGGGACATCGTCCTGTTTTCTTCTCCAGTTGCCAATACTATTCTGCACATGTAACAAATTTCAATAAAGTAAAGTATTTGTATAGTTGGTTATAAGATTCATTGACTGATGTTTTCTTCTTAATTTTAAATCCACAGGGCAAGGGATTGTCCAAAGAGGCGAAGGTACATGTCCAAATTATAATTCATAGAGATACAAAAATTTTTGTGTGCGAGTTATTTTTACCATCAGCCTAAGCACAACATTTCTTTATCAAGTTACAAGAAAAATAAACTTTACAGCTAAACTAAAACATAGTGTCATGACTACAAGTACCTTTTTTCTGATTTTCAGTTTAATACCAGTGAAACATCTATTCCTTGGGAACAAACAATGTGGCATCTCACATGCATAATATTCAGACTTTTTGACTAGTCAAGCTCTCTCAGATTTTGAATAGATTTAAAATTGAACTACACTCATAATATGTCTAATTCTGTTTGCCAGTGATACTACATTGGTTTTATAATTTGTTTTTGTTTTCTGCTAGTACGTACAGGTATGATGATCGCCGGGACAGATACGACTATCGTGGATACGATTATGGACCTCCCAGAAGAGGACCATATGACCGGCCCCCACCAAGAGGGTATTATGACCCCTATATGGATAGACGCCCTCCCCCTAGCAGAGATTATTATAGTGGTTATGGTAATTATTACAGAGGTCGCAGCCCTCCAAGGTCCCCTCCAAGGTATTGATCAACCAAAATATTTGTACCCTTAGCCTTTTATTTAGACTGCAACACACAAGCCTTGAGAATGTTCATCTCATGCAGTGCAACAATTGTTTCCAGGGTGGTTTACACAACAGGGACCAATCAGATTAAAGGAAAGTGCACTGAATTCCACCTCAGCTGTTGTGTCCTTAGTTTGCCATTACTCTTTAGTTAGAATTTTTGGAGTGATTGCTTATTTGTTGAAAATGTGGTGGACTCAAGGTCAAGTGGTCTAGGTTGGAGACCTGGCTAGGGGACTTTGTTGTGTTTTTTGGGCAAAACTCTTTACTCCCATAATGCCACTTCCCACCTAGGGTGGATTGTTCAAAGCTGGGTAAAGATATCCAAAGGTTATTATGAAATTTTATTTCAGATCTGAAAGCTTTATAAGAAAATTCATTTCACTTCTTTTTGCCTACAATTTGATGATTGGATATTCTAAAAAGAGTAGAGAAAATTATTCCAAAAAGACTCTTGAATAGAAGAAGAAAGCAACCTTGATTAAAATTTAACTGTGAGTTAACACTAATTGGCCTGCAAACAACTGGGCCCAGGAGTTTAAATGGGTACTGATTACCAAGGTACCAATTGTCAGGGAAGCCTGGTGAAATGCTGGGAGATTGCTCATCCACGAGGGGGAAGTAACACTCTTAGTCACTTCATACTATGGAAACTGGGATAGGCTGCAGCTAAATGGGCCACATGGCTCAACTACAGACTACCAATGCATTGCATATTTCCTGTAGTGCTGATTAATTGAGTGATTTTGTTAAATGACCTAATTTCAATTAGTCATCATTGAAGCTTTGAAAAAGCTATAGTGTAACAAGAAAGCTTTTCATTCAAACAAGTTTGTGACTGTCAGACCTTATTTTTTCACAGATATACTGGAGCTTATGAAGGTTACCCAACACCTCGCGATGGGTATGGAACTCGCAGGTACACTTGCTTTCTTTATTTAACTTGTCTATGTTGATTCTCTTGTGGCAAGTTCTTCCTAAGAATAAATGAAAAGGGAAATGTACAGAAAAATCTAACTTAAAATGCACATGTATTGGTTTTTTGTTGAAAATATTTTGGCTGAATCACACAACCTTTAGTTTGGCTTTTGGAGTGTAAATGGTTACACAGCGTTGAATTATGTAACCACTCCTTCAAAGGGCCCTCCAATGGGAGGGTCAAAATATTTCCAGGAAATTCAATATATTCCAGTCAGCTTCTTGTACAGAATATGTTTTTACAGTGTGGAATGAAAATTTTGCTTCTAAAAAAAGGTAGCTCTGACTTTTTTTGAAACAACATGTGCAATAGCTGACTGGGAACCTGCTAGTGATATAAAAAATTGCATCAAAACAAAAAAAAAACTGCGAGTCTATCTGTCTGTTGTTTGCAGTCGTCATTAGTTAAGGTGTCTTATCCTTCTAGTATGACAAATTGAAAGTGAAAATTTGAGGCATCTTAACTTCCATTTGAATTATATCATGTTTTCGTCAAATCTGATCTGTTCACGATCTGTTTGTGATCCCGAAAACATTTGTTCAAATTTCATTGAGGTTTTTGTCTGTACATGCGAAGGTTCATCTAATTTCTTGATATTTGACTTGGTGTGGGAGAATTTGCCACAAAGAAGTGTTGAAATTTTGTGTCCCTTACTTTGTTAGGAGTCATGAAAAAAAGTTAAATCTGTCACCGAAGTTCGACCAATGAAATGGGGGAATCTTTTCTTTCTCACATATCTACAAAGCTACCATGGCTATGAGTTAAGCAGATTCTGTGCTCCGTTTGCAGATTTTCCATAGGTTTCTTTTCTTTCTCAGGTATTAAGTGTCTGGAATTCCTGGGCGGTTGACGGAGCAATAATCTTTCGTTGTGCGGTCGGTTTTGAAGAACCTGTATGTCTTGGAAAACATCTCTGAGAGGATCGTGCAGATTGACTGTTACTCTTTTTTTACGTTCCCTTATAATGCAATTTTTTTAGAATAATTTTTTAAAGACACTGTCAATTACCCGCCAAAAAGTGTTTAATTGTAACTGGTTCGAGATTGGTTTTTCTTGAGTTTCTGCCGTGTTTTAATGTCTTATGTAAATCCTATTTGCGTTTAATTCAATCTTTGTTAGTAACATTTACTATATCTTAGTAAGGGACAATATTTACGGATGCAAATTGTAGAACAATTTTCAAACCTGTCTGAAACAAATATTAAACTTCACTGGCAAGAGTGTTCTTTTGTCTAAAGTCTATAAGAAAATAGATGGAGAACTTTTAGATGATCCTTGCCGGTTTCCTTCTCTCCTCTACGTTGTCCAGTACTTACAGGATTATTCTTCAGCATTTTCCTGTGATATCAATTACTTGTGGAATTTCAGTGATCATCATTTCAGAATCGTGAGGTTCTTTCCAGCGTTTTCCTACGGTGGATAACACTTGTGCGGCATTCCCGTGATCTTCGAGTCAGAATCGTGAACATTCTCTGAGGCGTTCTACTGGCGTGGATTTTAATTGTGTGTGGCATCCCGTGATCATCGTGTCAGAATCGTAACCATTCTTTGAAGCGTTTTCCTGCGGTGGATATTAGTCGGGTAAAGCGTTCCAGTGATCATCGTGTCAGAATTCGGGAACGTTCTTCGCGGCGAGACAATGTCATGTCATTATCGGCAGCGAAAGCGTGAGTAATCGTCTTGTCGCACGGAATCAATCTGTTGTGTTTCTCGTGAACCATGATTCGCTATGAAAACGTCCATCCAAGGTGTTCTGATGACAAACAGTGACAAAAATGATCAATTTTTCTCAGGATTCCTCTACGTTTTTCTTCCTCTAACAGATCTTTCTTTCTCTGGATATAGCTCCAGCTTTATTTTGGTCCTATTTGTGGTAATGCAATTTTTCCTCACTTTCATTTCAGATAGTTTCTTTGAAGCACAGTTGACAGACTAAGAAATTCATGGCCATCCAGTCATCATCTGATCCATTGGCGGAATTGTTACCTAACCATTAGTGATGCTGGTTCAGCCTCTGAGGTAACTCTCTTGTGAATATTTAGATACAGAGACTTCATTTTATGTACTGTAAATCATTTATGGACTCTTGTGTCACTCATATGAAATTAACCCTTGAACTCCCACGAGTGACCAAGACAGAATTTCTCTTCACAATCTTAATGCAATATCAAACAGACAAATGATGAAAACAAAGAAAAGTATCAGTAAGGAGATTATTAGTTGATCCAGTAGTAAATTCTTCTAACTAACATCACAAGAATTCTATGGTAGACAGTAAGGAGAATTACCTATGAAATCTTGGGTGTGAAAGCGCTAGGGAAAAGGGGAAGGGAATGAGGCTCTTACTGATTTTTTTCCTAAATCGTAGCTAGGTACGATCATTTTTTTTTAATGCACAGAAGTTGTGCAGGCACAACATTATGAGGGTTGTATTATTGTTTGAAGCTTTAATTTCAATCGAAGCAGAGTTGGGACTACTTGTAATGAAGAGTTAGGCTAGTATAGTGCAAATGTGTATGGGTGGGTGACAGTGATGTAACACGACCAGTACAGTTGAACTCCGATGACTCGAACCCTCGGTAACTCGAATTCTCCGCTAAATCGAAGCAAAACTGATTTCCCTTGGATTTGCCTTACATATATTTACTTTAATTCTAACCTCTATAACTCAAAACTCCACTAACTCGAAACGATTTTCACTTCCCTTTAGTTATGTTTGTTTGTAATTTTACCTTCGATAACTCGAAGTCGATTTTCACTAACGAGCCGTAACATTTTGCACCGGAAGATTACATTTAATCTCGTCCATATGTTATGACAAAGTGACCTTTGTCGATATCACACGTTTGTATGTCCGTAAACATAGTCCTGATATTTCTTCCCAGTGAAGAGAAATAATGGCGCGTAATCTGGAATCGATATGTTGTCATTACTTTTCAATCTTGCCCAGTTCATCCTTGAGAACAATGACACGTTTCTTCTTCCCCTCAAAGACAAAACCCCTATAACCGCGATAACTCGAAGTAATTTCAGTTTCCCTTGGCAGTTCGAGTTACCAGGGTTTAACTGTAAAATTTTCGCTGTGTTTTTGTGGTTGTGGAAGTCGTGCTTTTTGTAAAACCTTTGAGTAGTGGTAAAACCATTGTAATTACATGTATCCAGCCAGAAGTGTGAGAGTAACTTTCCTTACCATAAACCCACTTTCTTTTTCAGATGTGGGATAGAGTATCACTCTGTCGTAACTAGAATGGTCGAGATTTCGAAGAGGCGTTTTCCCTCACAGCATTTCCCTCTAGTTTTCATAGTCTATTATGGGAATTAAGCAGTGGACGTTCCACAAGGGGAAAGTGGATTCCAGCGAATCGAACACGAGCCACAGCGGTGAGAGGCGAGCGCTCTAACCTCTGCGCCATCCGCGCTCCCCGAGTCTCTTTTATGTCTCCTAGTGGCTTACTTTCTACAAATCTCTTTCCACTTGACTACTAGTAAATCCCACTTTAAAGCGCAGAAAGTTGGAATGGACAAATAATTTTAATCATTTAAAAACGCTGCCAATAAAAGAAAACATAAACGAAAGCGTGCGAAAATATTACAAGCTCAAGCTGGTGGCTTTTCTCCCTCGCCTTAGGTCTTTCACTGACTAGATCAATGAGAGATTCGGCGTAAGTAAGACGGCATGTTGCATGACTTTCAAACAAATATGCACGAACAATTTTTTTATTCTGATTACATAACTGGGTACAGTCGACTCCTGTAATTGCGGACACCCTCCGGAGGGAGAGTTAGTGTTCGTAATAACGTGAGTCCGTAATAGTGGGGTACGAGAGAAAACAAATTGTTTTACTCCGGACATATGAAGTAATATGTACCTACACAAACATTAAACTTCTAACGTGACCTCGCGAACGGGAAAAAGATGCGACCGCAAGAAGGAGATTCTTTTGACCTATTAAAGAATGGTTTCTTTATTTTCCTTTATTGTAATGTAGCTTTATATTATGTGAGTCGGGATCTTTGACGAAGTACTGAAGTGTCCGCTATAGCGAGAGGGGGGGGGGGGGGAAAGGGTACATGAGAGTGTCTGCATTTCCGTATTAACGAGATTCCGTAACAATAGGAGTTTGTTTCAGATATTTCTTAATGCGTTTCGTCGGGGGGGGGGGCACGCTCTTGTCTGCAACGGCGAGGTTTCCGCTGGGCGAGTCGATCGTTGCCTATTTCCGTCCCTCAGTCTGTAGACGGGGGCTGTAGAGGAGCAGAGCAGAAAAAGGTGGAGCTCTTGGATGATCTCGAACCAAGATCTCTTTTGATTGAAATGTACCTTCCTTTGCCCTGGTAATGGTTGGTAGAAGATCAGGCTTAGGTCAGGATGTGACCAGTACAAAAATGCGCTCACTCTGCGCAGCTACACCGCTTTGTTTGGCACGTGCCCCATTTACCAAATAAACCTCTAGAATAAGCTAAGTTTTGTAATCGTCAGTCGAGGAGCGAGTTATGATTCTCTCTTTCTTTTTGGATTATTAGAAGCCGGATCAAATAAAAACTTGTAACAATTCTATCCTCATGAAGTTTTCCTGTTCCTTGTTAGGGGGAAAGGATCAATGTTGGCCTATTTCTAACAATAATAATGACCCAAATCTTGGGAGGTTTTTCAGAAAGGCCTTTGTTACTAATGGTGTAGACCGATTTGTTTAAAACGAGTCAGACGGGCGTAACCTAGCCGCGCTGTATGCTGGTCTTTTCGCTCCCAAAATCACTTAAACTTGCTTTGTGGCCCATTGTACTGGAGTTTATCACAGTTTTATTCAGCGCGAAGTGATTATTGTATGACCAATCTCCCAGGATGAGATGTAAGTTGCAGGTTATCCCTAAACATTTCGTTTTATTCCCCTAGACAGTTCGCTATAGTCCGTTTACTTTCCACAGGAGAGAGAGAGAGGTTTTGTGAATTTGAAGTGTCTCGCGCAAGAACATCGGAGCCAGACCCCAGTATGAGCTCGAATAAGGACCTTTTGACTCGGGGTCTGTCACGTGCAAACGGTAAGGTCACATTACACATGTTCCCCTGGAAATGAGACAACAGGTAGAAGTAGAAGGGAAGTAATTTATTCCCTTCCATACCACAAAGCAGGAAATCTCATTCCTTCCACGTAATATTAGCCTGAAAGAGGAGGCAGGGTACCCCGTTACGATCCATTAAAGAAATTCACCCCCGTACATTTAATTTTGTCCCTTGTCACGTGCTCTTGAATCGATTAAGAGTGACATCAATAATTTTTCTAACCTTTTTCGGGATCACATCTGACCAGGTCTTTAAATTTTTTAAACCTTCAAAGGTTTGTTGGGATAGCCGGAGCCGGACTCACAATTTCTAAATGCTTGTCTTAACATTGCGTAAGCTTTACAGACACACTTTTCGTAAGGGCGTTTTCTGTGAAAGAAGCTTGTGCCGAAACGTTTACATTATTCAAATTTGCGATAAAAATAAAAAAGTATCAGTTGGAAAGGTGAGGTGAGTGTCAAGCCAGCCGCTGTGTCAAGCAGTACTGCAGTGAGCATGAGGAGACGAGGAGCTCTGGGCACTAAGAGTGAGTCAGCAACAGACTGCGCATGACCTCTTGCTCAACATGAGCCTGCGATATCTAGCAGATCTTCGGAGACAAAATGGTGAGTTCTACTGAATCTTCCTCGTTTCTTTCATCATGAATGATGAGAACCTTCGGAAGGTTTCTTTTTTTAATAGTATAGAAAGTTCCTTCACGTGACTTTTATTGTTTGTGTGATACGATTTACCCTTAAACTCGCCAGATTCGACAGTAAACACCACTAAAACGTTTATCTCGTCACACGTTTTCTGTCAAAACCAAAGTCTTTCATGCTATTTTGAAAAGCAAGTCCAGTAAGGACTTATGGCTAAACGATAATGTAAGTCACAAGTATTCATGCTCTGTGATTTGTAATGATTAGAGTTTAAGAATGGAACACTGAGTTGTTGAAGCAAAATTCGCAAACGTTGTTTTTCGTTAACCTGATCTATTTCATTAAATTAAGCTGACATAAGCTTTGCTGTATCTTGTTAAGAAGTGTATTGTGGAGGATAAATGCACATTATTATCTGTGGAAGAATGATTGTGTTATTGTAATTTTTTTAAATTTGAATGTAATATTTACTAAAATCGTGATTTGTTACACAGGGTCAAAATCAGTCTGGCAGTGGGGGAGCTGGAGGAGACAAGAAGGGAGACAAGGTGTGGAACCAATGAAAAATATATCAAGACTCGTGTTTAAATGCAGTTGTTTGCCACTGCAGCTCATCTTTGTCCTTAATTCAAATTTTGTTGTACATTGCCAGTACAAAACTGTATCAAACATGTTTGATCAAATAAGATTTGAGCTCCAGAAGTAAGCATTATTTATATATACAAGTAAAAGAGCTAGCTAAGAGCATTTCTTTTTGAAAAATATGTTGAACAAAATTGTGTTGAATAATTTTTTCTTTTGGATAGAGTACCAATTCATGCAACTTTAATTATGTGGAAGATTGAGGGAATTTAATTTTGAATCTTAGTTTTTCTTAGCATTCATTTGAGGCAGGCATCTTAGTGGGCTGGTTCCACCATTTGTTTGATAAGATACACCAACGAGAAGGCTTCTGATCACTTGCTATATGTTTACATGTACTGGACTCTTTTTCTAGGACAAGAGAAAGAAGTATGAACCACCAATTCCTACTAGAGTAGGGAAGAAACAGAAGAAAACCAAAGGCCCTGATGCAGCCAACAAATTACCTCAAGGTATTAAAAATCCTCTCCTGTACCAACTCACTCTTGCTTTGTTAATAAAATTAGCCAGTGTTCTCCCTTATTTGAAGCATGATAGATAAAATAAATTTTCAAACAGGTAAAACCAATTATATGTACATTTTTTGTTGAGCTTAGTGCAGACCAGACAAAGTGCTTATAAATTATTTCTCTATACAAATAAGGCTATGTTTTCCATGAATTATTTGAAGTTTTAGAAATAAAAATCTTTGCAGAATTATGACTTGGAGGCATTAACAAACAAATTCTTTGATATTATTTTTTTTTAAAGTTACTCCACACAGAAACTGCAGGTTGAAGTTGTTGAAGTTGGAAAGAATAAAAGATTATCTACTACTTGAAGAAGAGTTCATCCAAAACCAAGAGAGGCTCAAACCTCAAGAGGAGAAAAATGAGGTTCAGTCTTCTGTAAACTTTATTCTGTAATTAACCCTTTACACCCCAACAACAGTATGCATATTTTCTTTTTTAACCTCTATGCATTTCCTAAGGTGCTGACTGGGAGAGTTTTTAGAACAATCAAGAGCTTTGTTAGATGGTGATTGTTTTCTTTGTTCTAATTACCTTAATGTTTGATTCAGGGGTGATATTGTAAAGAGAAAATTCATGCTAGTAATCTAAGGGGTAAAGGTTTAAGGAAGAAATTGGAGTGACAGTTTGCCCAGTATAAAATTGAAACTTTTTGTAAATGTATCTATGGTACATGTATATCTCTGTAACAGATATTCATATTTGTAACCAGTCTCACAGATTCAAACTGGTTGAATTCAGGTGACTGATTGCAGAGACAAAGATTTAAAAAAGATTCTTTGAGTCACTGTAGACTGCAACTTGTCTCCACAACATGTTGCATTGTGTCTCTCAGTTGTCAACCTGCATTTATGTATCAACCTAGTAACAGTTCTTCAGTTAATATGGCTCTTGGAGGAAACAAAATCACTCAAATATTATTCACACAATACAAACATTGATGTAAATTTGATTGTAGGAAGAGAGGTCAAGGGTTGATGAATTACGGGGCACTCCCATGTCAGTGGGAACTTTAGAGGAGATCATTGATGACAACCATGCTATTGTATCCACCTCTGTTGGTTCAGAGCATTATGTTAGTATTTTGTCATTTGTTGATAAAGATATGCTGGAACCTGGCTGTACTGTATTGCTGAATCACAAGGTAACTATAACATATTTTTATTTGCATTTCTCCACTCGCTTTATCTATATTTCTAAGAATCAAGTGATATATTTCTTAAACGCTCTGAACTTGAGATCCATGTAATTGGCAACATAAAGACATGAGAGAGGTAGTTGTCTGAAACACATTTAACAAAAGGATACAAGAATGGCTACACTATTATGTAGTTCACTCTTCTCTGTCAATTGCCTGGAGCACTTCATTTGTCTGATGCTATTCTTTAAATTGTAGTCAAAGATTGCAGTTGTGATGAAAGAATAATTGAAATGTTTTGTTCAGGTGCATGCTGTTGTTGGTGTGCTGTCTGATGATGCAGATCCCATGGTAACTGTGATGAAACTTGAGAAAGCACCACAAGAGTCATATGCTGATATTGGTGGACTGGATCAACAGATACAGGAAATCAAGGTACTTTGCAGATAATTCTGTACCTCTGTCTTGAGATTCATTTCCAAGAGATTTTATCAAATGTCAACTTTAGATTTTCAAGCCAAAATTTAAAAAGTGTTTTCAAGTTGTTCATATGGCTACTTGTGCAAGTAGTTTTCATCATAGGTTTTAACATCTAATATTATCAATAATACAATACTATCCATAGTATTAAAACAGTGAAATTATTTAATCTGGTTACTGTATGACCACCCATCTTTTCTAGAATTTCCCAAGGTTTGATTGAAAACTGTTTTTGAGATAATTCCAACATTCTGTGAACAGTGTTCTCCTGATGGAGTTATGTCATGTTTTTTAGGAATCTGTAGAACTTCCATTGACTCACCCAGAGCTGTATGAAGAAATGGGGATTAAACCACCTAAGGGTGTTATATTATATGGCCCACCTGGTACAGGTGAGTTACACAATCCAACCAAATGTAAGAGAAGCATTATATTTCTAGACAGGGAAGTTATTATGCTGAGATGTAGACAGATCTGAGTCCTGATGTGGGCCATTGGAGACATCAAGTAATCACAACAAAGATTGCTAATCAAGAATTAAACACAAAATGATCTTCAGTTTTCATTAGAATTTTGTTTGTGGCTTACCATTTTCATTGTCTAATAGTGTTTGACTCTACATGAATACTGTTAGTCTGGCTACGTCCATCAGGGCTTCTGCTGTTAGGCAGAAGATAAATATTAATGAAACATACAAGTTTTAAATGCTCATCCACAGCCATTGCCCTGCAGGGGAAATCTTTTGTTTTACCATGTTCTCTGTAGAGCTGGTTTGGTGGTATGTGAAGGTCCCTTTAGTGTTACATTATATTTAAAATAATGGAAATCTGTAGCTGTCAGGAAACCTGATTTTTGGGATTACAAAGCATTTTTTTTGCACACAGATTCAGAGTACTAAGCAACAAAAAGTTGATTACATTTTTAGTTACATTGTGATTTTTCTGTCAATCTTTGGACTGTCTCAGCACTTAATGCATGTTCTCACTCGTATTTGTTTTACTCACTAAAGTTTATGTTTATTCATGATCATAGGAAAGACCTTGCTAGCAAAAGCTGTAGCCAATCAAACAGCAGCAACCTTTCTCCGAGTTGTGGGATCAGAGCTCATTCAAAAATATCTGGTAAAGGAAAAAATCTTGTTTCTGCTTCTTCCTAACAACTTAATTTTTTTTTAGATTGATCAAAAAATGATTTTAGTAAAGCAAGGGTAATATTGACTTTATGTGACACAATGTACTGTTGCTTTCTATGTGGAAGAAGAGTATGGAAAATGTTGAGTTTGAAGCTCACTCATCAAGTAAAGAAATCTCTCTTTTCTTGATGAAAAAACTCAAAATGAATCATCCTTTATCTGCTGTCTTCACTCAAGAAGACTTCAACATGGTTGAACCTACACTCTCAGACATCATATGTTGGGACACTTCTCCATCTATGATGTTCTGTCATCCGTCTTCTCCTTCCAGTGTTAATTGCCAGTGTGTCTATGTCATCTTGCAGACCAACATTGAAAGGGGCAGGGGAGGTAGTTATTATCCCAACAAATGTGTCTGGGAGTGTAGCTGCTTGCAAGATACTTGTTGCAAATTTATCTGGTTAATGGCCAAATGAGCTGGCCAGCAAGTGGTCTGCAACTCAGTTGTTAGAGCATCTGATGACAAAATAGAAACTGGGTAGGATTCAAACTCTCAATGTTATCTTACATGATCCATGCCTCCTTGCTTTTTTTATTTACCTTTCACTGTATTATTTTCTGTTTTAGGGTGATGGTCCTAAGCTAGTAAGAGAAATGTTTCGAGTTGCAGAAGAACATGCCCCGTCAATTGTTTTCATTGATGAGATTGATGCTGTTGGAACCAAAAGGTGTGTTATGCTAATACAACTTACACACACTGTTCTTGCTCATCTAATAACTTGTACAACAGGATATAAATGATCACATCCCACGAATGCATAAACTTTTTATTAATTAATTTGTTTGTTTGTTTGTTTGTTTTGCTTCTGAAGTCCAGAAAACAATGGTTTGCTGTGTTTTAATGGCATGGTTCCAAAATATTTTGCATCATCTCTCACTATTGCTCTTTCTAGGTACGAGTCTAATTCTGGGGGTGAGCGAGAAATTCAGAGAACAATGTTGGAGCTTCTCAACCAGTTAGATGGATTTGATTCCAAGGGGGATGTCAAGGTAACCTTTGCAGCTTGTGTTCAAATCTGATTGTTTCTATTTTTTAATTTTTTTCCATGTTCTTTTGTCCACCATTGTTAAGTAACCCTTTGTACCCAGCATTAGCATTCATTTTCTCCACAGTTCTCTTTTAAATTCATATGGTGCTGAAAAGGATAATTTGTTTGACAACTAGGTGCTTTTTAAATTAGTGATCATTTCCTATTTTCTCATGACCTTAACTTCTGGTTCAAAGGTAGCACTATAAGGAGACGTTTTTTGATCAGTCAGTCTCAGTGGTATAAGGGTTAACATTCAAGTAGAGTTGGTAACCTGCTGGTTAAATGATATAAGGCAAATTTACTTTCATGTCATTCAAAATGTAATCAGTATTAGAGAATATTCTGTACCTCTGACATTGAAACGTGTCTGCATAAATTATAGTAAACAATCTCTTTATGGTCAAGTATCAGGTCATGTGACCCCATAGCAATGTCATACATGGTGTGCATACAGACTCTAGCAAAATCTTGGGGGTCTCAACAGAAGTTATCTAGGATTTAAAAATGTTTCAAAACAGTAATTTTCAAAATTATTTGTAGCATTTAGCTTATATTGACTGAATGTTGGCCCTATTGTTTTTAGGTTATTATGGCCACAAACAGAATTGAAACTTTGGATCCTGCACTTATCAGACCTGGTAAAAAATAGTTCTTTAGAGAGAATGTTATTGTTGTTATGTACTTGAGTGAGTGATAGGGCTAGACAGAAAATATATATGGCTAGTAGTCAAATATTTGGCCAGAGGTCAAATATTTTCCCCATCAGATCTTTATGTCCTTTAGTCAATAAGCAATTTTATCTCATGAGTGTTGTTCTTTCTTTTTCTCCCTTTCACAACTGGTAGGGCTTTACAGCTTTGTATGGCCTTGCTAACCCCATTTTGTACAGCCTTATGTGGGGATCCCTGTGTACCGTTTTTCACTGAGAACTGAAACACTCCTCTTACTGCATTTCCTATGCCTGTAGAACTGAAAAAAATTATTCCTTTACCCACTTTGCACACTCCAAACTTTAGTTAAAACGTGCTGATGAGCTCGTAAGGCTGACTGGCTAGCACTCTCTAGTCACCTGCACGAATGCTGGAGAAAAGGTACGAGCCTGAAGGGACAAAGATGGGAATAAATGGAGTTTCATTTGATTGTAGTTTGGTGAACTAGGAAAATGTCAGCCTCCTGCTATGATTATTATAAGAGGAATACAATCTCAGCTTTTTTATTTGTTGGGTCTTCTCACTGACAAGTTCTTTTGTATAACCCTCCAAAGGTCGCATTGATCGTAAGATTGAGTTTCCTCTTCCTGACGAGAAAACAAAACGTCGCATATTCACGATCCACACTGGTCGCATGACACTATCAGAAGATGTCAATCTGGAAGAGTATGTGATGGCCAAAGATGACCTCTCTGGAGCTGACATCAAGGTGAGAAGGCGATATCAGTTGAAGCTAGTTCACCACCAAGAAGTCACCTCTGGTAAAAATAGTAAAATGTATTGTGGGCAAATTCCAACAGCTGACAGTCAACCTTAATTGCCATGGCCGCGCCTCGGCAGAAACGAGATCCTGAGGACGACATTTGAAGAGACCACAGATCCAGCCTAAACCAGGGCTGACGTAAACTTTGTCTGGATGATTATTTCTTTAAGTTGAATGATCATTTCAATTCACCTACATGCTGCTAGTATTAATATTGAGATCAAACTAACTTGTGAATTGTTTAAATCACGCAGGCCATTTGCACAGAGGCAGGTCTGATGGCTTTAAGAGAAAGGAGAATGAAGGTGACCAACGAGGACTTTAGAAAATCCAAAGAGAACGTGTTGTACAGGAAGAACGAGGGCACACCAGAGGGGCTCTACCTTTAATTTTGGATTTCGTCTTTTTTAGTAACAATCTGTTGAGAATTCTTTGTGTAAAAATTAATAAAATCGATATCAGTAACAAATTTTCTTGTAATGTGCTCTGATAGGTATTCTTAGGGAGAAAATACGGGGAAACAAAACCCAAATTACTGATAGGTGTGACCCAAAGATAATTTTTGTTTTGTTTTGTTTTTTTACAGCTAGTCACCTTTAGACACGCTGTAGGCGAGAGAGGGCCGTGGGGAAGGGAAAATAGGAAAACTTCTTATCCTTTCCCATCACACCTAGCGCTCGTGTACCATCCGTTGTATGCCAACGACTTTCTTTTACCGAGAAGTCGCGGTGCCTTGAGCGAAAATCCCCACGCGAATGTTAAAGACAATAATCAACAACATAAAATGTTCGTTATTTATTTGTTGTAAAAAATATATCTTATCATTTCTTCGAATTAATTTAGTACAAAAAAATGTTTTTTCAAGTAAAATTCCAATGTACTGATCAAGAACGAAAGAGTATTTTCGTCATCCTTGATTTTTCCCAGAACCTTGGGTATGGACTTGTAGTGTCACGCAATCACAAACACGTTTATGACCGAAATTTCATCAAACCCCTACGCAACGTTGTAACCAACCTCCTTGGAGAAGGTAGATCTTTACGTTGTACAAAAATAATCAGCAGTTGAGACACATCCGGTTCAGAGTCGAGTCCAAAATTCAGGCATCTGAGAGTGCGGTGTTCATCTCAGCGCCTCCATCTTTGTAAACAAAGTTGGCCTAGAGGTAAGGATGAGGGGCACCTCAGGTTTAATTCAAAAGGTACCGCTGGAAAAGGAGCCACATGTTAATGACATAATACGAACACACGAGACAAGGTAAGTCATCGTTTGAATTCTTAGAGCCGGCTAACGTCCACACCGCGGTTTTACGCGATCAGGCCTCAGGCTCTCTCTATAAGAAGATTGATTTAATGAAACTAATATTCTTCCAATATGAGCTTTCGGCCTTCTTGACACCGTTCACAAAGATAAATGTTCAGATAAAAGGTTCAGCTGAACTGAGGATTGTTAAGGACGCTATTTTGTTAAACTACGGCTACACTTTGTTTAAATGATCAAACGATGAAGTTCCTACTCTCAAAGATCGTTACTTACCCTCTCCTCCAGACCGGAGCTTCTCCGTTTTTTTTGAATTAACTAAAAAATGAAAGGAACAAAGTCAACAAAGATAGTAAATGTTGAAGGGAAAAATTGGAATCTACCTAACCTTTAATGTCAACGGGTTTCACAAGGATGAAAAGATTTTGTTTTCCCTAACACAGTTCGCTTAAATTCAATTTCATACCAATATCAACTTCAAACTGAAGTTTGAGTAGATCCAGGAATTACCCCAACCCTTTACATCCTAACATCATCCATATTCTCCATACTGTTGTTCATACATTTACAAGGAAAATCTGATTAATAATCGAGAGCTTTAGTTGTTGATCATTTCCCATCTTCTTGTGACCTTAATGTTTTATCCAGGCTTGACATTGTAAGGAGAAGTTAGATGCTAGTCACTCTTGGGGATCAAAGGGTTAAGACTATTCTGCACACAGAATTTTCTCACCATTACCGCCAACTCCCTTCCAGTCTCATCTCTTTCTTGACTTCGAAGGGGGAACAGAGAGGACCGTGGAAGCGAAGTTGCATTCACATGCATGCAGCATGCTTGTTCGCCGACACACTTTCGAACAGTGAAGTAAGCATTGCGACTAGGGTTCTAATACTGCTTTATGTTTAAGCCAAGACCATGCACTCGATTCAAAAGGTTAGGGCACAGAATAAGCAATGTTCTTTTTGGTATCCGCCGCTTTCGCCCCCTATCGAGTTCGCCCCTACCTTATACCACACTTTTCGGGTTCGACCCCACCAAGTCGAGTTCGCCCCCAGATTGATTCATGTCTAAATTAGTTGCTATCGAACATTGCAAACAAGTTAAAACCAAGACAAGTTTTGAATTTTAATTGACCGACGGCCATTTTGAAAGTTTATATGTGCGTGGGAGCTGGGGCGACCGGAAACAAGAAATAATGTGGTCAAACAGTGAAATACAGAGAACTTTCGTTGGTCATGACCTTTATAGATTGGGTGGCTCCTACAAGAGCCGTTTTTGTATTTGACCGAACCGAAAGGCTACAAGGTCGTTCGACGAAAACCCTATGAAGCGTGGAACGCATTCTCTTGGTCAGTCTTAAATAATCAAAAGCCTGACCAAATCGTGGTGTCGTAAATTCTTCAGTCTTAATTTCATAAATAAAGCTAAACGAGGTAAGTATATGTTACACATTTATTACAAGTCTAACAACTTAAGCAATGCTGTCGCGATGAAAGTGTGGTTAGCATCTTTTCAAGTCTGGTTGTTATGATCAACACAATGCGATGAAAGCGTGATTTGCGATCCTGGTTTGCATTTTCTCAAGTCTGGTTGCTATGACCTTAAAACACAATGAAGTGTGCAACGCATTCTCTCAAGAAGTCTTAAATAATCAAAAGCGTAATCAAATCGTGGTTTCGTAAATTCTTTAGTCTTAATTTCATAAATAAAGCAAAACGAGGTACAAGTCTAACAACTTAAGCAATGCTGTCGCGATAAAAGCGTGGTTTGCATCTTCTTTAGTCTGGTTGTTACGATCAACACATTTCGTGTTCGTTAGATAAACCGAGGTTGTTTTACATCTTTTCCAGTCTGAATAATAAGTTAAGCAATGTTGTTTTTATTAAGTGTGGTTCTCTTTATCACAAGTTCAGTGTATACAGTTATTTCTGGTAACCCCAGATCCCACGCAGAGTATTTAGTTGATTCCGTCAACTCAGTTCCCGAGCGGGTTCCGCGCAATTGCCGAAATTCAAAACGGTCGTCGCTGACGTGACATTTGGAACATTCTGCTAGTGCCTTCGTCACAAATCAACTCATCTGGATATCACTCAATCAAGGGGCGAACTCGACTTGATGGGGTCGAACTCGAAAAGTGTGGGGGCGAACACGGTATAAGGTAGGGGCGAACTCGATAGAGGGCGAACGCGGTGCAATTCTTCTTTTTGAGTCTATAAATGTATTCTTTGCAACCTAAGAAACTCTTCGGCATGCTGAGCTTTTCATGATGAACTTAAACATTGCCTTCACTCCTCCATGACACCAAGACTCGTCAGAACAAAAAGTAAATTTCACTTGGAATGAAAAGGTTTTTTCTTTAGTATAATATACGCTCAGAAAGACAAGGCTACCCACCTTAAACGCTACAAGAGCTACAGCAACTACAGCTAAGGTGCAGAAGACAGATATGAATGCAACACTAGTAACAGACACACTGCTGCTTGCGGTTTCCTCTTGTTTTTTGGAAACAGTTTTTTCTTCCACATACATGGGCGACGCTAACATAACTTCGGGTTCAGCTACAAAGGTGATACCGCTGAATTCAATGACCAGTTCGTGATTGCGAGCCTGTAAAAGGAAAAGAACGCTCTTCTACACAAAGTAACATAAACAGTTTTCACTCCAGATATCTTTTGGCTAAATAACTCGTAGTTATCATAACTGACTGAGTCAAAATAACATGAGCTGTTGTTCCAGAAATTTGTCCCGAAAATCCTTTGTTACATCCAAAACTCTTTGTGAACCACGTGGTGTTCCTGTGACCTACTAGGGTTGACTGTTGTTTTTGTCAGATCAGTAATGAGATTCATCAAACCTTTTCAGTTATTTCATCTGCAAAGTCTCTCAGGTCTTTTCCCCCGCTGGCTGGTTCAACGCTAAATCCAACTAAAATACTTCCCTCTTGCACCTAAAAATATAACGGAGAGGAACTCAGAACGAAGAGGAACTCAGAACGAAGAGGTGAATCCATGTGCGACAGACAAACAGTGACGAAAACTACACAGCTATGAATTAATGTATTTTTACCTTAAACATAATTCTCTCCAGAGGAAATCTTACTTTAAATCATATTATTACAAAAGAAGTACCCTTGGGGTTTTTGTTTGATGTTTTGTCAGAGACCCTCCTCCCAGTCAACTTTGCACGCAACACGCTCTCTTTTGCGTTACATGACGGGACGGATGCGGAGGAGACTACCTTCATCCAAGTATATATCAAGAGCGCACATACCTCAAGGCCATGTAGTTGATTTTCCTTTAATGAAAACATTGTTATCATCTGTGTCTTGACTGATCTAGAAAACGAGACATGAATATTTATTTTAACACAATCACCGGTACGATCTACTAAACGGACCAGCTGACTGACTTATGACTACGAACGGACGGACGGACGGCCAAATAGATGGAAGAAAAATAGAAAGAGGCTGAGACAAACAAACAAACGCAGCTACGAAAAGCTGACGGACCGGTCAAGTACAGATTCATTGCTTAAAAGTGATTAAAAAAAAATCGAACGAACAGTGCACTCACTCTTTAAATTGACCCAAAACATCCTTCACTAAACCTAGGCTGTAGTTGAAGGTAAGTCCAACATGGACGCTCCTAGAAAAAAAAGGAAAACTCAAAACAGAACCATCAAAACAAAATTCCAAACTGAGGTTACAACAGCCAAAAAATAAAACAGCAATTTTATTTGGAACAGAACGATTACTTTAAGGCAGAAAGCATACTTACAAAAGTTGTGGACCTGTGAAGAAATAAGGAAAAAAGAAACCATGAACATTTCAAAGCCTTGTCAACCAGATTAACGTTGGAACTGGAACGATGATGAATTTGGACTCAGTTGTTTTGTCTCGTGCGGGGTAAAAGAAATAACTTAGACCTCCGGATCACGAAGAAAAATCTTTCTTTACAGTTGGAACTGTTACTTTTAGGGACTTTTAGAAAACCACGACGGCGACGGAAACAAGAAAATAGATCTAATGATCTAGAAAAATCTAAACCTATGTGCATTTCTAAGCCTTCCTCTGTAGAACACCAACTTCGCACGGGAACCTCTACATAAATTTAATCGCGTCTTTATTTTGAACTCCACACCATATTCACATGTCTTGCCGAAAGAAGAAGTCGCACTGCCACAAAAAGTAAATACATCAAGCAACTGGCGAAATTCTATGAAATTAAGTCTTTACATATCAAGAAATTCTCAGGAAAAGTAAAGAGATTTATCAGGGTTGGTAATATCTATACCTTTGTTGGCGTCACAGTTGGGTTTTCCCCTTACTCTAGTTCCAGGCCACTCGGATCCGTCCTCTGACGCGCACCAACAATATCCAGTAGAGCCCCAGCACTGCACAAGCGCATAGCTACCATCTGCATTGCACTGGGGTATGAAGGCTCCTACCAGCGCGGGGTGGGTGGCTTGATAAGCTTTCTGTTGGCATTCTGTGAGACCTGAAAGTAAAAAAAGATTCCAAGGTACAACCCATAAGTTTTTCTACCCTTGAAATATCACTGCTAGCAAGCAACGTCTCCTAATGCTATAGTCATTTCATCATAAAGGCCACCGAAATATTGGAGAACAAACATAAAATGGATTAAGAAGGATCAACCTCGCTGTTCCTAAAAAAAACTGTGTATACACTGAAACTGTGAGTTCAGATCTGATTTACAGAATCTTTATGGTTTGAATATGAAGAGACCTCAAGCGAACCAAACATAGACACAATAAACCACAGTACAACCACTCTGTATTTCAAAGTACGGTGCCGCTTACATTGCGCCTCCTTGCCCATTCTGTTGTAGAACTTGGGTTTGCAAGCATCAGGGCCACAGCCTCCCATCGGGGCTACACAGTTGGCGTCAGGATTGCTGGTACAAGAAGCATTCTTACAAGTATCACCGCAAAGCTGCCATGTTTTGCCGTCATCACAAGAAGGACCGATACTGAATGTGATGGCACCTACAAGGAACAGTGACTTAATACTGTGCCTAATGGCAAGATGTTAAATTCGTTAGAGGCATCAGATTGCTGGAAACGCGGATATCAACACTAGTCACTCTCGATCTCGTTGTAATATATAAAAATATCAACAGCTAAATCACTCCTAATGTCTCAAATATGACTCATTTACTTATTACAATTGCAAAGGAAACTTCTTAAGTACACTCTCAATGAGGTTGCTTAGGAAATACGATTTACGTCACCTTTAAAAGGTAAGAGACATTTGTTACCTCAAAGATACCTTTTCTTTCTTTCAGTTTGAAACCTATATGTAACATACGTGGCTACTTTGCCCCATTGTCAGATCGCCCCCATAGTCAGGGCGTTCCATAAAGAGCGAGATCGCCCCGCCGCCGTCATTTCGCCACAAACAAAAGTGAATTTGCTCCAAACAATTAGTTGGCGAACTAATTGAAATCCTAAAACGCATACGACATAATTCGAAAGAGAGTGAAAAGGAAAACGAACGACCGAAAAGAACACCCCCTGGAAGCACAGATAACTTTGCATTCTCCCAAATCTCAATTTCATGTCGTTAGCAATTAATATAGTTGAAATGAGGCCGGTGCGATACCGGTGCAGCGCTCTACCAACTGAGCTAACAAGCTAACTGGGATTGGCAGAGGTCATAGGTTCAAATCCCGTATGGGCCTGAATTTTTTTCATGCCTTATTTCAACTACTAGTTTAGTAGTGTTCATAACTGCCAGGATCGCTTCTATATCCGTTTCTTCAATCGCAGTGCACATACACGATTTTCATCTATTTTAAGTCATCAGCAATTAATATAATTCATAAAGAATTTATACAACTTAAGGACTAGGGTAGTGGCTGAGAGGTCGAATAACAAAACGTTTTGTTCACTACTGTTGGGAAATGCTTGTTCAATTGCAGAAACAGATTTGCTGTAAGGGAAATTACTAAATGGATTGATCACTCACACGTTGGTCGTCCCCTGATTCTGGTGTCAGGGATCTCTTTTCCATCTTTATCAACACACCAGCAGAAGCCTATGGAGCCGTGACACTGTACTGGGGCATATGAACCGTCAGCATTGCACTTTGGAACAAACCCGCCAATGAGAGGGTTTTGAGTTGCATTCAAATTCTCCTTTTGACATTTCGTAGAGCCTGAAAATGGAAACAAAAATAAAACTTCTCTCACCCATGAGAATTCTTGAAATTTCTATAATTTCAAACTTGAGGTCTCAACAGTTGATTGATTCAACTCTTCCCTCAAAAGCCCCGACTAACTTGCCTTCACCCTTTCTGTAAGCGGCTTGATATAAAGTAACTTCAATGTTACGGGGAGGGGGGGAGTCAGGCGCGGTGGGGTGTGGTGCACTTGACAAAAGGGCATTTTGGTGGTAAAGTAACGGTTTCTGTTTTGATTTTCTTCCCCTTAGTTTTGAAAAACATACAGCAGCGTCAGACCTGAGATTTAGATAAGCATCAATCACAAATTAATTTCTTGATGCAAACGATTTTAAAAACGTACACTTTGGTTGTCCCCGAACTCTGGTGTTAGGGAGTTCCTTTCCATCTCTATCTACACACCAACAGAAGCCGATGGAGGCATGACACTGTACTGGGGCGTATGAGCCGTCAGCTGCACATTTTGGAACAAATTGGCCTACCATTCCGGGGGATGCTGTTGCATCCAAATATTCCTTTTGGCATTTGGTCGCACCTAAAAATAAATAAGATAAAAAGTGCTATTAAAAAACTTTATTTGAAAAACATACAGCAGCGTCAGATCTGAGATTTAGATAAGCATCAATCACAAATTAATTTCTTGATGCAAACGATTTTAAAAACGTACACTTTGGTTGTCCCCGAACTCTGGTGTTAGGGAGTTCCTTTCCATCTCTATCTACACACCAACAGAAGCCGATGGAGCCATGACACTGTACTGGGGCGTATGAGCCGTCAGCTGCACATTTTGGAACAAATTGGCCTACCATTCCGGGGGATGCTGTTGCATCCAAATATTCCTTTTGGCATTTGGTCGCACCTAAAAATAAATAAGATAAAAAATGCTATTAAAAATGACGCAGTACTTGATGACATTTTTCAATAAGCTTCCTCCGCATTTGTAAAATCTTGATTGCCAAGCTGCAGTTCACATTTCACATACTTAGAATCTTCAAGCACAATAATTCCAAACTACCCAGCACAACACGTATGGTTCATTTAGCAAAAACAGAAGATGCGACAAAAAAGTTGACTTTTCTGTCATGAAGATCAATTATTAATTCGTCTCACAATTAACAAAGAATGTATTTAATATCATATCTAAGGATGTTTGAACTGATAGACTAACTGACAAATTACTAGACTGACAAATCACAAATATTTCCAGTAGGTACCCGAGCACGAAGAAATAATCAATTCCACGATACGTACTCGCTAAACAGTCCACAATATTGTCGTTGTCATCAAAGAACTGTGCGTTGCAACCGCCACAGTTATCCGGAAGGCATTTGGCTTTGGGATTTGCAGGGCAGCTAGCTCTTTCACATGGGTTGTTGTGACACATAATGAAAGGGGCACCACGGGGACAAGCTGCAAAAAATGGAAAGAAAAGAAAAGAGGATCACACTTTACACCTCAGCAAATTTTGGATGAACAGTTACCTGCTGTGTAAAATTGAACTAACTGCCAATTAAAATAAACTGTAGCGCACTATCTGCAGTCAAAGGACTTAAATTAAACTAACCAAGATATAAAGCAACAAAATGTTCTTGTTTTTCAGATACAGTCCCAGAGTTATAATTATATTAGTTCTCCTTTACTAAGGAAATATTCTCTTTAAATTCCACGATACGTTAATTAAATGAGAAACTTTGCCCTAAGGAAGAGTACCTTCTCGGACAGGTGCACTACAGACACGCCCACATCCATTACCGCAACACTTCTGTTCTCCTTGGCAGTCACGGTCTGAACTGCACTCACTTTTACAAATACCGACATGGTGGATATCAACTGCTGGGCAATACCCCGGTTTAGCTGCAGAAGAAAAGCAGTTATTTTATTTTTGTGCCATACAGTCAACACACGATTGTCACAATTTAATGCAATCTTAAGGCATATGAATAAGTTTTAATTACTTGTTAGTTACTTGCATGGATTCATTTTCCAATCAATTTCTTTCTCAGTCGCTCAAACAATTATTTCTTCACAATTAGAGGGATTCTTCCAGAAAGAGGCATTCTTTTTTCTCATCAGTTTTAACAACAATGTAATGACATTGAACTTGAATCATTATCTATTTTGACTTTTGACAGACTCCCCAAGCTTCTAAAATATTTCCCTATGAGAGTCAGCCCAATAAGTTGCCTTCTCCACAATCATTTGTGCCATAACAAGGTTGAGCATCGTATCTATGCATAATTAGAGAAAAGCCAGTTTTCACCTGAAAGCCTTATTTAAAACGGTTCAGTAATTTCACCTGAACTATGACCTTCTTGCGATCAGCAACTAAATCCACACCATATTTTTGATGCATCATCAGATGTGACAAAGCAGCAGCATACAAAGCATATATATTTCAGGAAGCTTGAGAGTCCAACTTCTAGAACATTAACGCTTTTTATGAATTAATTGAAAATATTTCTGACCATACAAGGATAGATCAACAAGTACCTTTATATTCTGGAGCAGTACAGACACGACCACAGTCATTGGAGCAGCACTTTTGATTTCCTAGACAGTCATTGTCAGTGCTGCATTTCTCTGTGCATGTAGCAACTTGATCTGGCTCTACCGCTGGACAGAAACCAGGCTTGATGGGAACCTCTTTGCATTTACAGATATCACAGCCATCTGGACCCTGAGCCCAACCAAATTCACAGTACATTCTGCACACTACAGGCGCACACACTGAAATAGTGGAAGTCTTTTATGAGCTTACAGAACATTGAATCAAGTTTTTTTCCTGAGCAATTAAAAATTTAGTTGAAAATTGGTCAATTCTATATCTGAGAGGTGAGAGCTAAACAGTGTTTCATATCTTTTGTCTCACAATGTTAAAACTCAAAAAGTTGAGGTGTTGGATGATTTATTTACCTTGAGCTAGCAGTTATAAATAATGAAAAGAACATAAAACAGTGATCAAATCGAAACTGACACATCACAACCAACTTACACCACTTGAATCTTATGGCTAATAACATCACAGCCAAATGACAAATCAGTTTATACAAACTGGACTTAGTTCATTCAGCTGATAACATCTATTCACTTGACTCTGTTGAGGACTTACATTCTGAATGTCAAAATGTTAGTCACTACTTCCATCGACAATCCCTCTCAGGACTACACTTACCCAGATGATCAGACTGCACTGTTACATGTGATCATCAGAAATAAATTACCTTTACTGCAGGTTGGTCTTCCTCTCACTTTAGTTCCTTTGATTTCCCACCCCTGTGTGTTAACACACCAACAGTAACCAGTGGAAGGGTGGCATTGCACTTCTTCAAAGCTGCCATCAGCTTTGCACTGTGGTATATAACGACCAGGCATAGGAGTCCCTCCTTTGTTCCAGAGATAAAAGATATATTAAATGTTATCAATACTACATTGTTTAAACACACACACCTGCTATGCAACATTTCGGTGCCAATTATATACCATTTCAGCTATAATAAATACAAGAATTTTGGGGTCAAGATTGAGAATTGCATATCTCTGAAAACATACCATCTAGCTGTTCTAATGTGAGCTACTAAATTTGTTCAGGTTCTTTTGCAATACATTCACTTGTAAAGGCAGAGCTACTTTGAAAACATCCTACAAAATGAGTCTCCTAACCTCCCATGCAACATCTCTTAGTCTATTGAAAGTAAATTTTATCTACAATGAGAAACATTTCAGGGTTTTCTAAAATAACATATTTGAATATTTGTGATATTTTTAAATGGTTATTTCAATCATTATTTTTCATATGTTATTTTTCATTCCCATTTGTTTTTTCTTTTTTTCTCTTTTTTGGAGTACACATGTCACTTAGCATGTTCCATTTTGGGGAGAGATTGGGGTAGTACAGTCAAAAAGACAAACTTGGGAATGAGAGTGGAGATCACAAACAAATCTCTGCATATCAGATTTCCAGAGGTTGACATCTAGTAAGTAAGTAAATAAGTTAACTCCTTATTTAAAGAGGGTTTCACTTAAAGGCCAAAAGGTTCATAATTTGTGGCCCTCAAAACTTGTAGCCATCCCTGAAATGATGGTCAGTTCAATGAATACCTGTAATTTACACATTTTGTTTGGGATCCCAATTATTCATAATTACACTTACCACTTTGTAGCGTCTGTAACTGGCACAATGTTAGACCTACCAACAAATTTTAAAAAGCATCATGTTAAAGGGCACTGATTACTGACACGTTTTCAGCAGTGGAATTATTATCCAATACCTGCAGTTAGTCTACCTAAACAAGTAACACTCAACGTACAGGACTAAGTTATTTGAAGGAAGGATATTGGTGTCTGAATTAGGTTCACTGACTACTCAAATATAGTTTCCTTTACAGTTATTGATGGTGGTTCAGATTGGGTTCTACCAAATCAGCCCAATTCATAAAACAGTCTTGAGAAAATAATCAAGGTTTTCATTGAGAAATTTAATACATGAAGCACTCTTAACAGAAATTTAATATTAGCCACATTATGACATTTTGTTTTTTTGTAACTTTTGATGCACATGGATAGCCCTGGATAGTTGATAATTCTATTTATGGTCTTCTAATCAACTAATCGTGAGTTCATGAATTACATGTGTTCTATTGGGATCCATCAATTTGATTGCACCTGTTTTGGCTGACAGGGTTGAAGTCTCCCCTCAAATCACCATACCAGTTGCTTTTGATTGAAATGCAGTCACTCCTGGAGATTATCTAACCTAAAACAACTGATCCTGAAAGACCATGACCCAAGATACCTGAAAAATTCTTAATGGAGTTTACGAGAACTTGACAATGATTCTAACATCCTGGCATTTTCAGACCATAAAAACCAGGTCATTCATGCTCTCAACACCAACTAAATGTTAGATATGCAATTTTTCATAGCTTACTACTCTTCAGTTGACTGAGACATGTTGGTTTCTGGAAGTGTCTCCTTGTCCCATTCACTTCCTTTCCATCAGCATCAACACACCAGAAGTAACCTTCATGGGACTGTACTGGCTCAAAACTTCCATCACTCTTGCACTTGGGAACAAACTCTCCAAGCATACCAGTTGATAATTTTTGCCGAGCTTGACACCGAGTTAAACCTAGACAATAAGATGAGCCAAAAACTGTTACTCCTAAGTAAATTTTACAAATATCTAAGTAGTCTGGACTTTGAGAAAGGTCAGCTTGGGTATTTCTGCCCAATATGTTCCAACTAAAGGTTAATAATTCCAAAAAAAAAAGGTGAGTTCAGACAAGTTTAAGATTGTTCTACTGTTAATGTATGTAACACTCTTGGATGGAATACAGGTTAAACATGTGTGAAAGAATAAATAACATTTACCCTTGACACAAGATTGACTACTGACACAGAACAAACCTTTAGTGCAGTTGACAATATTTCCTTGTTCATCATGAAATTCAACCTTGCACATCTTACATGGATCAGAGAAGCAAGTAGCTTTTGGATAAGCAGGACATCTAGCAAACTGACACATGTGTAGACACAGCAAGAAAGGTTTTCCATTTGGACAAGCTGAAACAATGACAATGACAACAAGATTCTTTCTTTGTCCCACCCTAAAACAATCGCTTCTTATCTTTGTTAAATTAATTGATAGAGCTAAACAATTTCTCTCAGTGTAGCATAGGATGATGTCAATATTGGTGATACTAACAGCACATAGAAAACTTTCACATGTGACCCTGATATATGGCCTAAATGACCAACAAGTCTTCTGTAGCTCATAATCAGTGTAGAAGTTGAAAACAAGTGGGCAGCATGGTAGCCTGGCAATCAGCATGCAAGATTTACCAGTTCCAAGACCTGACCCCACCACTGTGCTACATTCTTGGGGTAAGCACTTAGCTCTCACAGAGCCCCTCTCAACACTGGAGAGTAAGTGGGTAGCAGAAAACAGTCAGAGAAGTGTGACAAATTGTATGGGGTCATCTGCAATGGACTATGATATCCCATCCAGGGAGGAGTGTCAATACTCAATATCCCATCCAGGGAGGAGTGTCAATACCCAGCTGGTCACTTCATGTTACAGAAAGCTGGGATGGATCACTTGGCTCAAAGACAGACTTGCATGTAACCATGATTAGTTTGTGGAGCATCTGATCCTGAATCAAGTATGGTTAGGCTTTGAACCCTTACACTTAACTCAGATCATTATTTGCCCCACACTTGTGAGAAATAATGAACATCATTCTTTAACTATTTCCCATGAACAATACAATCAATACAATTCTTGAGTTTTTCTACTTATACAAAGGCAAACCAACTGTCTCAAGCATGTTCTTTGAAAACTCCACTTTAAACATTTTACACAAATTTATGTACAAGAAAACATAATTATTGTCTCAAAGTGGCTCAGAACATTTATTTAGCCCCTCAGCAAAACTGATAACTCCTCTTTCTTCAAGCACCAACCCAATATTTCATATGAGGTAACTGTTGTAACTGATGTTGTTGTTGTGGAAGTAGAGACCTATATCTCATTTTGGAGGGGGAGAAATGTCCCCCAGGGCAAAGTTTATGGAGAGGACATTACAAAATTGTAGGTTGAAAGAATGCTGATAAGAAAATAAGAAAAAAGAAACAATAATAATACTGAAAATAATTTATAAACTCATATGATGCATGCTACATGAGACAATAATCCAGTGCACTTTATCAAAAATATGATAAAATTGGCAGATACAATATGATAACAAACAGTGAAATTGCTTAAAATTACAAGAATGAAATGCTGTGAAAAAAATTTAAGACTAAAATCATGTGACAACTAAAATGGCTTTAACTAAAACAGCTTAGGCAATTTACATACTTGTAAAAGAAGGTTCTTGGCAGGTTAATCCACATCCTGAGACATTACAGCACTTTTGCATTTCTTGGCATTCATTATCTGAACTACATTTGTTTGAGCATGCCCCAGTTCTTGGCTGTTTCACAATTGGACAAAAGCCATCCTTGATAGATCGTTCTGTTGAGAAGAGAAACATATCAGTGTTACTGTAACATTCTCAATGTTTTGTACTGGGTTTGATTTCAATGACATTGATAAACCTTGCTGAAGTTGTTTGTGTGGGTGTGACCCATTTTGACCAGGGACTGAAACAATAATGTTGCTAGCGCTATTATGGGTAACCAATCAACAAAAGAACATAAATTAGTGAAGACTTCTTTCAAATACCCAAAGCAAATAACACAATACCCACTAAAAACAGATTGACATTTAAATTCAAAACTCTTGTTTCAAAAGGACATATGCCAGAAATAGTTGACAAATTGCTTAAACACACACAAACTTTTCTAACTCTTAAAACATGGAACCATACAATCATATGACCCACCCAACATTTTGACTGATTATGACTGACATGTCAATTCAGAGTCTTCACCCCTCCACACCCTAACATAAGTATGCATGTTCTTCATATTGTTCTCTCAACATTTCCTAATTAAGTTGCTGCCGATGGGAATTTGTTTAACAATCAACAGCCTCTTTGGTTGGTGATCATTGCTTATTTTTCTGTGATCTGAAGGTGTAATTCAAGGATATTGTAAGGAGAAATTAGATGTTGGTCATGCTTATGGGACAAAGGGTTAATTAAATACATTACCACCAAGTGAACATAAAATCTGCTCCATCAGTCCAGTCAAAAGGTACCAGCAACAGGCAATTTTGTTGCAAATAACAAGATATCTGCTGCTTACTTTCTACTAAACTTCATTGACAACAAATATATAGTCCCTACTGTTTCAAACTGTGAGCAAGAAACAAAAAAGATAAACAGAAACCGTTTCTTCTAACGAATTGACAAAGGCACCATCATTTGAGCAAATGTGTACAAGCACCAAGTGGCAGAAATTAATGGGGCCAAGAAACAACTTGAACATACTGGCAACTGCATGAAAATTAGCCACTGAAGTGGTCAGCAGTCAATGTTCTTGCAGCCATTGTTACTGCTGCCTTAAGCAATACAGGCCTTCAACCTTTGCTGCCTACTACTCAACTCATCTTGCCTACCACTAAAAAACCTTTAGACTGGGCTGCTCCATACACCTGCATTAACATGTACATACTTGAACGTCCCTGAGAAGGACAGACTGGCATGCCTCTGACTCTTGTTCCTTGCAACTCAGTACCATTCTTGTCCACACACCAGCAGTATCCAGTAGATGACCAACACTGAATCTTGGAGTAACTACCATCTGCTTCACACTTTGGTACAAACCTGCCAACAGGTTGTAGGCCACTGCCACTGAATGCTGAGGCTTTCTTTTCCTGCAGTTTACACTTTGAGAGACCTAAAAATATAACAGAACAATTATGGTGAGCACTTAATCATCCTGTAAGTAGCAGGAACTATAATTAGAAGCACTTAATTTATAACAAAGGGTTAAGAGTTTCTAAAGAAACTATTGTGCTACAAAGGTGGGGGTGGGAGGGGGGTTATACAAGATAATTAAGGCTGTCAACTTAATTGAGTGTAAATTGGTGACCATAAAGAGTTTCTAAAGCTGATATTTTGAGTGTTAACCCTTCATCGGCTCGAAATGTCAGCTTTAGAAACTCTTCATGAAGACCAAATTGTATCATCAACTCAGTTGATAAAACCTAATTATCCTATTTTAAAACAACCAATTTATGTAGCACTGGACATTCAGTTATATCATTCAGTTGTAAAGAGCTGAATCGTGGACAGAAAATTGCTGAATGGTTTTTATCTCAGTGCACATCCCAGAACAGGGTTCAATAGTTTACTCAAATACTTTTTGTCTTGGAACCATTTCTTGCACAAAAAAATCAGCTGATATGAAATTCAACCTCATTCAAAGAGCAATTATAACGGAAATCTTACCATAATCTACCAAGAATGCAATGATTTAACCCTTTAACTCCCCAACAGAATTTCTCCTTACAATATCAATACAATACAATACCAAAGGGATTATAAATTGACCAATACATAATTCTCCAAACTGACATCACAAGAACTCTATGGCAGACAGTAAGGAGAATTACTAATGAGATCTTGGGAGTTAAAGGGTTCAAGCTTCATGTAAAATTTGGTAATACCTTCATGACAGTCAACCACTTTGCTGTTCTTATCAATAAACTCAACTTTGCATCCACCACAGGGGTTAATACGGCATTTTGCCTCAGGATGGGCAGGGCATGTAGACCACTGACAGAAGTTGCGTAAGCAGGTGAACATGGGTTTCCCTGAGCAAACTAGAGAGGAAAACAGTGACATAGATTTTGTTTCACACTTGTGTAAGGCTCTCATCAGTAAATCATTTCAGTATCAGGAACAAACAGAGAGTAATTCCTCTTTTCATTATAATCAAATGTATACATTGCAAGAAAATAATGGAATTGAAGAAGAGAATCTTGATCAATCAACTGATAACAAGACAATTCTCTCTGCATACAGATAAAGCTATAAATTTAAACATGGACTTGGATATGACCTATTCATACAATACTACTATAATGCCAAAAGTAAGATAAGGTAAAATCTGTGATTGATTTCTGATCATCTACTGTATCTCATTATATCTCAGTTGTCATTTCACCAGCCATGATATTTCACACTAGTGAGGCAAATTAATTATGTGAGTTCAACTGTTACAGCACCTCCCATAGCTGTCTTGTTACAATGTGGTAAGCCACGATTCATGGTTCCGACCACAGGGTTTCCTACAACATCAACACACCAACAATAGCCAGTGGAGCCATAACACTGTACTTCCTCATAGCTTCCATCTTCCGCACACTGTGGTACAAACCGTCCAATAATGGGGTGAGCTGGTTTTTCATCCAGAGAGTGAGTACCAAGGGCTTTCAGACGTTGATTCTGGCACTTGGAGAAACCTGGTGGAGAAATAAAACACAACAAAAAATGTACCAATTTATCCAAAAATAATGGTCAGTCTCTAGTTTTCAGAGCAATTAACAAAGTATGGAGAGTAAATGACTGCTAAATGCAAAAGAAAGTAAGAGCCAAGGGACTCTGAGTTGTGCAGAGTAAGTTAAATCCCTGCTGGCCTGATCATGGTGTTATATTCTTGGGCAGGACACTGTACTCCTACAAAGCCTCTCTCCACCCAGGAATGGATGAATGGTAACCATGAACCATCCATGGAATCTGACAAAATGCTGAGGATACACTACCATGGGCTAGCATCCTGTCCAGGAGGACAGGCTTAGAGCAGCTCTGATCTGTCATGCCAAACCCCAATTTACCAATTTTCAAGCACAGTGATGATTTCAAAATAGGGAAAAGTAACAACTGTATAATTTCTTACAATTCTTTTGATAATTACTACTTCTAAAATAAGCTCCATTCCACCAAGTTGCATTAAACCACAGATCATCAATGGCCAAGCAACTGGGGAAAATTTTAGCCTGAACAACAAGATAATCCATTCATGAAGTTTATCTACACATTCTGTCTCACTCAATCTTCAACCCAGCTAAAGTAGTTTTTAAAAATTATTAATACATGTTTCAAATGGGCAATACTTGAAGGACTCAAATCCATCACTTCCTTTAATAGCAATTACCATAACACTACAGTAGTGTGCTACACTTCATCTAATTGTGCAGTAGCATACCAAGTAACGAAACCTAGTTGCTCTCTCACAACTTCAATACTTACAGTCAACCTTTCTGCCATTTTTATCAAGGAACTCCACTTCACATTTGCCACAGGTGTTCACCCTGCAGGTAGCATCTTTGTGGGCGGGGCATGAGGCTGTATTACACAGCATTGGATCACAGTCAAACCCTCTAACTGACACTGGGCACACTGAAAATAAGATCAAATCTCTCTGTCAGCAATGACCATACAGTCCTCTACATTATGGGTTAAACTCTCTACTATGTATGTTTGTACATGTGTACCCAAATGACCACTCCCCAATGGGCCTTTTCATTCACTAACAAATGGTAGGATGGAGATGCCTCAAGAGCAGGTGTCTAAGCTAAACTTTACATTGAGATGCCATTTGTTGACCTAACATGACGACAAGAAATTATTAACAGATACACAATTTCAATCATCAGAAAAAAAAAAGAGAATATCATGCACACTGCTGATGGCATTGTATGTCTTTGGAGAAAGTGAAACATTAGCTGGCAATCAGTTAAGACATTCATGCAACATTTTCTAGCTTAATAGTCTAACAATTCAACAATTCATGAAATGAGCAGGGGAGATCTTTCTTTCTCAATCATTCAACTTGTTTAACTCCCATGAGTAACCCAGACAGAATTTCTCCTTACAACATAAATACAATATCAACCAGATGAGTGATGAGAATAAAGAAAAATATAAATTTGGGGATAATTAGTTGATCCAATACTAAATTCTCTGAACTAACTTTATAAGATGTGTATGGTTGACAGTAAGGAGAATTACAAATTTGAGGTGGGAGTTAAAGGATTAAGAAAAGGTCATCTAAATATTGAATGAATGTTAACAAAACATGTGACATTCCTGAGAGTCTAAGAAGCCACTTTTTTCAATTCATATGATCACCACAGATACCTAAAAAAAACTGTTAATCTGATAATCAGTGAGACAAACAATAAATTACTACAAAAATATCACATTTGCAATTGATAACACAAGCAGAAAAGCAACTGGCATTGAAATGAATGCCAACATTAAAGAATGTTTGCTGGTTGAAAAAGAAATTCTTAAAATGAAAGCTTTCCCTATTAGTCTTGGGCCTTTTAAACTAAGCTGAAGGCTTGCATTTTAGAGACATTTTTAACCAGAAAATGCATTTCTCATGTTTGTGGCTAAAATTTGCAAACTTTTGCCAGTAGCGTTTAGATATACCAGAAGTTGTACAATCCAGGTCTCCTCTTGTTCGCGTTCCACTCCATTCATGTCCATTCTGATCTACACACCAGCACTGTCCAGTTGATGAATGACACTGTTTCTCCTTAAATGAACCATCACTCTTACACTGTGGCACAAAACTACCCAATGGAGGAAGTTTTTCAGCTTCTTTCCTCTTCTTTTGGCACAGAGATAACTCTGAAATATAAAAGAAAAAACATTATTTAAGAAATTGTTTGTAGCAAACCTCAAAAATATTTGTTTCACACTGTTTGCAGCTACTCTATTTATTTATTTTGCTTTGTTTCTATAAACCATCTAAAAATATAAGAGGCTGTGAAGCACTGACTTTAACAACAAAAAAGCTAGCAGCAGTAACTACATTAGAGTAAGTGGTTTGAACCTGATTGTGTAGTCTGATCACTCCTGTAAGAGTAGTCTTTATATGGAGGCTGGTCAGTAGTAGTGACTGAGATTTTGTCAACCTTGATGGAAGTCATAATCTCTGCTCAATTTGTTTAAACATCAGTCACTACTATCAAAAACAGCCCTTTTCAGAACTGTTCACACTGCATGCTCAGTAACTATGTCGGAATTCTCTTTGGCCTCAGGCTCATAAATTACAATCTTTTCTTGTTTTCTCCCAATATCCCACATAGGTTATTATGCCATTATTATCAATATATGCGGCCAAATAGAAAATCGGCCTCTTCAAAACACACGCTCAGCGGGCCGCAAAAGACTGACAGCGGGCTGCTAATGCATTATCAGCCCTACAGCTGATCCGTTAACTTTGTGATGATTCTGTTACCAGCATGGACATTTTTAAGGTTAACTTTGTGATATGCCTATCATTTATAGACGATTTTAAGCATTTTTTCGGTAATTTTCAATAAGTTCACTGGACTGAGTTGATTCTTTAATAGCTTGTTCAATCAACACTTACATGATGATTTGAAGTGACTTTGAATTCGTCATTCACTTAGCTTGTATTATTAAAACTCGCATTCTTGATATCATTTGGCCTTGTTCATTGATAATAATGATAATGACATGACTTTTTTTTCGGGAATATTGTTTATTTGCGCCCTTGTAGTGTTATTGCAAATGACACTACACGGGCGCAAATAAACAATATTCCCTCAAAAAGTCATGTTATTCCCTTATTAAACAGATAGAAAGTGTGCATTATTACTCAAATAGTTATATAACACATAAACATATACCTGGACATTTGGGTTGAGTTCTTGATCTGGTGGAAAAATCAGGAATTCCTCTGTCATCAACACAAAAGAAATATGCCTCGTGGGACTGAACTCTGATAAAATGTCCATTTGCATCACAGGAAGGTACATACTGACCAAGAAGAAGGGGCTTTTTATGAGTAGCAGCTAGCATACGCTTACACAAAGTTTCCACTAGAAAAAAAGTGTAAATGGCCCATCAGGAAATTAATAATCCAGTTCAGTCTGAGGGTCCTTTTAACCACAAGTTTTACTTTTAAATTTTTTCCTTTGTTTTATCGATTTTTTTTCCATGATATTACCTAATATATATAATACCTAATTTTTATTTTTCTTTGCTTAGGAAAGGTTCTATAGAAAAACAGGAAGAACTAAAACATCAAACGGTTCAAAACTAAAATAAAATTTTCAGCAAGGATCATGATGTGAATATTGGTTATTTATAAAACTGATAGCTCCCTTTCAAAGTTTTTATCTGATTTAAGAACTTGAGGCCAAGAGTGACTCTGGCATCTGAATTCTCCTCACAATATGACCACTGACTCACAAATTAGGGTAATGAGAATAAAAGAGATGATCATCAACTAAAGAGGCTCTTGATTGTTTAATAAAAGTAATTCTCCTCTTCAGAACCTTAGGAAATGTATAGAAACATGTAAAGAAAATAATTGCATATTGAAGTTAAGGTACAAAGGGTGAAGAGTTTGAGGCATATAGTAAACTATAACTTCTTGAAGGGTCTGGCAGGATATTCAAGCTGGTAGACCAAGTTACAATTCCTTTCTGGAACAACTGGTTTTTTTTTTTTTTTTTTTCAGCCAGAGTAAAAAAAAGTTTCTAATAGTCAAGTGACATGACTCATTTCATTTATCTACCTGGACCACAATTTACAGTTTGTCCTGTTGTCTTGTTTATAAACTTCACACTGCACTTGCCACAGGATTCCACCACACATCTCAAACTCTCTTGAGGTTTATCAGGGCACCCAGCGTAGTTGCATAGCTGGGCAGGGCAGTCCACATGCTGTTGACCAGATGGACACACTGGAAGGTTTCAAGTAAACAGATTTATTAATTCATATAAAATTGAATAATTCAAAGTAACATTAATACCCCTGGTTGCTGAATATTATATCATTTAATCCTGTTTAAAATTTTCCTTTGACAGCACAGTCCACTACAGAACCATTACAGATTGAAAAAGATCTCAGAATATTTTCAAACATAAACATTAGATCTCCATTTTGGTGGAAAGTACTGAGCAGACATTGCTATACTACGGTATCACTTCAACATTTATTTCCTATGAATTTTTGTCATATTAATAATACAATCATTTGATAATTGAAGGTCTTCTGAGGCTCAAAGCTAGAGTACCTCACTTACATGTAGGTGGTAATCAACAGGTCGTTTTTCTCAATCACACTATTCTTTTCAGGGTAGTAGGAGATTCTGATTTTAACATTTTCTATGGAATATGCACCCATCCTATCACACAAAATGTTCTAATAGGCATTCCCATGGAATAAGTGCCTTCTCCTCTCATAACAGTGACCATACACAGAACAAATCATACTAGATTTCAAACTAGTTTGAATCACAACAAACTGTGATCCATTAAGGAAAACTACACCAACAATTACAATGTTCTTACTTGGTTCAAGGCACCAAGAACCACAACCATTACTACAACACTTTTTTGAACCATCACAGTCTTCATCAGCCCCACAGGTGGTGACACAGGGGCCATAAGGTGATGCCCTTGGGCATAAACCATCTTTGACTGAAAACAGGACATGACAAATTGTAAGCCATACCAATTGAATTTGGATTAAGGAGGTTTCTAGGGCTTGAATCAAATAAAATACAGTATTTTAAATCCTTCTTGATAGCACAATGCTCCATTACTAGTCAACTCCATTTAAATTCCTGGGTGCAAAGTGGCAGTGTGGGTTAAGAACAAGAAACAATAACTTGACAAGGTTTTGAACACAACATTTGCAACTTGTGCTGCCTTAAGTCACTGTCTCTCCATTGTTAAAACTTAACAAGTAAACCATCTGTGATACAGGTTTTTATTTTTTCTGTGTGTTCCATGATCCATGTTCCATTGGGTGAAACTAACTTAAGTAATAACCAACTGAAATTACACATTACACTGAGTCCAAAAGTAACTTAGGGAATGTGTAGAAATTCTTTGCACTTGTTGACTAGAAAATCCAAAAATGTAATGCATGTATTAGCAATTTAAAATTTTCAAAAGTTCAAGTAGAAATAACGTTATGAATGTGCTCTCCTCAAAAACAAATTAAGATTAAAACTTACCAGCACTCAAGAGAGTAGCCTAAGAAGAAAACAATTGAAAATATATCATTAGGTGGAATGTTCACCACATCTTGGATCCTTTAACAAATTCTCCTTATCAGCACCAAAGAAAATATATGGAGAGCAGTATGGAGAGTATGTTTATTGAAATTTAACATATAAATGACTCCACTAACCTGAATTATGACAATAAGGACAAATCCAAGTTTAAGGTTATTCATGGCTAAAAAAAGCCTGCAGAAAAAATTTTGAAAAAGTGGTGAGATGAAAAAGGCATATACATTGTTTAAAGGACTGCATTCAGATGTAAATGTACATTTATAAATATGAGCAAAAGTATATCCCATCAGTCATCAAGTCAAAAACTAATTCTGTGATCCTTTCAGATTCATCACTTCCTTATAAAGTTTAATGTTTATTCAGTTTAATACGAATTGAAATCAGCATCTAGGATCGCACTTCAAGAAATATGTTCATAAAAAAAAAATGCTCATGTCGATCGAAGAAGATCACACTCAATTTGATGCTGTTACTAGTGATTCGTTCACTTCCTCCTTCCATTTATTCCAGTTTTTAAGATAATGCTCTCCGCTGGTCGAGATTAGGAAATTTTCTTTCATTTTCGAAAGTGAAGAATAAAATTTTTCTGGACTAGAGTCAGTCTCGTCCGTAGTCGTTCTTAAACTCGTCACCCAACACTTCTCTCCACGAAAGGATTCCTGTAAAGAGTCATGGAAAAGCCGCGAAGCAAACTTGTCCAGTGTCGACACCCCAAATTTGTATTGAAATGCAACATGATCCTGAGTTTATAAGATTAAACGGTCATAATTCTCGATCGTGACAAAAACAAAACAATCGCCTTCACTTGTGCAAAACAGCGGCATGCAATGAGACACGCTTTTACACAGAGACAAAAGGTCAAGCAAGCTAAACAATAGCTGTCATAACCTCTCTTGAGCATGTCCTGATTTAGAGTATACAAAGATTATTACAAAACTTCAACGGTAGCAATAAATTGAAAAATTCCTTTTCAAAATAAAGTCGTTCCCTCCAAAACATGAGTTTCTTCTTACTATTCATTACATAGAGTTCATATTTACAGGCTGTACCCGATCGAGATGTACAAAGAGCTATTGGAAATGCTAAAATTGTGTAGGTTCTACAAGGTTTCATATTTCATTTTGCTCTAGCGCAGCTGATAAGATTGCAAAAGTTGCCTCAAAGCTAATTATTTTAAAAAGTTTGAAGTTCTACCTATGTCACTCAGCGTAGCCCATGAAAATTACGAGTTCTAGTTAGCTGTAAAATACACATCATCGCCGATTCGATCGCTGAAAAAATTAAGAAATTTCTACACAGCGCGTAGCTCTCTCCGGGTATACTAGCCAGCGTCGATTCCAAGCGCAAAAACAATTTACACAAAGTACGCTCCTAAAATCCTTCGGGAGCCCTGCAAGATTTGTTGAAACATTTTTCTAGACGCATCAAATGCACTTTGTTACTTACCAGTAGAGCTATCAAGGAAAACGTATTACTTACCACACGCTGCAACGACAACGTTGAAAGTCAAGGCCAAGTGAGGGCGAGTAATAGTTTTTCACACGTTTTGTATCCGCCTGGGCCTGTCACGGTGCGGAACTGAGAGCGCAGTCCAGTCAGCGGTGCGGAAATTTTCTAGTTTACCTCGGCAAAATCGTTTCTTTCAAAATACTTTTCTGCATCTAAGGCTGCTTATAAAAAGGGTTGAAGTAAACTTGTCCTAATTGCAATTCCAAAAGTTAAAAACTATAACCTTACCATGGTCAATTGCATCATTATGGCAAGTTTCCAGATTGCAAAAGCGTCAATCAAAGGCTCTCTCGGGAGAACCTAATGGAATATTGGAAGAGACGGGGAGTGTATCGCTATAAACTTCGGTTTTGAACGAAACGAAGAACGAAAGTTGGCGACCAACGATTTTACATCATGAAAAATTAAGGATCATAGAAACTAAAAGGATTGAACTTATAAACTAACCAACTAACAAGCTACCATTCTTACGCAACATTCTTACATTTCGCTGTTGATTTCTTTTAACGGTTTCGAGCACCTCTCGCTTATTGTCTGCCAATTATAATCGTAATTGCTTTCAATTGTATTTATTTGCTTTTGGTGAAATTTCGACCTAAGCGCAAAAGAGAAGAGAAGTATTCCTTCATATCAATTTCAATATTACATGCCACAGCTCCACGGGCTGCAACAAATAATTAATACCCCCTATTGATTGACGCTCTATGGGTCAAAGATCATTTTCGTACACCCAAACACGTACAGCGATCGAAGGGGGTACTACTCGTCATTCTCTGTACTTCTCTAAATCGTGAACCCATTTCAGACCAAAAGATTGTGACACGTTTCTTTCTACAAAAACTAAGTACATTTCTCAGCGAATAAAAAAAAAGCTAGTTGATTCGAAGACTGGATTAATGTCTCCGACTTCCTTTCGCTTACACGCATGCGCAAGCTAATTTCTACTTCCTCTTTTGTTGCTTTTTTAAAATCACTGACATTTTTAGGTGGATGGAAATATTTATTTTCTTTCAGTATCTTACTTCGCCGAGTACCGCAGTAGTTTGAGGTTTTTGCCATGTTTTTCTCCATGGTGACTTAGCATCATTTCATACTACATAAGGTTACTTCCCACCTTTGCGGATGTCCTCAGCGATAAAATTCGCACACGCGTTAGTTTCGCTAAAATTCTAGCAAACTATACATCAGGACAAAGCTAAATAACTGCTGTTTACGATAAAAATATAATTTAAGCGACTTTTCTTTTAAGAAAGTGTCAGGAGCTGGTAAGGCGTGAAACAATCGATATTCTGAGTGATTGTCTAGAAATCGGCATCTAAAGTTGGAGTAGCTAAATATAAGCGAGGCTTGTTGCGTAAATGGAAGCCACAGGAAAATTGTTTAAAATATCAAAAGTTACCCAACACACTTTCGTTTTTCATTATTCTTGAAATATTTTGGCGAAATTTGATGAAAATCGGACGAGACAACAAACCGACAAATAGTTTTCAAAATGACGATTCGAGGCCATTGTTAATGTTTTTGTACCAAGGCTTCCACAAAGAAAAGGAAGCTCGTCTCCCCTCTAAATCTCAATTTGACCCAACAAAGGAACACACACAACCCTTGGATGCGGCTCACTTCAAGCTAAGCGCTGCCCGTACCGAGATGTAACAATTTTTTTTTTTTTGTAATTTCTTTTTTTTTTTTTTTTGATTTTACAAAACATTACTCTACTTACAATACACTACAGGGCTCAGTTACAATACGTCACTTACAATAATTTGCTGAGAACAAACTACTATAGTATAGTTTACAATAAACTTGATTACAGTAGATGACTGTCGCGGAATCAAGAGGACTGTATACTTCTTTGTTTTCTAAACGCGTTTATTTTCTTCCATCACTCCTGACAATCTGAACATACTAACACTCTAACGATCTAATACCAATCTGCCCTTACAATTCAGTGCTACTTCGTTTTACAGTTCTAGATGCGAAATAAAGTAATTTTCCCACAATCACGAGTTCAGTAAATTCCCAATCCCAAAGTACTGTAACATACCCTATTTTAGTTGCAATTTCACAATTACACGTTTCTTTCCCTTATTTAGTTCACTGTACGCATGCAAATCAGTGTTGAACTTTGTTTACAACGTTGTGAAATATCATGTCACGAAATCTTCCTATTCGCGTTACAATCAGTCTAGTATTTCGTTACATTGTGTGACAATTTATAACATTAATCATTAATTATAAAGAAATCGTTCTCGACAATGACTTACTTTCGATTAATTACACTAACTACACAATAATCCACATTTACATTATTTTATGACATATTACACTACTTTCAATATGTTACGGTAAATTACTTACAGTATCTTACAAGTTGTATATAGCGAAATCGTATGCTTTACAACAAAATTTGACTTCTTGTTCAACTCTGCATTGTTTGGACGACACCCAATCCCGCAAACCGATATGGGGCAAAAGCTTATCCCATTCCGAGATGTATCACGACGTATGGCAAACTTTGGTTTGACAGCGACCTCTTTGTTCGAAATCTGGACGCCAGCAGTACAAGTCGCTTTCACAAAGGAATTTTTTTCTTTTCTCATAGTTGACAGAATGGTACTCTTTCTTTCTTATTCGGGCCTATTTTTTTTCTTTTTTTTTTTTTAACCAAGGACTTTCTTCCGCTTTTGATTTTTCTATAAGCAAAGAGCTTCTACGTGTGAATTTTGTGATGCGCGATATACAAGGTTTGATTTCAGCTTAGTCCAATAAAACAAAAATCGATTTTTCGGCCTCTGAAGGTGGGAAGTAAATTTAATTTTAATATCATTTAAAAGTGTAATTTGATCGTCCGAGTGAGTGTAGTCCTGAGAAGGACTGTTGTCGGTGGTGGTGACTGACGTTTCGACAACCTGAGCGGAAGTCATCATCAGAGTCAAGCGAATAGATGTTGTCAGTCGAATGTTCTTAGTCCGGTTTGTATGAACTGATTGGCCAGTTTTGCCGTGATGTTATTGGCTGTAAGACTCAAGTGGCGTGGGTCGTTCGTGATTGGCCGTATCGATCGGTCGTGATTGGTCGTATCGATCCGTTAGTGAAGTTAGGTCGTTCTGTTCGGTTCGTTTGTAATGTTAATGTCGTGAATGCTTCGTTTGTATGGTGCCGGTAGTGGTTGGCACCTGTTGAGGGGAGTCTGTTCCAAGTTAGTAAACCAGCTTTCCAGGGTCAGTCGTTGAAAGTGGTTTAATATCATTGTTATATTTTTCACAGAGTCTTTACAGAGGGTGGCAAGGAGGGGGGCGGTCTGTTGAAGTCCTAAATGTAATAACTGTCCTAAATGTAATAAAGTCCTAAATGTAATAACATTTGGTCCTAAATGTAATAAAGTCCTAAATGTAATAGCGTTCGGTCCTAAATGTAATAAGCCTCCTATGCAATCGTTTAACTGCGCTAACATTGAAATATTAAAGTGACAGCTGTTGCGCTAAAGAATCCTCTGTCCAATATTTATGGAATATTGCAGGCTCACTGATATTAATCAGCGTCTTTTTATTTGTTAAAGAGGTAGGTTGAGAAGCATTGGCTACAAAACCTTATACTGATACTGATGTGCTTTTGGCATCAAATTGACGGACGCAAAAGCAACGAGAACGTTGACTAATAGCCCTCTCTATATCATTGGCTCAGACTCTTCAGTGTAACAGATTTTGACGAAATACTTCTGTCTTCAGTGCTGAAGTTAACACTTGATGAACCGAATTACAAGGAAAAAGAAGTCCACCGACTTATACGTTAGACATATTCTGGGCTCAGAGGGGCATTCTTTGTACGGTCTTCCCTTGCCAGATTTGTACGGGTCTGCATAAAATATATTCATATATTATTGACCGAGCGTGAGGTCAAAATGGCTATATATTGGCTGAGTTTTTTTTTTGCGTTTTTATGGACGGAGACGAGGTCACGGTCCATAAAAAAGTAGAAAAAGAACGAGGCTAATATCCAGTAATCTTGAAAATACCAGCATGGTCAAGAGAGTTTATATTCTCTTGGCTTAATCATTAAAGGATTCATTGTATAGCAAAATATTTCGCTTTGATAAGAATCAAGAATGGCCTGTTTATTTCGAGAGCCGATAGTGAAAGCCAACTGTGTTTGCAGTACAATAAACCCAAGAGGGTCGTTTATTTTTTTCTATGTATATGCAAATATTGTCCAAAAGTTACGAACTTTGTAAGTTTTCTTGCGTGGGATCAATACGGGTATCCCGAGCGGGCGAGGGTGGGCCCATCATGCCCGCTCAGGTAGCCAATCAGAACACAGGATTCACTTCATCTTGCCCACGTGCGCTGCTAGCTATTTGATAAAGTGACTAGTGAGCAAGATATCGACTGACCAATCATATGCTATCCCATTTCACGATCACAGGTCTTGACATGTTACCTTTTTTCCACGCAAGAGTCAAATTGAACCATTGAGCTACACCAATCAACACATGATGGTCAGTTGACGGTCTAATGAACCATTCATTTTTTTCCTTTAGCCCCTTATGACGGGTTCATCAGTTCCGCGAACCGAAATATTAGGAAAACGTATATTTTACAGTTGATCTCAAGTTTATATTTCATTTTTTGTCTTCACCTCTTTTCCCCGCCGTGAGGGGAGAAAATGAATAGCTAAATAGATGAATGAAAAAAGAAAGCTCAACAGTTTCCACTTATAGTCATATGGTACATGAACTGATTACTGAGGTGGAGTAAAGCCATAGAGGGCTGGAAATGCAATACCCCAAGTTCAAAATTGAATAAATCAGGATAGTCATTCTTAAAAATGAACTCAAATGCTTCATCAGAATCAATCGACACTGAATAACATTGATGTGCAAAATTTCAATAACGCTACTAATAATAATAATTTTCTTTATTGAATGATTTCTGTGTGACACAGCGAAATCATTCAAACTGCTCTAAAATGGTGCATCACTACTAAAGACTTAAACACGAAAGATAACATCATTCAGTTCATCATCAATTGTAGTCAATTTCTTTTCCAAAAAGTCTTAATGGTTACGTACCAATCGATTCCATCCTATTAAGCTTCCAGCCAAGCACTAGCCCACTTTGGGCTGGAAATGATTTTCTTCAACTCGATTGATAAACCGCTTTAAGGACCATACTTCGACTGCTGATATTTCTTATGTCTAGCAAGTAAAAAGACGCTGATTGATATCAGTGAGCCCATAATGTGGCATGTATACTAGTCAGCGGTTTTTTGGTGCAACAGCTGTCACTAACATATCATTGTGGATGTCCGCCATAACAACAATGCACTGCAGGAGTCAAACGATTTCATTGGAGGCTTATTACATTTAGGACTAAATGTTATTACATTTAGGACTTTATTACATTTAGGACCAAATGTTATTACATTTAGGACTTTATTACATTTAGGACAGTTATTACATTTAGGACTTCAACACGGTCCTGATCCCGTTTCACGCATTTGTACTTTGAACAGTATTTCCTGCGTCACGAAAAGGAAAAACTTCAAATCTCACCCTACACTCCCTTTCTATAAAATTTGCGCGTTAGGTATCAACTTTTTTGCTTATTTACACGTTATGTATAAACCCTTTTTCACCCAATTTAAAAAACAAAATTCTTTTAAAAACTTGCCCCGGCTCCATCAAAAGCTAAAGGAGGTAGCTAGGGTTTGGGAAAGAAAAAAAAATTAAAAAACGAATGATGAATTATGAAGGATGAATGAATCAACGACGCTCGGCAAGATTTGATTTTGAAAAGTTCGACTAACTTTCCCGCGACTAAATGAAAACAGATCTCTCAAAAAAAGAGAAACTACTTACAGGTAGGTAAAAATCTGCACGCCGATTTCATGATCGGTATAAATATTATGTTTAACATTGATGTGACATTTTAAGGTCAATATCAACATCTGAGCACAAGATACACACTGTATGTAAAAATTAACGATCAACACAGACCCCTGACCTTAAGATTTTCCGATCGTGGATGCTTTCGTTACATCCAGGGGTGTCAGATTCGTATCTTACATCTAAGGGTTTTCAATTGTTCCTCTGAATAGTCGCCCATGTAACAATGAGGATTTATACAAGGGGTTTTTTTATTCAAATTGTACGGTAGTTATATATAAGGGTCTGTTCCCAGCTACTGATGATGATCCCACATATGTACCCTTTATGTCGAGGTCGGGCATGCATGCACTCGTTTGCGTAGGACTTATTATGCCGGTTTTAAGGATGCCTTGGACCTCGGCGGGTGCCCTTCGCGAAATATTTTGCACTGTTTGAAGCATGAGAACCATAAACTTTATATCAATGGAAAGGTTATAAAATGCGCTGATCGTAAACCGACTGAGGTGCGATAATTCGAAACGGAAGATGTTTCTTTGAGCGAATTATTCGACCGTGCAAATAAAACTTCAGCACATTTTCAATGCTGAGGGGTTGGTCTTCAAAACTACGTGGAAGGTTTTCTATATTCTTTGTGGTTCCCTTGCAGTTTTTCTATCAAGTTTTCCTACGAAAGATTTTTCGATACGCGTTACGTCAGCGGCCATCAACAGAGACGTAATCTTCCTGTCCTCAGCAAGGTCATTTAAGGGAGATGGACAATCGACATGGTATTCGTTGATCCAGTATTACATTCCCAGTGTCGAATTCGTCGCGCGAGCACGGCCGGCGGCACGTCAGCGCGGCTGAAATACTTGTGCAAGCCGCAAAGCTAGTTTAAAGTCATGTTACTCAAGAAAATTTTGGAAACGTTAACTAGACCCTGTGAGCAGGGTAACTGGGATACCTGGATGGTACTGGATCCTTGGAATCAAGTGTGGTGATACTACGGGTGTCGGAATAGTATACTGAAATTGTGAGCTCAAGTTTGGCCAAGGGCATACACCTATTTCAAAACATAGGTATGCTATGCATGCAAGAGTTATCTTTTGTAGGGTGGGTGGATTACTTGAAACATTGTAAGTGGTCTTCATTCTTACAAAAGGAAAGAAGAGTATTAACGCGGAAAAGAACGAAAATGTCGAATTACCTCACACACAGGTATTTTATGGTAGATTATGTGTGTTGTGCGAACAAATGTAACCAAAAATAAACTGTATTGGTGCCACGGATACCTGTTAGTACAAAATGCAGACAGCAGACTGCAGACCGGATAAAAAATATAGACTGCAGAGTGCAAAGTGGGTACAAAATGCAGACCGAGAATCTGAAGAGTTTTTACGTCTGGTATATAATAACATGTCATCTTACAGCTTACCGAGCGTCACGCAATCGCTTTTCCGCGATCAGCCTTCACGATTATTTGCACTATTGTGGAAAATTCCTGGCCCACTTCTTGATTAAAATCGATCGTAATATAATTTCAAGCCTTCAATACAGTCTTTTTACTTTGCGCGCGAGTTAGTTGGTGTGATGTCTGTACAGATTTTACCAACGTAATAAAAGTAGATGACGTGAATAACAGTGATGGTAAAGCAAGCTTAAAACGGCAGAAATCGCCGGAAACTACAACGGATACATAAGGTTTGAATAAGTTTTATTAATTTTACAAAAAAATTGTTCATATTTCGAAATATTTATCGTTGTAAATCGACCATATTTCGTTCCCTATACTATTCCTTATAACGTGTTCAAATTTTCAATGGTTCCTCTCGTAACCTAACACCGAGTCACACAACGCGTGACGCGTTCATGAATTAATCGTTGGCTTTTTCTCGAGGCGTGAGCTTGGGCCGCCTGTGACAAGACAATTGCGTAAACAATACTTAACATAATAACATTATACACAACAAACACAGGATTTTGGATCATGTATTTATTAAAAAGAATATTCATACAGCTACAATGAAAACAAACATAGGATTCACCCTTCTGATCGTGAAATTAAAACCATTCGCACTGTTATCGTGGCTACGTTCCCTAGCATCAAGTGAATCCAACATGGCGTCTTTCTTCACAAGCAGTTTGCATCCATTAGAGTTTTGTTCTTCAGTCTCACGGTAGTAGTGTTGTTCAATAGATTGCATAGAGTATATGCAGTTTGGTTTCAGATTTCAGATTTTGCTTTTTACAACAAGTGTACGTTTTTCAACTAAGACATTGGCCTACTTGGCCTACTTGGCCTACTTGGCCTACTTGGCCTACTTGGCCTACTTGGCCTACTTGGCATACAAGGCATTCAATGCTTTCAAGCGTTGGCGACTCGATCCGTTCCAAATTACTGCTCAATAATATCTTTCAGAGTGGATTGGCCGCGAAAAAAAAGATTTGTGTGTGCGTCCGTAAGTATTTTGAGCGTTTGCGCCATAATGCTCCAGGTGATCGTAATCCAAACACGTTGAAATACAAAACGACTGACAAAAGAGTTTTATGAGCAAAAATCTCATGGTTCGTCATGTGACCCGGCCCTGTCCGTACATGACAACGCCAATCATCATCAAGATAACACGCGTGATCAGCATGTGAACACCTCATTGGATCACAGTTAGTTGTCATGGTGTTGATGGCCCAATGACCACTTGGTACTATTGCGCAATTTTTCCATTTTGTGGCGGAGGGAAAAAAAAAAAAAAAAAAAAAAAAGACGACAAAAAAACAAAGGCATTTTATGACTGGGCTACCACAGGTATCCCAGTAACAAGCCAGAAAACCGATAGTCTCCTTCGCAACCGTTCTTTGGGATGTCACGCAACGCTCCACCCAGAGAGTTTCTCTGAGGGGAAGCGTTGCGTGACATCCTATATTAATTGAACGTCTTTGTCAAATAATGGGCACGGAATCATAGGAAACCAGATTAAAGAAGGGGCCCCTATATTGTAAATATTTGAAGATTTCCCATGGCACCGTTAGGGAGAATTTAGATCAAAATCAAGAGTCTTTCAAGTTAATGATCATTTCCTTAACTTCCATGAGCTTAATGTATGAATTTGCGATACCATTTTTAAGAGAGAATTAGATGCTAGTTACCCTCAGAGGTTAGACTAGACTAGAAAAAAAAATTAATTATTGAACAGGCAGACACAAAGCCTTTACGAAAAGAGACGCAATAATCGTGAGGAATATTCAACAAGACGCTCATTGCACTTACAATTTATTGACTGAAACAAAAGATTTCCATGACGCAAATAATATCGGTAAACATAAGCACCGAAGATCCACCCAATCTACTGGCTCCTAAATGTATTTCTGTATTGATTTTAAGATTGTGAGCGAATCTCAGTTCAATGCAGGCTAAATCAGTTGATATTTAGGCAAATGGTGTCCCTCTGTAAACGAAAAACAATTTTAATGTAGCTCGTCTAAGTGCATCAAAATCAATAATTACGAATTGTCAATCAAATTGATCATCTATGAAGCTCTCTAAAACTTAAAACCGAGTTTTAAACACATTTTCCCTGTCTACAAGAATGCTTAACGTGCAAAAAGATGTGTCTAGTATCTTTTGACAATATTTTATCCTTGTTACTTTCCGGCTGTGTAGAAAACTCCTAGGGATAACGAAAAAAATACTTCTACTGGATTAGTCTTTATTATGCGCGACTTGCGCTGCCTTCTCTTTTTATGGAAATGAGCTTTCGTTTGTATAAATTTGTAGACAAAGAAATGATTTTCTACTGTATATCTAGGTAGAAGAAAATGATGAGTACTTTTTTCGACGGAAAATTTAAATTGTTTGTCGAGAGATAAAGTTAGACAACTGTCGTTATTGCATCTTATTTCTTGATTACCTTTTCCATGTAAACTGCTATATCTACAAAAAAGTGCCTTTCGCTTTTAAAATCGTTTTTTTTTTAATATAGCTATAAGCAAACCTTTGTGGGCGTTCCCCTAACAACTGGTTTTCAAACTTAGCCACAGGAACAATCTGAAAATTCACAAATATTCACAATAGCTCAGTTTCCTTGTTAAGACTTGTCTGAAAGGAATATTTATCTCAGTAAACACAATGCCTTAAGGGCTCAATCAGAAATGCAAATTGTTAGCACAGTTCTTTCATCCTTGAATTGGAAAACTATGTACAAGCTACCAGCGGCTGCAGCATTGTTGAATTTTCTGTCCCAGTCTCCTTCTGGCCATTTTCCATCACAGTCGGAGCATCGCTTGTTTTACGAAGAGTCGTAGACGAGCCACGCGTCACTCGCTGACGTCCAAATAAAGTACACTTAAGAGCTCTCCTGTACGAGGGAAGCCTCCATGCATAAATAAAAATGTCCAGGGCGACTTTGATGAAAAGCGCTAGATCACTGACTCGTAGACAAATATGGATATTGACTTTTTCAACCAAGTTTTTTGATTTCTTAAAAAGATAAATGTAGAGAGCAATATTGTGCAGCGAAGCCGAAACTAACAAGATGGCTGTAAGATAAAATGTCATGATGGTAAACTGGCGTTCGTTGTGTCTTTTCTTGTAAGAATTTGCTCTTCTGAGAGACTGGTTCACAGAGGCCGCTCTGCGGAGAGTGTATTTTCGTTTGAGATGGCGGTTAAAGGATGTATAGAGTAGTACCTGAACAACGATTAAGACAATAGAAAACAAAGTAGGGTGCATGACAAGGTCTATTAATAAAAATGTGTTCAGCTCTATTCCCGTAAACTGCAGCATGCAAAAGCCTGTGATGTAAACACTGCTCACAGCAAGAGAGCAGAGAACTCGATTTTTGGACACTAAGGCCTTGAATTTGTGTGGGTATGTGACCGCTACATATTGACAAACAGACAAGGCGAGAACCACGAAAAATGACACGCTGATTGCTATAGTAGAAATGATTCCGCCAATCCTTTGAATTAGCTCATAAACTGCACCAGGCCTTGCGTTGAAGTTGGAAAAACCAACTACGTAAAAAATTGCAAAAAATGGCTCGACGGTCAATCCCACGAGCAGGTCGGATATGGCGAGACCCACGATGAAAAATGTCATCGGTGTGCGAAAACACCGCAGAGGATCTTTGTAGATTGCTGTGAGAAGAAGGGCGTTGGATATAACTGTTATAGGCGACAAGATGCACAATATGACGGCAAGAGCGAGTTCTACTTGTCTGTACAGGCGTACTTCTGGGGAAATGAATGAAATATTTCCACTTACGTTTTCAAACACGTTCGTAAGCGAACCATTCATGACTGCTCAGCAGTTCAGTCTAGTTTGACCCTGAAGATGATGAAATTAACTAAAGATCCTTGGTCATAGCTTAAGATCCAATCACCGTCGAAAAACAACCTTGTTCATCTTAGAGGACCAGGACAATCAAAATATATTTTCCGCCAACATGTTTAGTTCACCTGCCAGTGAGTCATTCAATGTCAGCCAATACTTATTAAATGGCCTGCAGGGTTTTTATATCAACAACAGAGCTGAATAATTGTTTCCACTGTCTGATCCCCGAGGCGCAATGAACTTTAATGGCGCCGCCGAGGGAAATATATTCCCTCAACAAATAAAACTGACAAATTTCGCTTCACTAAATATCGTCGATCAAAGTGCGATGGCAGGTGCTCTGACGTTGGGAATGAAAACAATATGTACGTGTATAGAGGGTGACTTAAGTCTTCTACTGGAAGCTATGACGTAGGTCTTCCGTGAGTTCGGTCAATTTTATTAAATACAGCTCGTCCTTTCACAGAAGTCTGAAAAAAAACGGAGAAATATCAAGTTTTTTAATGAAGTTAGAATGAAACAGTAGTTATTTTCGATTCCCTGCTGTTACCCAACGGTCGCGCGTTTCTCTTTTCGAAGGAAGGGGTTGATGATGTTTAACATGACCAGATGACACGTTGGGTATATAAACAATATCGCTCCGACTAAACTTGTTTCACTCGCATAAAAATTATTTATGCTACACCTTTACTCGAATTTGCTCTATAATTCGTTTAGAAATGATCGTCATAAAGGGCACGATGTTCGCGACACTGATTACGCAATGATTTAAGAAGGAAGGGCAATAAATCGTTTCTCTGTTGCTAACTGCACCCGTACGCACGAAAATTTGGGACCCTTTAAAACTGAAATAGAAAGCGAAGTTGTGTGATACTTACAACTTTCACGTTAGAGGGATTGGAAAATCAAGATGCTTCTCTACCGGCTTGAGATGTCGATGAGGTGATTGAGATGTAGTTTGAATAGAAATCAGTCCTTTTCCTCCGTGATTAAGCCTTGAATAAAAATGTCTGCTGAGGAAGTTCAATGAACAATGCGACATACACGTAAAGTTTACTTAGCAGGCGATTACAAATCACTCCCTCCCCCACTCCTCAAGAAAGAAAAAGTCTTGGTTCAGCTGGATGTTTAGGTTTACGACCACTCAAGTCTTGCAACGAAATAAAGTGATAAACATCAATTTTTAAAAGGCTGGTGAACAAAGTTCCATTGGCACTTCACTATTCATGTTTGAAAAGAAAGCACAGAGTTTTGAATGGTAATGAATTAAATTTTTTCTGTCAACGAAGGCGGTGGCAGCGCTCTTTATCAAAATACTGAAGAATACAACTTATGACAGGTGCCATCAAGATCGCAAATTTCAAAGGTTCCCTGATATCTTGTTTCTCATTCAGGTGAAAACTTTGTTTTTTCTGAAGGAAAGTAATCTGGCTTCAGCAAATCAGAGCATTGACAGATTTTTTGATGATGTTCTCACTTAAGTCGAAATTTTGAACAGCCTTACTCCTTTATCTCGAAAATCCTACGAAACAATAAAATTATGCCGATGGAAAAACTATAATTTTCTCTGAGCGTTAACAATTAACAATCGATTTGCTATATTAACACCAGCCACACTGTAAATTTTTCAGGTTTCTATTTAGTTGTCGATGAGATGGTTTTTTCGAGTCATTCATTTTACTTTCGAAAGGTTCTCTGCTATTTTCGTTTCTGATGTACTTAGGTTAAATTGCCATTCTACGTTTGTAAATAATTTCTATGCAAAATTACTGTCCACTGTGTTACAGAACAAACAAGAATTCGTAAATTGCATGCCTAACTTGATTAAAAACAGTGTTAAAGGCCAGGGGAAATTTACCTACTTTCATACATGTCAGCGGGTTAAACGTCACTTTTTTGCAAATAGACGTGTTTAAAATGAAAGCGATGTCGACTTCTTTTAATGTTTGTCGTGTTCATCGGGCACTGTTTGCGACATGAAACAAGGTATTTACACTGAGAACAAGGCTGAAAACAATTCCTAACTGATTAAAAAGAAGGAGAAAAAGACGTGAAAGAAGTCCTAGACATCCATAAATTTGCATTAGCGAGGGATATGCTTTTTTGACGCACGCACTCATACTTACTTTTAGGCTTAAAGACCTCATAAGTTATTCGAGTCGGAGTCAATCGTTTACTGAAAGCAATATCTAAGTAACTTCACGAGCGGAAACTGTTTGTCATTCGGCACAATATTGTACAGTAGAAGCTTTCAAGTAGTTTCTGATTTCAGAACTACTACGTGCAATATCAAGTGTGTGCGTAAAATAAAATGAAAATCAGTAAACTATACCGGATTCAACGTATTTGGAATTATCATTTTTTTTCGCAAAATTTTAAAGAAAACTCGTGACGTTTATTGAACAATTGTGGCATTTGAGTTACGCAGTATGGAAACCGAGGGCTTTCGTGACGTAGAGCACCCGAGCAAGGGAAAGGCAGTAAGTGTATATTCCATCTCTGTTGTTATTTTCAAACTGTTTTCCCCTTTACTCGATTTTTTTTCGGTCATTTCTCTGTCCGGTGCTATCCCTTGCATCCCTTGCAGCGGTGCTGTTCACCCCTATGCTCTTCTGTTTTTCTATCTTCTTTTCTTTTAATTCCAACCGGATTTAGTGTGTTTTGTTACTAAGGAACGGTCGGGGGCAGGGGTTGGGTAAGCGCAAATGGAGATGGGGTCATACCGTTTTGTGAACCTGAAAATGAGGTGCTGTATAAAATTCTCCAAACATTTCTGAGATGTAGGGTTTTTTGGTGCTCTCTATTTTCCTTTCTACAGAGAAAGCAGCACTAAAGGGACCAACAACAAGTTGCTCTTGGAGGGAGGGGGGCGGGAGAATGGCACATTATCTTATGCAGTGATAACAACAGGGCCACTGGAAATTATGTAAAGGGAAATTAAATTTCAGCAACCCAATCGCCCCACCTTGCAGTAAAAAACTGTGCAGTCCCTTACATTCAGCAAGAAACTTAACACCTGACTCCACAACACGGTGTATACTTTGTTTCCTGAAGGACTTTCTAGTCCCATACATCAGTTTTAACAAAGACTGCTAGTCACTACATGTTTCAAAAACCAGGAAAAGCTCAGGCTGCAATATGAATTAGTCACCCATATGGACTTCATTTGATTCTGGCTTTCGACTGTTTCCTCTCTCTTCTTTAAGCGAAAATTGGATTGTTCGTACACATTAATTTCATTACAAATTGAAGGTGTTTCAGTGTGGAGCAACTAACTAACGAAATTTGGGCCGATTTTGCGTTCATTGTAAAGATATAGCTTAAAATGAACATGTTAAAAAATTGATTAATTTCTGTTTTTTTCTCACAGATAGCACGAATATTGATCAATTATTCGTTAACGTGTGGCTGAATGGGTCTAGAGACTCATCACGATTGTTCGAACCATCGAAGGTTTTAGGACCGGAATTGAAAATATAATATAAACACTATAAGAGCCCTCGAATCCTTATACGAAACTTCTGTCTCGCTTCGATATAACAACTAAAAGGTGAAAATTGCCTCCAAATCTGGGAAATTTCAAAATGGCCTTAACGCGTGTACCAAAAGAAAACCATTATAAAAGAGCGCAGTGCAGGAGCGTGAACAGGAGCGAAGCTAGAAGAAAGTGAAAAGCACATGTTAAATTTATCAAATAAAGAGAGACAAAACTAAGTTTGGTCACAGCAGTTTCCTAAAATTTGTACAAGACACCGGCGTCGATATCGCTTTTTCACCAAATGGGCCGACGTTAAGCTAAACTCTTACTCTTTTTGATGGGAAAATGTCGCAGCTTTACCTTGGAACACATTTTCCGTTAGTAATGCATTTCCTGTGAACCAACGAAAATGACAGCAATGTGGCAGCAATGTGTAAACTGCTTTTTCGCCTACTTTAGGTTCCCACTATGACGAGATTTATGTGTCAAAAACTGTCATTTAATTGCATTCAGGAGATAAAATCGCCAAATCATTCGACTTTAGAGGAGTGCTTTAATCGATTTGGTCACATCGGCTTGCGTCAGCGTTCAATGTGTGATGCCAAAACTTAATGAAGACTTCATTATCTGCTAAGTCCATATTAAGCCACACCAATTTGTCGACAAATAGCAAATTTCGAAAAGAAGTTATATTTTGACTTCGGTTCATGTATTGAATATTCATTCATCCCACGCATATGTTTATGAAATTGTCAACAGTGAGAAAAAAGATTTGTTAACTGCGAGAGAACATCAAGGCAATGTCCTCTTGGTAGATCAGATGTTAATCAAGCGCCTACCGCGACAAGTAAATTACAGTTTAGAATTCTCAAAAAAGATATTCATTTCTAAACTATTATGTAGAGCAAAAGCACTGTGTCATAAAACACAACGAAAACGTTCACTGCTGTTGGTCAATTTAGATTTTTGCATGCTTAAGTGTTTATGGATCTAATTCTGTCTCAGCAATTGCTGTTTGGGGATTTTTTCCCATATATTCAACATGCCATTTGCTCAAAATGTTCGCTTCAAATGTTATTCTGCATTTATTCAAATTGTGGGTCGGTCGAGCGAACAATCACTTCTTGCCTGACAAAACAGTTGTGAATTTAGCTTCAATAGCGAACTACCGAAATATTTATCCAGGTGTACATATTTCATTTTCATCACGAAATGGAGAAAAGGAAAGATTTGGACTTCGTTTTCTAATAAGATGCTACTTGTCATTGTGAACTCCATATGCGAATCATGAAGATTCTTTTTCTCGCAAAGTTAAGCGAGTAGCCCAATATATGGAATCAAAGACTTTTCGAGAGTGACAAGAAAAAAAGAGAAAAGAAACAATAAAAACTTACAAACATAAAAAGCATGCAGTCAAGAGACCTTCGGTTGAGTTCGGAATTTGACAAGTTGATGGTGTTCAGTAATGGAAATAGCACACCTTAGAACCTAAATCAGTCTTTCTTGTCTGAATACTTATTGATACAAGCTTCCACGCTCGACAAAGTTTAGAGTCATATTTTGAAAGTAAAAGCTAGCTTAAAAGATCTCCAATGGTGTTTCTAAACTACATAAAGCTGAAAAACAAACTGTAAACATTACATAAATAGCAACTTAAAGATTCAGTGTTAGAAGATAGTTCTTATCTTAGCTCACCTAGCTGATGTGAACGTTGTCAATAAGAAACATCAGACGGTAGCCAGATTTCAACTGTAGACTTTTATCCACAATTCTTTTCATTTATGGTTCTTGCAGGTCCAGTCAATGCTTCACTGAGCAGAACATTAAGGCAAAGACAGAACTTCAAAAGGAGGCACGATAACACTTCCCAGAATACATTGCAGACCAACGACATATGCTTTGAAAACCTTTGATTTGCAATACACTAGCGAGCTTGAAGGAGACCTAAGATTAAAGAAAGACTCAGAAATGGCTCCTGCATACCTAAATGACAGAGAGACATCAGTTATTCGTTGTGAACATTTGATTTATTGACTTGACCGTTGTACCTCGATCACTTTTGATTCATGATATCGAAAACGACCACACGCTCAAATCAAGGTATTTTTGACTCTCGGTAATAAAAACTAATAACACAGCAGATAATTAAGCAAATATGTCACTTTAAAAAGCATCATTTTTTGCCACCATCTTGAATACGGTTCATAACATATGTAAGTTACCATAATAACAACACACAAGAACAGTTCTGAGTCTCTTTTAATGCAGAAAATTTCAAAATGACTTAAAAACGCAAACTTATGAGGCCATTTATTCTTTTGCGGTTCCAATATGTTTTTTTTTCAAGATTCAAAAGAGGGCCTGTCTCCATGGTGGGTTTTTGTTCATCATAATATTAAATATTCTTGGTAGTATCTTGTAAGATAAAAAATGAATTAGTTTCCTAAAGAAAAATAAATTTGCAAAACCCTTTAAATTTTGAGAAGAGATTTTAATTGTACATATCATTTATCAGCGTTCGGAAACGCGGCTGAGGAACATAATGTCTACGGAACTCATTAGTTTTGTACGGAAGCTTATCTCCACACAAAACTAATTGCTTTGAAGACAATGCCTAAATTTTAATTGAAGACGTTTTAATTAAAAACATGTTTACAACAGCCTACGTGCTCAGTTGTGTAAAATGCAAACTTCAGCTGACATTAGATTTAAAATTATCTCAACACCTACAATTTCCTCTCTAAAAACGTAGGATGTCCTCCTTCTAATATCTCATACTTTGTGATGAGAGATGATGAATCAGGGACAAAAATCATTACAATTCATTAATATGTAAAACGAGTGATATCCATTGCTGTGGTTATTATCTTAAGATAGAATTGAAAAACTGACAAACTCGTTAAATTTTTTAATCCAGGCGGTGTTTAGAGGGTAAATACACGGTTTTTTGTCCAGTAACTTAAAAAATTCAAAGCGGTTATAATATTGTGTAAAAAAAATGAAGCTAAACACACTTATTGATAAAAGGATGTAACTATATGGAGGTACCAGGGCGCATGAGAAACCCTCGTTTTCGAACAAATTGTTACTTCATACGACAAGTTACAAGTGGGTGTCGAAAATAATCCGGGATTGCTTCGGTTTTGCTTCAAACTTGCACCATCCTCTCGGCCAACCACATTCATAACTAAAACCAAACGCAAGTTGGCCACTAACATACGTATTCCGGCGCTTCAGACAGTTCGCTTGCTTTTGCTTCGACTTCTCAGTTGTTCCTTACGATGTTTCCTTTCTTCTCATTGACTGTCGTGATTACTGTTGTGATTGGATTTACGAGACTCAAACGGAATGAGTTCTGTTAACAAGAAAACAAGGTGATATGGCCCCAAATTTCTACAAAACGGTATGGTAGAACCCCTTCCCCTTCCCTGGTCACTAAGCCACAGTGATTCCTTGGTATACCACCCGCTTGTACTCGTGGTATTTTAACAAGATAATTTGATTTTATCAACTGAGTAGATAATGTAGAAAATGGCCTCCGGAAAGAGTTTCTAAGGTTCTAGAAACTCCCTAAAGTGCTTAATTTATATTATCGACTCAGCTGACAAAACCAGATTATCTTGTAATATCCCACACCGACGCAGCAACACGGTTTGTTTGAAAACTTACCCTTTATTCATTGAGTGTTTTAACAAAGTTTGGATGTTTGTTGTATTGAAAAGTTACTTTGTCTTTTCTTTTGCAACTTTTAAGGAGGAATACAGATTTACATTAAAATACAATTGAATCAAGCTATTAAGCTGTTTTCAGTTCGAACTGAACACAAGACTTTCTTAAAAAGGCGATTAGTATGAGCCACCTGACCTCATTCGTGAGTAATGATCAAACTGTGCTCAGCAACCGACGTCTATAACTGACAGGTAAGTGAATCGTTACTCAGGGTAATTTAGTATTATTAACTGAGTTGATAACGTAAATTGGCCACCGTAAAGAGTTTAAAAGCTATCGTTTCGAGCGTTAGCCCTTCGTCAGCGAGCGATTGGAGGAATTGTGGGTTGTGTGTGGGTTTTTATGCAGAAATGGAGTTACCCTATTGGTGGCAATGTGGTGATGAGAAAACATGAATAAATTAGTTGACTGAAAAGCGCTCGTTAATACCGTGGGGATTAATTGCTTTTCGTTCAGTGGCAACTATTACAAGTAAACTAATGGCGTAGCCGTGGTTACTAAAATGGGACCCAGCTAGGCCAATCTTTTCGTAGGTTTACGTTATCAACTCATTTGATAAGACTAAATTACCCTGTTCTACTCTCCCACCGACGTAGTATTAGAGTTTCTTTAGAAACTTACCCCCTTGAATCGTTACTTAGCTTTTCTGCACAACTGATCATCGAAACTCGCAAAAGCAGTAAAAAATAAACTTTGTTCTTCACACAAAATCGGCGCGAAATATGCATTTTCCAGGTGTCTCACTGCAACATTTAAATCTCCACGAGCCCCAATGAAGGTAATTCACCGCTTCATTTCCGAAGCCTGTAACACAAAAATCTTTAAATCTAGCTCTTTCCTAGCAAAAGACCCTGACGTACTTGGCTTGAGGTAACTGTCCACAAAATCTGGTTGAAATTTTTCGTTTTTTAGCTCTTCAGCTAGGGAAAGTAGTTAAGTTTGATTTACAGGAAAAAAATTGTAAGATCTCTATGAGAAAACAAGATGGGGCTGAAAGAATGTTTTGGGGGAAGCCGTACTGAAGAGCGAAAGGTGTCATAATTGAAAAGGCCTCCAGCAGAGTGCTTACGTTTGCCGCGAGCTTTCGTCCGTGATCTCGATTTTTATAGTTTGAAGGCACCCTATTTTGTTGATAGTGACCTTAATTAATGTCTCTCTTGGTATGTAAAAGCAAGTCACTCTTTGACATTTAAAAGCTTTACTGTCTAAACTAAAATGACACTGAAATTGAGACTTGGTTAGTTATTTTACATTACACAATGAAAGTGATAATATACTTCGAGATTATTTTGTTAAGTGCCACAAGTGTTCCCAAATTTAATAATTCTCTTCGTATTCAGTGGCCATATGTATTTGCGAAGGGGAGGCCGTTCGATTTATCGTTTGTTCACAATTTTCTATCATTTCTTTCACGGTGAAATTTGAGGGATCGCAGTCCACTTCCACTACAACTTCTCTTTCAGGACTATCAAGAGTTTCTTCTTCGCTCATACTCCTTCTATCTGCTTGTTGAAGGGATGTTACTTTGCTGTCAGAGCCTGTTTCACTATTAATCAAATGAGACTGCGTCTGGAACAGGGATGTATTCACCATCCGATCTTTCTTTAAACGGTAACGCTCTTCCGGAAAGGTGGGCTCTGACAATATGAAGAGTCTTTGATCGATTTCAATAAGACATTTCTCAACATAGGCGCATTCATCTTCAAAAGTCATACTCTCGCAATAGAGTTTGCAGTTCTTGCGTTTTTTCCAGCCAAATAGATTAGAAATGCCCTGGAACAAGTAACTAATCATAAATTCGGCCAAGTCGAGCTCATCTGCCACAGAATCAAGATTATTCTTAACCTCCTCCAAAGCACAGTTCAAAATGACGATGAATAGATTGAGGAAAAAGACAGTCATAGAGCAAACGTAAAGGCTAAAAAACACAAAGGAAAGAAAAGGGTTTACTCTTGCCATTTGAAAATTGGGCACAGCCTTTCCGAGTAGGAATTCAAACTGAGCCACACAGGCACGTGGGAAACTGGAATAGGACTCCACAACAGATCCAAACGCCATCATACCAGACATGGCAAACGAACAGAAAATGATAATGAAAACGAACGAGAAGGAAAACAAATATTTTCCAGCAAATCGAACTGTTATCGACAGAAATACTGTTTGCTTGCTAAAGCGTAGGAGTCTCAGCAGCTTAACTGTCGCCAGAAAGATGACGATGGACAGAGCAGCAGTTTCAAAGTGCAGCAAACGTAAAGGTTTGTGGAAGCTGACCATAGCATAAATGTTCCTCTGAAGTTCCTTTATGGTGTCTTTGGCGGCCCTCTCTCGAAAGATGTGAAGAACTACAGAAGTTATAGAAGTAATGATGAGGGCAAGAATAAGCCAGTTCCAAAAGCTTTTGAAGTATGACTTTCTTTGACGGTACATTTTGACCACTTGAATTACACCGAAAGCAATGATCATGACCAGAAGAAGAAGGCGACAAAGTAAGACAACTTGCACCAAACCAGTCTCTGTTCCATACAAATTCAACATTTGCACACTAACATATTTGAAAACTCCACCTGTTGGTAGGAATTCGAAGAAGTACTGTGCGACCACGAGGATGTTCATGTTACTGTTGAAAATGTTAAATTCCAAGACGACGGCTCGAGTTCGCCGATCGATCCAGCTGTTCTCATTTAAGTTTTCCATAACGTATCTTGCTGTCTGTAAATCATATCCAAGATCAGCCACATAACCACCTCCTCCATATGTTTCTCGAGGGGTTACTTTTGGTAAATTGTTAGTTTCTCCTGAGGTATGATACCGCCAAGGCTTTGGACACAATCTATCAAACGAGGACGATGAAAGAACAGTTGGAGGAAGTTTCCATTTTGGGAGGTACATTGGTGTTTTATCTTCACGGCAAATGGCATAGTGAGGATAGCAAACTTCAGTAACGTTACAGATTTCCACGAGCCTCTTAGGACATGAGTCTATCGAATAGCAAAAAAAAATGCACTAACATTACTACAGTAAGCACAAGTAAATTGAGCGAATATAAGAAAGGTAGTAAAAAGAATTTCTCATCACAGGTAGTTTACTTGTAAGACCAGAAAACAACGTTGTTGCGACGGGTCGGGAGCAGCAAATTCTACACTGAGCAGATATTGAACGCTGTCAATGCAGGTAAGTTTTTTCGGTGAGCCGTAAAGGCCCAATGTTAGTCCGCAAGGCTGTGGGTTCGAGGCCTGGTCGGGTTTAGTGTTTTGTTTTCGGGCAACACACTTAAGTCTAACCGCATCTCACCACCCACGAGTGTAAAGGGTTTCCAACGAATGGAAACTATCAAGTGACAGCGTAGATCCAAACCCCAAATTTCCAGCATTATTCTTAATTAAAAAGCATTTATATCCTTTTCCTTTGCACTATTTTATCTTTAAATGAAAGGTCCTTGTGAGAAGAGAAGGATCCTTATTTGAATATTCCTATTGTCATCAAATATTCACGCTGGAAGACTGAAATTTAATCGTGCAATAGGATGCCGTGCCGAAGTCCAAGCAGAAAAAAAAGCGATAAAACTCAATTATGTGAAAAGTCGATTTCGTAAGAAAACTTTTTCATCGAAGTTGAAAAATCCAAACACACACAAAAAGGGAAAACTGTAACTCGTTCCTCTCGAAATAACCAATAAGTAGTGGAATACAAAGTAATGATAGTAAAATATATATATGTTATTTGCCGGCTGGGAGGTCCGTATGGTGAAAAACTGTGACCGAGGTCTTGAAAATACTGCCCGAGGCCGTAGGCCGAGGGCAGCATTTTCAAGACCTCGGTCACAGTTTTTCACCATACGGACCGACCCTTAGCCGGTAAATAACATATTTATTGTTTTTAAACTTGGCCAAATTCTTTCTGAAAGAACCCGAATGATTTATGGCCGTAAATACGGCAAGATCTTCCATTAACTGAACAATTTTTGAGTGAGTAAATGGTAGTTAAAATAGAGGTGATGCAAATTTAAGAGAGATGCCTCAGCGAAACATTTTCATTTCCGTAACGATGAAGGTGATTTAAAAGGCTTCCAAACAAACTTTGAAACATTATTTTTACAAGTATCTGTCACAATTTGACACCTGTCAATTAGAGAGCGCGCAAGAAAAAAAAAGCGTAGGAACATTTGAAAACCAACAGAACTAGTTTGGCAAGGACTGTCACGACAATGTTTTCTTCAAAAACAGTCTATGATCTAACGGAAAGTATTATTCACTCTCATCGACCATTCATTCATGTACGAAGATTTACCTCTGTTCATTAAGTAAACGGCGAGGAAAGTAATTGTGAGTAAATTCAATTTTTTTATTTTGAAGTTGTACGAGTTTGCTCGTTTGTTTGCTGTAATGGTGTGTTTAACTCTGATCTTTCCTTCACAAAAACTAAATTCGAACGGCACACTCCAACGAGACACAAGGGAATGTAATGCGGCCTTTTCTCAAAAAATTCCTTCAATTTCTGTTGTGCAATTTAAGGTACAAATGTCCAAATTGAACGGAATTGGAAAAACTCACCAGGAGCGTATATTTGTTGTAGAACTTATATTAAAACTTCGCTCGCTCTTTCACTATGAACAAATTGCTCGAGAAAATTCAGATATTAAATGAATGAAAGTTCCATCGTTCAGTTTAACTGTAACCAAATACCTCACGTTTCAACTTTCTGGGTACTTTTTGTGAACGATTAAAATTAATTGCAGACGGTTTTTAGGCCGCTTGTCAACCAACGTAATGACACTATTGTTTATACAAATTCATTCTGAAACCAATATTTTTCTGTCAACCAAAGTGATTTGATAGAGAGAAAAGAGAGGATTCATAAGTTATTTATCGGCTTGAGGTAGTGACCGACGTGTTTGCTTAAAAATACTGCCCAGCCGGAAAACGAGGTATATTTATGAAAAATGACAACGAAAGTTGGGATGTACTCGGCGACTCACGAAAGCGTTACCGTGGCCCGTGGGCAGAGATAGGAAAATACTGACCGGGTAAAGAACCAATCAGATTGCAAGATTCGTTACCGTGCCCTCTAAAAAAACAATAAAATATTTTACACCACGCTTACTTCTTTCGATCCTCAGTTGTCTGATCCGTGGCATGCCAATCAACACAGAGCTCATGTCACTGATGTACATCTCGTTGTTTCCCTTATCGCCGTTGTACCAATGTGATGGGTACATAGCAGGAGCATAAATGTTCATCAACCACATCCACAAACCTAACGCTTCATGTACCTGAAATTACCCCCAAAAGGCGTCACTGATAAACATGTAGTTAACTATAAACAGGTACACTACATATATATTACCATAACGATTATAAAAACTTCAATATTCAAATGAAATCCACAAAGTCTTCAATTGCTTATAATTGTACTTGATCGCTCTTTTCTAGATCTCAGGCCTTTTGTTTCCGACAGATAGCCCCAAAAATTACTCAGGATTTCTACTAAAATCTATTATGAATGTTCTAAACATCAACATTTTTCTAAAATAAGTCACGAAATGACAAAAGCGCCGAAATAAAGCCTTGTCTGGAAAGTAAAGTATATTTCGTATTCAGTGTACCTTCGTTTGTAACGTTTTATTGGCAATGATCATGATATCAGGATAATTAAAATTTGGGCCTCAGAGATTATGTGCGACATCGAGGACTTCGTTACTTTAAGGTTTTCTTCTATGTTTTTTTATCTGTTTTTTAATCGGGGAAAACTTTACACAGCGACAAAGGTATGAACATTTCTAGCATGCATGACATCTTTACCTTTTCACTTCGTGGTAAAATAGCCTTAACTTCTCTACCTATCAGATATTGGTGATAATCTTGGTTTCCATAACACACAATCCCAAGTATCAAAAGATATGAAACGAAGAACGTCAAAGATTGGAATGCCGACACAGTTCTCGATTCATTGATTCTGTACTTTTTGTAACCTTCCAACTGCGTAGCATCCGGCAAGGCTCCTTTAAAACTATCAGGTGGTTCATCATTCCCATTGTTCCTCCGTGCCAGAGATCTGCAATAGGAAGACATGTTTTTAGTTGTTGATGACTTTAAAAATTATATTTCTCACATGTCTGGTGGCCTGAAAACAGATTGAGAAGAAAAATATAACAAATCAGAGCAAGAGAAATTTAAGTGATGCCAAATGGGAATTTAATGCAAATACAGGTGACCGGAAAGTGAACATTGTTTAAATTTTGTTCTTAACTGGGAAAAAAAAATCTGGAGCGAGTTACCGCCACAGCGTCGCACAGCTTAAAGAAAAATTCCAACCAGATGCAAATGCAACACCCTAGATTACTTCCAACACCTACTCGAAATTTGCTTTGTTGTATTTGAAATGACGGTTTTGTAGTCTCTCCTGTAGTGACCCTAACTTTAAGACCTTGCACAGACAGAAAGAAAACATCAATACCCCGGGGGTGGGGCGCAACCACACCTGCAGGATCTAAAAGAGTTTAAAAGGAGCCCAAATAGCCTCACAAGCGGTTAAAAAACGGCTGGATAATCGAACGATAACCATTCAATAGATGGTAATATACCTAGGATTTAAAGTAGAGGCAAAGCACAGACAGACGTTTACTGGTATACTGACATAATGAGGGTACCGAGGTTACCTTGTCTTAGATGAGAGCTTCGCTTTTGTCCTCTTTGCTTTGGTTATTATTATGGCAGCGACTGCGGTTAGCGTGACAAGGCGCACGGGTTGAATTGCAAGGATGTCCATGGTTATGGACATCAGGATTGATGAAAGCCATTCATCGGCCGTCTCCTTACCCCACATAAGACTGTAGAAGAACACGACTGTGGCAGAGGTTATGGCAGTGGCCAAACAAAGAAACCAAGCAGCGTAAAGAAAAATATGGTGCAAGGGCTTGTTTCCATCGTCATCCACTTCCACGGAATGTTGATCTTCCTTTTCACTTGACTGATTGCAACAATACTTGTCGAATTTTGACCTGGAGTTTTTGAAGAGGGCAACAATGAGGAAATTGATGGGAGCTATTATCAAGCAGCTTTGAATCATTATAATGATTTGCTTCATTGAAATCTTCAGTGGACCAAGTTTGATTGTATTCTCCGTAGGTTCACCGCTCATGTTAAAAAACATTGCATTGGCCAGCATGGCGCTGAATATGACGCACAAACAACACGTAACACGTTGAGTTCGTGTAAATGAACTTCCCGGCCGTTTAGTAACTAAAGACATCCATAAATGTTTTTCATACAGTGTACCAGACAGGCGCGCGCGGAATGTCTCTTGGAATTCAGGAAATGAGTTTGTGCTCTCGACCAACAACTTCCTAGCAATTTTTCCATCGTCCTTGTTGGGAGAAAACCACTGATTGCATAAAAATTTCCATTCTTGACTCGTTTTTTGTTCCCTAACAACTATGTAGTCCAAGAACCAAGAAGGACTTTCTCCAGAGTTATCATGCCAAACATAAGCGTGGGTTAAAGTTCCAAGGGATGCTGGAAGTGAGACAAGGTACCTGTCGACACTACCACGAGATAGCAGCAACCGCGGAGGATACAGGTTCCCGCGCAGAGTGATTGGTCCACTGCTTCCATGGCTACCGTAAAACACCATAGTTACTCTGGCTGTGGTGCCACTTTCTGACCACACACCTGTGCTGATTGTGAGCTCATACTGATGAGCGACTAGACACTCTTCAGTTTCCAAAAGAATCCTAGACCCACGCTGAAGGAAAATAGATATGAATAAGAGAACGAGACCCAAAATGATTTATAAAAGTTATCAAACGCCTAACGACCGGTTGAATCCTTACCTTAGCAAGATCTCTTCCATCCGCCCTCTTGGCGAGGATGAAGGCAATACAATACAAAAAAAATGCGAAAATGATCGTAAGAAGGACACCAAAGTTACCACTTTCGTCGAGGCGGCTGAACTCTTTAAAAACGGTATCAATGTCAATTGGATTGGGTGCTACTAGAAGGCCTCCACCGAACGATGTAAGGTGGTTACAAAGACAAAGAAGACGATGCTTATTGGACTGAGGTCCGACCTGGGGTGCAAAGGAAAAAGAATTACTGATGTGATTGTATTATAGTGTAATATACCATGTTGCACTACGACACAAGCCGAATTTAGTTTTTGACAAAGCTATACCATACCATACCTGAAGGAAGTTTGGACTGAAAGAGGTCTTGGGGCGAGATTTGATTAGCACATAGTTTACCTCTCCTGCATAGGTACCCTTAATTACAGATCTTTCCAAACACCTGACGTTTATTACTTTTTCTATATCGTGATTGCTCCGGCGGCATCGTCCGGTGTAACAATCCAAATCAAATCACACCGTAAGCCTCTTTTTCCAAATAAATTTTAGCAGTATACCTTACAGCCTTCAGTTAGCCATTTCTGATCTTCATGTGACCAAAATCGACAGCTGAGTTCATCTGAGACAAGAGTGTAGTTCACGTCAACGCGTGGATCATAAGCTGGGATGGTAGCGTACTCGTAAACACCCAGAGGGGGTGGAGGGTCTTTTGTCTCGATACATGACCGTTTTTGCCTGTTGGCGCTAAAACAAGACCTCCGCATTCGATGGGAATTGCTACCAGGGGAGGAGTGTTGAGTATAAAGGATTCCTAAAAAATAAACTCCAGGCTTTTGCATTACTGCATTTGTCAAAAGCAGTTGATTTGGATGACGACTGCAGTTATATTCTTCATCATCCCCATCGATAATAAAATTTCTCGTGCATGAAGAATAGTCTGGAACAGTGAAATTTGCATCAAAATCATCCGTTGTTGGCTTGCTATCATATTTCACCAAAACGTTCAAATTTCCCGTAGACGCCATTGTTATGAGGTATGAGGTTCGTTCGCGATTCACTTCAATTCTGTGGTACTGGATGTTTCCTGGCTTGACAAAATATTTGTTTTCCTGAACAGAGTCATTTTCAGGTGAACTTCCATTGCCGTTGAGGAGTTCTATTCCTAGTTGTATGTCGGTGGTAAGGTTCCGCACATTAAGGACTTCGCCAGAGTCTCTTCTTAAATCAACCTCAACAATATATGATGTGATGAATGACGAGGTGGTACTCTGTTTATAATAGTTGACTTTCGACGAAATTACCTGAGACGAAAAAATGATCGTGGATGTTTTTAGCCTGAGTTTTTCGCATCATCGAACTATTATTTCCCACAAAACGCACATAAAGCATAGCCATACAAATCCCCAAAAATCCCAAGTTGCACTTCAATTTTTGAGCGCGTCGAATGGAATCGAATGCAACGTCATATAAAACTCTTCCTCTACTTGTTAATCGGCTTTGCAAATGGTTTATCCTACTACTTGCTTTCAGAGTCAGATTTCAGATCGCAAACCAAATATGATAAACATAACCATACCTCTAAGTCAACGTACTCCCCAGTGCCAGAAAGCATGTCTCTCATAATTTGTGACTCAGGAAAATGAACGTAACATGTCTCCAAGGTAAGTAAAGAACCTGCCACATATTCTGGATGACTTCTTGCGACAAGAGCCTCCAAAAGTTCCGTTTTTATCACACTTGGGTCCTCTCCGACAACTTTTCCCTTGATTACAGTCTGCAACACTCTACGCATAATTTCCAAAGAGGTCTATAATGAAAAAACAAACACTAAGTAAGCTGCAGCCAACAGGAAGGGTTGTGGAGGTTTTAATTAACCTTTATCTCACAGAACTAAAGGAGAAGAGTTGCAAGCACACCAAAATGGTTTGGTTTTTGTTCGCTTTCTAACCCTTCAATTTCGAAAACGCACGAACGAAGGGAAGGACCAGCAACTAGACCAACAGACCATATGGCGTCTGAGACTACAATATGTCAAAAGAATAAGTCCCAGCACCACTTTAGAGCCGTCAAGAATCAATTTTTTGTGCTTTGAAGGGATGTTTAAATTGTTTCCTTTTCACTGACCCAGAGGATTACTGAGGGCTAGATCAGTTCACGGATCAGGTGTCCATCCAGTTGCTTGTCCGTCAAAACAAAGTTATCGCGAAGAAATCACAACCATTAATTAATAAATCATTCAGTCTTACTCTCGTTCAAGGTAAAAATTTAGTAAGATACTCCTTATCTCAAATAGGCCCTGACTGAAAGTTTCATCATCTATGCATTCAGATTTTTGCCCTGATTATCATGGTTTCATCAGTGTTAGAGTTCATTCAGCTGTGGTTAGTGAGACCACAACACATGGCCTGTACCCTCCGAATTAGAGGAGACGATCGTGAAAATAGCGCGAGAGAAAAATTTGTTCGTCAGAAGGAAAAAAATAACGTCTAGCAGAGATTCACCATTTCTCACGCCCGTTTTTTCGCTTGCCCCACTTTACCGAAAGCCTTGATCAAGTTTTACAACAGATAATCTTCTAATCTTTCTCCGATGGTGCTATTAGGGAGATTATACAAAGACGGATAAGGGTAGAAGCAAGCATAAAGAGCTCCATGTCCATGTTGAAGAAGTTTTAAAGACATTTATGCAACATTAACACAACCAGAGACTAAAAAGCTATGCAGAAAAGAACGGCTGCTGGTTAATACTTACAGTTATGTTTTGGGAACTAGAGCCCTCTATAGCACCATTGTCACTAGATAAAACTTGAAGCTGTTTTCCTATTGAGTAAACTAGATTCTTCTCGGCTATTCGAGAATAACGCATATCAAATGCATACCCTCTAGCACTGATATCGTCAAATAACTTTGTCATCTTCTGCACCATCTCCATTATAAGTTCCTGCCGATTGAGAGAAAGGCTTGTGTTTAGGATTTAGGGCGTACCCAAGAGAGATCATTTGACAGCTGTGTGCTGCAAACCTTGTTGTTTTCATAATGTGCATTAACTCTGTTATCATGCTGTTAAAATGGACTGTCTCTTGCCGTGACTGCCTAAAAACGAAAGTCAAGCAAGCACATAGAGGCTTACTTAAGCCTTCTCAAATAGCAATTAAACTATTTTCACATATCTCCGACTCATGTTCCATGCAGTGTCAACTCGCTCCTCACATAGAAAAATTCAAATAACACGCAGGTTTCTTGGAGCATTGTTTCAGATAAACCAGGTGCCTATAACACTGTCTGCAGAAGGGAATTCTGTTTCGTAACGTCTCCTCTCTTATTTGACGTGATCATCAATTCTAGCCGGTCGAAAGAAATTGGAATGTAAGGCAGCTTTTCTATCTTTAGGAAATGAGTTATCTCTAAAACTCAGGACATTATAATGTTCAGTACATTTTTAAGGCCCTTAGTACAATATGGGTGGCATATGAATGAATTGTCAGCTAAAGCTGCGAAGGGGCAACATGGAAGAATGGAAAACATTGCATCAACAATACAATCGTGAAAATAGGACTAAGATGAAAGACTAACCATAGTATCCGCTGTGATCTCTGCTGGATCATTCATCGTAAGAGAAATAACAGAAGAGAGTTGAATGAGCTTCCTCAGGTCTCCGATATCTATCTTGCTCAAGGTCTTTACGATGAGGCTTTTGATCTAGAAAATAAGAACTTTATTCATACCAAGTGCACACATCATACCAAGTGGATTTAACAAATAGGAAATACCTGATAAGCAGCACAGAGGAACCAGTTATTACCTTCAGTATATTGTGTCCAAAGAGATAGCCAATTAATTTATTTATTCTGAGACCCTTTTAGTTCGACAAGCATATTATTTTGACCCACGACCGCTTTTTCTATACTCATGCCTTCTGAGCATTACCTTTTTAACTCGACCAATAGAAAGAGTGCACCGGTAATTTTAGCCCGGCTATTTTGGAGTCTTTCGGCTGAAGATTACCTAGTTAAATTTTATCCACCTTTTAATGAACATCACTGCGTTTTTCCTAAATTTAGCGACAGTATCTTTTGTTAATGATGCATCTAGCAAACTATTCTTATTATTCCATGACTGGCACTTTAATGCTCGAATGCATTTCCATCATCTAGTAATGGAGAATGGTGAAAAAGGTATCTTATCACGTAATCAAGTCTCGAACGAAAAGGCATACGTATCTATCTAGACGAGTACAAACAGTAAGAAAGTTTGAGAACGAAAGCAATCTTTAACTTTCATTCAAGTAATTTTGCTGTTATGCCTTTGTTCTTATCAACAGCAATATCACTGTGAAACAAAGAATACCCGTTTCTGTTTTCCTAAACTTTCTTTACTAAACTTGTCACCAACTCGCTACCTGGCGTCTCTCTTCTATATTGATAACTTCGTCTTTCTGTAGCTCTAAGGATTTTAAAACAGCAATGGCCATCTGGGTAGCCCGTGTAACGTCTCCTCTACTACTATGGACGACGAAGTGCTTTTCCAAAAGATGGAGTATTTCGCCTGACGCGTTTTTGGTACTCATCATAGGCCAAGGAAAAACCTGAAAGTTGAAAAGAGAATATCAGGGAGTATCTTTCAGCAGAAAGTTTGGGTGATATGACAGAGTTTTCCCCAATACCCAGTAGGTTTTCATAACTGTAAACTTTTATCAAAAACCATACTTGTGTCTATACTTGCCTCCAATCAAATTCACGGCTCACCTGCATCGTTAAAGAAGTACTAGAACTAGAACCAATGGAGCTTGCAACTACCACGTCGATTGTTAAGGAATAGTTTTTCACGAATTCACCGGGAGGTAGCATTATCTCTGTAGCAGTGGAATAACTATAAGACAAAATGGCACTAAGTCCTTCTGCCAGGGGTAGCAGAAATTCATAAAGAAGAGGTGTGTTTGGATCGTTCCAGTTAGCACATTTAAGAGTGAAGACGGTTTGAATAGCAACTCCAGATAATTTGCTTGCCGTGCAAGACCCACCAAAAGGAATGGTGCTGCTTTCAAAAAGCCACGCAGAAAAGCCTTTGGAGGAATCATCATTCATATTTTCTACATCGATGGTCAGACGATACTTTCTGCCTGGAATAATTGTATCGGGATTGATAGTGAAAAAATTCGAATTCGCTCTAGTTCCTCTGATTTCTTGCATTTGGTGAAGTTCTGACCATGCCTCATTGGTCTCTTGGAATAATCTCCAATGATAGCTCAACAGAGCATTTTTTGTGTAACAAGGAGAATTTGTGCAGTTTGCCACAAAGGTAGCTTTGATATTTGGTATTACCTCCAATCCACAATTCATAAGACAACTGCAAAATGAATATGAAAAAAGTTAGTCTCCTGAAATCCAAGATGTTATAGGCCGATAATATGGGTCATTCTCATAATTCGAAAGCGACTGGCCAGATATCAATTCAAACCTGAGTAGACTTGAGAAAATTTCCCAAATTTTGATCAAATTCATTTCTCAGAATAATTAAAGAAGTTTTGAACGTGACTGAGTTGGTCTGAGAGTGTTGATAAACAATCTCTTTATGAATGGTTCGGTCTTTAAAATAAGTTCTGGCTAGTGTTAAGAGCATAATAAGGTTCCCTTTTGCCTGCGACACTTGCTTTTTTGTGTGTGTGTGCAACATCAAAGCAAAAAAATCAAGTTTCAACTGTGGTAGTAGTTATAACTTGATTATAAGCAGAAGTTTTGTTCGATAATTTGTGAAAGTTATTGTTAATATTTAGTTTCAAGAACCCTTTTTGCCTTTTTCTTTGTTTGCGCAACATCAAAGCAAAAAAATTAAGTTTCAACTGTGGTAGTAGTTCTAACTCAATTATGAACAGAAGTTTTGTTTGATAATTTGTGAAAGTTATTGTTTTAAAATTCATACTTTCCTCATCGTGCGGTGAAAAAATAACCTCATTGTCATATCCGTGAACATGGACATGTGGCAAACGTTACCCTCCAAGAACGAAATATATCGTAGACACTCAGCTGACTCGCAATGAAGAGACCCACGATGCTATACGACAGTATCTCTTGTTATGGAAAAAATAATTCTTAGCGTTTTCAGACCATTTAACAAGGGCATTTTAACGTACACTGTACAAAAACGATCGATACAGGAAACAATAACTTAAGTACCGCTTACTCTATTTCAGCATAAAGAGGAGTTCCATCGACAATCTCGACTCGCTGCACAAAGGTCCCACTGAGATCTCTCTTCTTGACTGTTAACTTGATATCATAATATTTGTTTATCTGCATTGAGCTGGTGTCCAAAAAAACTATTCTACCAGTATCTTTCAGTTTTTGCTCTTCATTGCCAAAACATCCTCTACTGGCGGCATCTCTCCCGATAACTGTTCGGTTAGAACTATCAGATTCATCATGGAACGTTTCTTCTTCTCTCTTACACGACCACTCAAATGTCAAGCCTTCATATGATCCTTTACCAATATCCAAATCACGAGATGGAGACCCATCCAGCGTTATGTTGGAGTTGTGTTCCCTCGATACTTCTGGTCCGCCAGCAATGAATGCAACGGGTGTAGAAGGGAGGACTTCTATGAAGCCATAATCAAGGAAATAAAACTCTTGAGAATGAGCAATGAACTCGACCAAATATATTCCAACGCCGAGTGAAGAGAAATCGTCTAATTCAGCACCCAAACCAATTGTAATAGAGTACGTTGTTCCAACACTAAATGGCAGAGAGGTCACATTAGAAACTCTCCACTGAAAGCTCAACAAGCTGCAATTGGTGTTTACTTCTGTGTTGAACAGGGTTCGGGTTAATTTTGTCAACTTTGTTGTGGTGTTTACTTTCTTGTCTATGTTCAGTATTTTGACGTGAGATCCAAAGACACATGAGGAACCATCTAAAACAACAACAACACCAAAAGACAAAAAAGAAAGGCAATGTTAGCTGTGTTTGATTTTTACTACCGTACGTAACCTTGCAATCTAACTGAGCGTGAAAACCTTCAAAACTCTGACTGTACACTTCGTCTTCTCTCTGAGGATTTTCGTCTCTGCTCACTTTAAAATAACAATATAAATTACGGCGCTTGGCATCTTTACAGACTATTGTTTGGTTCTTTTGTTTCTACTTGCCAGCTCGCTTTTTCCGAAATTTCACTTTCAATTAACGAAAAAAGGCTAGAGAAAAGTCCCGGAAAAGGTCGGACATAATACAATTTGGCATATAGAGTGATAGCTTTAGCTCAGCTCAATGCTTTGTATACTTATAGAGCACTTTCAACCGATGAAAGCGCACGTTATATTCGAACTTTACTATACAATGAATTAAGGTTAATGAATTAACAATGAATTAACTCAATCAATATTAAGATAGGGGGAACTTTATGTCACTTTACAATAAGGGCTTATCGAGCCAAAGGCACCAGAATAGAGTGATATTTCACAAAGAAAACCCACCTAAAATTGTAAAGAAGATATCAAAAGGAAGTATTAAAAAAACTTATAACTTAGTTGGTCAGAAAATTTCTGACCAATACTAAAAGCTCTAGTCTTTCAGAGTGGTGACACTTATAAAGACAGTATATTTGATGTTTTCCATCTCATTTCCGATGAAAAAGGTTAAATAAGGATTGAATCCAAGATGACATCGCAAATGACAAGAAATGGCAAATATGTCAACAAGAGAACAAAATGATTTAAATTTAGAATGCTTTTTGAGAAAGCTCAATACGTCCCAGTCGTTTCAAATGGCAGTTAACTTATCCTTTTCCTTAAAAAAGCATATTTTCCTGAAGTCAGCGCAACAACACCTCTGTCATTCGTTGTATTCAGACAGAAGAAGGATCCCTCGCCATTTACACAAGTTTCTCCATATGGACAGGATGCAGGATTGGAACTACACTCGTCGATATCTTGAAAGAAACATAAAAATAAAATGAGTACCTTTAGTCGGAAATCCTTTAGCTTTTCTATTGCGCTATTCCTTCAAAAAGGAGGGCGGTTGACAGCATTATCTTGGTCCAGCCAATATATTATTGGTCCAGCCGGAGAGGCAATCACGTCTACATTTTATACGATGCTTTTTGGTTATGCAGAAAGTAATTGGAACGTCAAAAAATTATTGAGAGCAAGATGGAAATACAAAGATGAATACCCTCTTCGTCAGTTTTGATAAAGACCAGCGCACTTTGTGGTCCATTTCCAACCGAAGTAAACCCTGCTACTGAGATTCGGTAAGTTCTCCCTTTTTCTAAGTTTTTGATAAGCAGCTCTGTTTGGTTTGATGAAGCTGTAAAGGTATGCTGTAAAGTTGAGTTCAACATCCCAACCACGATACGGTAACCCAGGATGATACCGTTGCGCAATTCAACTCCAATTGGTCCCCAATGAATTTTTATCGCAAGCGTACTTGAATTGGTTGCCGACACATTTACAGGTGGAGCTCCTGGTACTAAATCGAAAGAGAGAATGGTCACAGAAGAAAATTCATTGGTAGCGGTTGACAAAATACGGGTTAGGAGGGGTTGATTTACAAGTAGTTATGGAAAAGGTGTCATTAAAATCACAACGCCGACGCCCGAAACAACTGGAGAGGGCAAAAGTCCTTTGTTATAAGAGGACCAAAGTTCACCATTCTCAAAATTAGTTGCACAAAGGTAAAAAAGTTAAAAGTCTTTCTGGGCTTTGAAAATATGAATCACATTCATTCATATTACTAGTTAAGCAATCCTTGAATTCATCGGAGACGACGAAAACAAGAGGGTAAACACACTGGCTAGACAACTGATTCATCATTTAAGTGCAAATTTAATCATCTTAACGAGTAACTAAGTCGCAGAGATCAATTGATGATTTCATGCAACGGTTCTCCACAGAATAACTGAATGACCTACCGTCTTCTAGAGTGCGAGCGATCAGAGCGTTGCTTTTTGTCTCACCAGCCTTCGTAAATGCACCCACTTTTATGTTATAAGTAGTATAAGGTGAAAGGCTATCCAAAGTCAGGGACGATTCTTGGGCCTTAATTGTTTGCACCAAACCAAAGTTATCACCTTCAGCTCTGTAGCGAACCTTAAAGCCTAACAATACACCCAAGACATTTCTGACAGAATTGTTGAACGTCCACTGAATCGAAATGGAGGTGGCAGAGCTTAATTCCAGTGTGACATCTGGAGGCTGAACAGGCGCTAAACATGAAAAAAGAAAAAAAGCGAAATGCCTTAAAAAAAGGAAGGAAATGAAAAGAGTAGAAATAAACTAAAAATGAACAGGCAGAGTTAGCGACGAAATTCTTCATTAAGTGATTCTTAATTTCAATAGTCCTCTGATTTGAATTGTTTCATGATCCTTGCACACCTCCTACTCGATTGCTGACTCTTATATTATTAGGCTGCTCTTCCTCAAGCAATTGGTTACAAAACTTTCTTACCTCCTTCACCAGTCAGAGATACATTTGTGGAAGCGGGACCAACCCCCTTCACGTTTAAGGCTTTCACTGACACTTTATACGCATAATAAGGAAGTAAATCGTGGAATCCAATTGAGAAAACAGTTTCAAATAGCGTCAAATTTGCGACGATCTTTTGCTGATCATGGTCTGTGAGTAACACGTGATATCCTCTAGTGACACCATTTCTGCAGCACACATCAACATTCTTCCACTCCACCAATAGGGATGTGCTGTTTATTACGGTGACAGTCAGATCATCAGGCCCCGCTGATGGTACTATAAAACATGTGAAATCTGCTTCAAAACTGATCTCAAGGCCCAGTATGTGACACGCGTGTCATGTGCCACACCTGTCAATTTGAGGAACACAAGTGACTCAAGATTTCAAAGCTTTGCTAGCAACAAATGAGTGAAACGAAAGCTGTAAAAACTGAGCCTGTAACATACTTTATGCATGTTCACGCTTCTCTGTTTCTCATTAAACCAACCATTTATATGAAATCTATGTAAAACTACCCAGAGAGAAGTTTTCTGTTGAAGAAAAAAAATGATTTGACTACTCTGTGTGCGAAAGCCACAACCTGTCTGAAAAATAACAATTTCACATAATAATTAAAAAATAAGACGTTGATAGAATAGAATGGATACAAAAGTAAAAATGGTAATTTAGTAAAAGATGAACTTAGTTAATTTGGCAAGAACTGGCCATCATTACACGATTTTAAGCGAATTTGAATAAGTTTCAAATACCAAAAGCACTTCAGTCATTGACTTGGAATTAACAAAATTGCTCACCGTCTTCATCTGTTCTCACGTATCGATCGTTTGAAGTTCCTGATCCGCCATTCGTCCTCCCAGCTACCTGAACTTTATACAATCCATATGCCTTCAACCCTGTTATGGTAAAGTTAACTGCATCAAGTCCAAGATCACGCAATCTTTTATTTTTGGAACCCGGTTGCTCAGACCAAATTACTCGGTAACCAGTCAATACACCAACATAGCTTTCGGGTGGGATACTGTTAATCCAAGACACAAATAGACTGGTTGAGCTTGTGTTGAAGGCCCTGGTTATGTTCGGGCCCACATTTGGAACTGTGAAATGAAACGATGAGTCAGCAATAACTGGGATAGGCCATGCAGTTCTTAGCCTAGTTGTTCAAAGGCCGGTTAGCGCTAACCCGAGGTTAAATTTTAATTTTGATTTGTTTATAAATTTGTTTAAAAAGCTTTTGGGGAATATTTTCTCTATTCTTTTTAGAGCATCCCATAATCAAATTTTAGACAAAAAGAATCATACTAAATTTTTTGTTGAAGCCTTCAGATCTGAAATCAGATTTCACAATAAGCCTGGGTTATCCCAACCCAGCTTTGAACAACCCGGCCATGGAGAAGCAAGGACTAGTGATTCTCATAGTTACATAGATAATAAAATAAACGAGATCATCACACGACGAAATTTTTACACGCATTCTTAGTATCTAAAGAACTCATAGGAATCTGACCTCTGAATTTTCAGAATTTGGAAATGATTACCGAGTCATCAAACATCATTCGAACTGATTTTTGCTGATTTTTATTCTTAACTGCTTTTCCAAAGCTTCAGTTCCAAAAATATCACTGCACAGAGAACGATGAACGATGACAAAAATCACTGATACGGTAGACTCCTGAACTCTTTTTACTATATTTATTACATCCATTTTGAAAACACTGGTGATCCATGCAATCTGATTGGCTCTCATTGACGCGATTTATTCACGAATCGCACCAATTTTTTTCTCTAACTTGCATCTTTTTCCCAGCCAATGAAGCAGCTCTACTAAAATACAACAACCAGTCAGACCAAGGCTTGCTAAAAGAAACCAATCAAATTGCAGGAAAATGACAAGGAACTGTCGCTTCTTCCTATAAACCAGCTTACTACTGGATCAACAAAATTCCTCTATCTTAGCGACTGAATTTTGCAATTTCGAAATGGATGTAATGAGGTGGTGATTGAACTTCGCGTCGAACAATTTTAGTCTGAAGTCCTAATCGTGGTTTGAAATCATTTTAAAATCACGCATATGATTTCAGATCAAATTGCACTCCACTCACTTAAATCACCATTATCTATCTACAGAGTAGGCCCTCTGTCAATCTATGACAATGGTATTTGTCAGTGGAAAGTCTTGAACAATTTTATGCAAATGTGACACTGTCTTGTTGTACTACAATGTTGACATGTCCATTCCTCACCAAAGGAGTGATCCTTAGAATGATGCACATAATAGCTGCGAACACAAAAATTCCAAAAGGGAATTGTAGTCGATGCGTGCCAGTACGTAGCTGTAAACGAGACCTTCCTGTGTTAACAAAAAAACTTTATCTCCCTAGCCTCATCTGAGCATTAAGCCCTGTATTATCCTGACCAGCCGCACCATTCTTTTGGGAAATAAGGTGACGCATCAAATAAAACAGACTATCTATGGAAGAGAACAGAGAGAGGTTTCGAGCAAGAATAAAACTATCTAAGAAAATTTAGAGTTCTTACCTGACTCTTTAGTTTGGAAAACTTCTACTTTAGTTCCAAGTCTGTAGCCGAGAAAGCTGAGCGGAAAGATGCGAATACTGTAGTTTGTGAGGGGCTCAAGTGAACCGAGGTCCACATACAGAACTTGTTGAATAGATTTATATTGTGTTGTAGATTTCCATGAGAAGCCGCCCAATTTGCGACCAATTGCTGTATAGCCATAGAGAAGTCCAGCGGAGTAATACGGAAGGTGGTTAAAATAAATTCGAAGGAATTCTGCTCCTCCCCTTCCTGAAGTAATCGTTGGAACTGTACAGAAATCTGTTCAAAGAAAAACGCCTTAGTCTTTACTCGACGAGAAATTTTACATATCTATTGCGAACGAGGTTTACTGAATATTTTTCCCTTGGGAAAACCTTTCAAACACTGAAAACACGTTAAAATATTTTTGTTTGTTAAACGGCGGAGGTCATAATTTACCATCTACTTCAGTCCACTGAACCCAAACACTCCAATAAACTCCCAACAAGGAGGAACTAAGTAAATGTTCGAAAGGCTTCTGGACGGGAGGATTATTAGAAAAGGCCGCTCACCAGGGAAAAGGGAACATTGAAAAACCTACTGACGGTCAAAATGCGAGCACTAAATGTTATTTTCTGCTGAGTTGCCTCTCAAGGGAGTAGCTAATTGTGGCGAGTTGCAAGTCGCCACAATAAAAAAAATAGATTTAGGAAAATAAAGTATTTTCAACATAAGTATAAGTACCCTAAAACGATTTATCATTCGATATGTCGACCGATAGTCGGTCAAAATTTTTGTCGATTTTCGGAGGGGGGGGAACCATAATCACCTCCTGCGATAACGAGTTACCCGACGTCTTTTTCGAGTATTGCTCACTTATCGATCGACCATCAACCAACAACCGACTGCCCTGCAATCAATCGAGGCCTATTTAGGTCAACGTGATCAGTGGTGGCTAAGGCAGCTTTTGAAACGTCTTGTGACTTACATTCATCCGTGGCAGAGCAACTGAGAATTTCTATTCTTGAATTTAACAGAGTTCCATTTTCGAAAGTTTCCTGTAATTGTAAAAGGGTTTGCCATTCGCTTCTGTAGAAATTGAAGGTCATTTTCGCCGTTACATTGCCACCACGCAGTTGACTGCCAAGTAAAAAACATGTCTGTTTAGCTTATAAACTGAAATAAACGTGAATTTCTTAGATATCTAAAAAGCTCCTGGAAAGGAGAGTTTTCTTTTAAAGATATGAATTTGACAAGAAGAACTGATATCTTGCGACATTGAAGTGCTCCCAAAGTAATGACAGTTGAGTAGCTTATTTCAGTCTTGAAGATGGCAACTAACGTCATGCAAAGCATCAAGATGTGGCATAAATTACTTATGACCAATAAAGCTTACCTGAAGCTAGACACGTTAGCTTCTAGAATATTTCCCCCGACGGAGTTATTCAAGTTAGTCATCTAATGAAGAAAATTTGATCTGTCATTTTATCACAGTCATCCTTAAAATGACCTTAACTTTGCATAATATCTTCACGACAATGTAAATTGGAGCTTAGACTATTTGATTTTTGCAAAAAGACTGTTAAGATTCTAAAGAGAGTTCTTCTTTTATGTGGATAATGCATAATGAAATATGTAAGATCCAAAGCACTTACTACAATCATTTTTCTGTAATCTTTTTTACTTCAGTATTTCTGCCTTAATTTTTTCATACCTCCTCGTTAGTGTTTTTGTTAAGTTTGTTATCGTTTTTCTTCGCAAGCTAAACATTTTTTGTATGTTTCTCATAGAGCACCTAATTTCGCAGACCTCTTTTATTTAAAGGCAGTTACGTTAATGCACAATCGCTTTTTCAAGTCAGTTTACGTAACAGGTGTTCTTTCTCAGGACGGAAATATTTGTGCTTCAGACATTACGGACTAAGGTTGATCCTTGCCCAAGTTTACTGTGCCATGACTCCTTTTCATCTCAGAGAACGTAAGCACATACTGTTATGATATGCAAAAAACCTTCCGGACATCAACGTTTGCTTTTTCTTTCTTATGTAACTCTCAAATGTTATGTAACTTTCTGGACTGGTTATGTAATCACTTCGGACTACTCACGTGTCAGTTCTCGGGTTACACGAAAAAACATTTTTATAATAAGAGAGTCGCTATCGCGTTGTTGTTGTTTCGTTAGCTCTAAAGGTAACCTGCCTCTCAAGTAATTAAAGTTTGTGTTCAAAGAAGCTTACTGGACTCAGACTCACTATCTTGCTCTCTCGCGTCTTAAAGGACAAAACTCATACTACGTGAGGTCTTCATGAAGTAACACAACAACTTTTTATTTTCTCGTTCAATGTTACGGTTTACGATATCGGTAATTTGAACCGATGGTGGATAAGAGCATCCTATAAAGCGTTATCAACCACTTGACTTACTACCCTCAGTAAAAGATCATAAAAGGAGCAGACCTGGTTTGTAAACTGTACGATCAACTCCTCGTGTTCATCCGACTCTGTATCTGCTAAATTTGGCTCCCAAGGTAGGTCCAGAAGAACAATGTTAAAGATTACATCAATTGGAATACGACAATTATCTGAAAAATCATAATGGAAGAAACAAAAATGCCAATGCATACGTTTGTGAAGAACATCATAACTTCTGACAAGGGAAAGCAGTGGTACAAACTATCTTCTAAAAAACCGACGAGAAGTGATTCAAGGAAAGTCAAAATGGAACGTGCAGTTGATCTCTAAAAATTCTCACGTCGATGATGCTTAGGGAAAACTAGGAACTTGGCAATATAACCCGCAAAAAAGTGATAAAATATTAAATTAAGCTTCTTAAGAATTTTTCTCTTCTATTCCTCGCGTTATTTTCAAGAGTGAATAGGCTTTTTGCCGAGTAGTTCCTACTGTAAAGTATGAACGTATAATTCCAAATCAAATGATGTCTACTCTACCTGCCAGTGGGTAATGGTAGATCGAAAATAACATAAGGGTTCACCTTTTATGATGTACCAAGGAGCTTTAAGCTTTGTAGATGAGAGGCTTTCGTTCCAAATTGTTAGGATGTCCAATTCGACAGACAACAAAAGTAATCGCGTTGAAGATCCAAGAGATATTGTTTGCCGCGATGGCGGTCTGTTCCCATGCTCCAAATCGCAGCTTCCCTGGAGATTTGATGTGGAAGCGTCGTTAAAAACCTTGAGGCCACCATCAGCTGATGCAGGATCCTTCCAACTAAACGCCACGTGGGACCATACGTTACGCTTGTACCACGTTAGGGTGCCTTTACAAACGTAGTTATCACTCACAACAACTATCTCTAAATATTCTCCCCGCATTCCAACAGCAAACCCTTTAAAACCAGTAATCTGTTCTACAGTTTGTGTGACAATATTCCCAAACAGAAACGAGTAATCGACGAACTTAGAATCTGGTCCAGTTACTTTGATAAAAAAAGAAACTGAAAAACCTGCGGCGCACTGCGTTGGATCAACAGGACACTCGATGGCGAACCCAGGATTCAGATTGATTTCACCGGTTCCCGTGATGAGTACTCCAGTGCCCGCAGGTGAACGCGTATTCGTAACCTCATCAGGGACTAGTGAGGTGATATTACCAGGATGAGCGGTAATGTTGTCAACTATTTCCGGATAATCCAACTCCCAGAAATGATTCGCGTCCTCAAAAAGGGAATAATATGACTCTGGAAAATATAGATGGTAATACAACAGGTTTAAAATCAACCCAGTGTTACGTATGTCACGTATATGGTTTTCGTGACCTTATTAGGAGAGTGCATTAGGTATACATTGACATGAATTGCTGATCAAAGGACACGAGGAGTAGTTCTCGATGCCGGAAAACTCGGGGGAAAAATGACGTGTGTTAGAGAACAATTTAACAGGATAGCTTGCACATGATCGAACAGCAGTCTATACTAAGATTACAAAGGGCGAAGGGCTAACACTCGAAACGTCATTGACATTGGACACCTTAATCCAAAGACGTCTTACTGCGTCTTTAATCATGTTTTTCAAGGCATACAGGCTATAGGGAGCTTCGTATATCTCTAATTTTTTCACACCTAGGGTATGTCACTGCAATTTGCGCTCCTCTGCTCTTAATGTTTCCCGGCCTGTAAATACCTCTAGCCATATTCATAGGTCTTTTTCATATATTATCTCTCATTCCTGGAACCAGCTACCATCTTCAGTTAAATCGGCAACTACTCTAGCAGAATTTAAGACTGGCCTATCTCGCATAACTACGCTTGGCTGTAAGTGTAATAAATGTATAAGTATACAATTGCAGGGGTAGGGTTATGAATTGGTAATTAGGCTTCAGGGTTAGGGCTACAAGTTAGGTGATTAGGGCTGGTAGGGTTTCAGGGGAGGTTCAGGATTAGGACTAGGGGTAGGGGGCTAGGTGATATTTTTGCGTTTCTTTTTTATACATATATTTAACTGGTACATATATTTATATACACATCTGTATTTTAACTGTCGAGCGTTTTCAACATGAGCCATTAGGCTCGGGGGATTGGGTAACCACCTCCTACGTTACCGACATGAAATAAATTGTATTGTATTGTATTGTATTGTATTGTATTGGGTAATTTAAAAAGTTTTGTTACATTTCAAATCGCAATTTAAACAATTTAGCCATTCTGTTTGATCGCCTTATGGCTCCGAGCTCATGGACCCTTTTTGAACTCTGCGAAACGCAGCAGGGTTGTACACGACAAATTAAACACGCTGAAGCTCCTATTCATGGCTATCATTCACTAACGATTATCTCCTGCTTGTGCGAATTGAATAAAATCGATCAATTGGAGCCCTGGTTTCTTTAAGTTCAAAAACTTGCTACTCACAACTTAAGTAACCAGTTCTCGGTGCTAAGGAATGACAAAACCAAGGCACCAAGCAACTACATCAAATTATTGTAATTTTTATCGGCGCACAATCTGATTATTCTTGTTATCAATAAAGGGCAAAATTACTGAGCGCTGATTGGTTGAGAGAGAGGGCATTTTTTTCTTAATCGAGGGCATTTTTAGTAATCAAGAGAGGGCATGATTACCTGTTAATGATTGGCTAATCCGTTGCATAGCAACCGTTCGTTATCTTGAAATTTGTTATCAAGTTTTTGTTGCAACAATGGCTTGTCGTTTTATTGAAGCGGACGACGAATTAATTGAACTTTTGAAATGCGAAATTAATTGACACAGTTTTGGAGAATAAAATTTCATTGAATCGATTGGTCAGTTCAATTTGATTGATGATTTGCCGTAGCGCTAAACAGGCTTCCCAGATAAAAATAGACTGCGCGCGTGATTTTCCTTCGTATAAATTTTGCCCTTTATTGATAAACAAGTAATCCCATGAGACCTCGTACTATTAAGGATTAATTGCACTTGAGTTTTCAAAATTTTCCAAAATTGCCCGAGTCGCGAAGCTCTCGTGCAATTAATCCTTAATAGTACTTGGCCTCATGTGATTACATATACAAATCCGATCTACGTCCTCCATCATTCGGCAAAGAAGAAACAGTCGTAAATTCTTTTTCTTCTTTTCTCAATTTCTCTCCCCTCTTTTCTTCCTTTCCTTTGTTGGTTTTTTCTTTCTACTTGTTTTGTTTTTTTTTTTGTCGTTTTGTTGTTGCTATTGTTTTTTATTTTCATAACAAAAAACCTCCAACCAGAAAACTAATATAAATCGAAAGAAGCAAGAAAATCATAACGGTTAGTGTTAAATCTGTCACAGGCTTACAGGAGAAACCAGTGATGACTAATAGGGTCTGGTTTACACGATTGGACGTAAAACGTTCTGCCGTAATATGAGACACACAATACCACTCATCATTTTACCTTGAGAACACGAAATACAAGAAGAACCCAACAAATGTTCCTTACATTCTGGTAAAAAGGAAAATCAAATTCAAGTACTATTTATTGTCCTTTGTCGTTAAGAAAATGATATTTCAATATGGTATTAGTAATTTACTTGTAAGATTTAAAAACCCAAAGAATCATTCATATCTCGTCCATTCAGCAAGCTGGATGAGATTCTTCAGCGGAATAGATCGCTCAGACACTTTAAATTATTTTCTTGAGAGATCAAACTACTATGGTGGCATAAAAAGTCAAAGATCACTACTGTTTAAAGAACATACCGGTCGATCCAGATACTTTCGGTAGCAAAATTGTGTAGATACTTGAAAACACCTGACAAGAGGAGAAACAAAGAATTCTTTTAAAGAACTGCATCTTAGGATTACAAGCGTTAAATTGACAAACTTTAAGACTTACCAACGTCCTTAGAACAATCATTTCACCGTTTCAAATTCCTTGACGAGAAAAATGACAAAATAGCGTGAGGACCGCTTTGTAGTTTTTCATTCACCCCAGGTGCAAGGTAGAAATCTATTGTGACATTAGGATACTTAGTATCCTGCAGTGAAGAATTAGTTTTGCTTTCATTTTTAATTTGTGGTGTCGCTGTGCAGTCATTCAATAAGAAAATATTTTGGAAAATACCTCTTGGTTTTAACATAGAAATTTCTCTCACTTTGCCTTCTTTTGTCTTCATAGTATGCGCAAAAAAGTGAAGCTGCTAAGAAAAATAATTTGAAAAAAATGAAGATTGAAAAAAATGAAGACTAGGCAGTATGGGCCTTAACTTGATTTTCAGTCTTCCAGATGAGCATTATTAGTAGTCGCTTCTACATTCATTTTGTTACTCCAAGACAAATATAAAGGAAAAATTCTTGCTATGCAAAATATGAAACTGAATGGGCTAAATTGTACCCAACAATACTATTATCTATTATTACCTTTTGTTTGAGAAAAGCTCTTCTTTAACAATGGAAGATATCTTTACAGAAGAAAACAGTTGGAAAAACAGTGACTAAAACAGTTGAAAAAACAGGCTTCTTCATGTGGTTAACTTCTTCCTGATTATTTTTTAATTTAACTAAGGAAATTGTCCCGAGAAGGGTAAAAATGTGGGAATCGGAAATTAAAGGAAAAAGGTTCATAATAATCAAAGACTCGCCCCTATCTCCACAATTGGGTCTTAACAAAAGTCAAGCTTTCTTCGTTCAAACGTCAAATAACAACTTTACTGCTGGAGCATCTTCGCGCATACGAAAAAGTTGCAAGTCAGTCACGGAATTTCATGACTTAAACAGTACACTACTGATAAATTGATGTGCTGCTTGACAAACGAAATGTAGGTAAAGACTTGGATATTTCGTGAACTACAGTTAATGAGTAACTGGTGATAAACCTATTTTTTGTATGCAAATTTCTTCGTTAATTAGCTTAAGGGGAACTTCTCACCGCACCGCACACAAGCAAACCAACACACTACGTTTATCCACAGACACAGAGTAAGGGTATCGATAAATAGATCCTATAGCTGTTTTTGTGACTTTTTATTGTTTCCCCGAATTGTTTTAAGGTGGAAAACTGCCATGGTCTCTAAACAAAGTTACTTAAAAAACAACAAGGAAAAAAAAAATTGTGAAACAGAAACTATTCAGCTGGCGCTCTGTCATTGTCTGTTTTGCTATATAATTAATGAGATCTAGGTGTTTCTTTTGAAAACGGCGTGGGGTGTTAACAATTAGTCAACTTTCTAAGCTTCTTAAAAAAAAATTGTGTTCGTTTTAGTTCATAGTTTCTTGGCATGAATACTTAGCAAATGGATTCAATGTTGCTGTACATCTCTTAAGTAAAAGATCGTAAACGACGTCGAATGTGGCGAGAACAAAGAATGGGCACACGAGGCGAAGTTGAGTGTGTCGCTGATGTACTTACTACATTTTGAAGTCTTTTGTGATGCATTCTAAACTGACGCAGGTTAACACGACTTCCATTTTCTTTTGTAAGGAAGCCAAATGGTGAAGTCATCTTCACGTTGTTCCTCAATAGTTCATCAGACCCAATCATTCCAAATCGGACAGGTGCCTTTTAACCGAGCATTTCACGCCTTCGATTTTAGAAATCAGAGTCATGATTGATTCAGCTCGGTTCGTTTTTAAGACAATCTGAAAATATTTGTCGTTATGTTTTTCATTCTCCAAAATCTCTTTTTTTTCTCAACGCTTATCACTCAGTTGACAGAGTAATAGATCTGGTCAGATTTGTCTTTCCAGTTGCCGTACCGCTGCTGCTAAAGCATTCGGTGGATATGCAGGTGTGGAACTGAAAAAGTAATTCGAGTGCGTCAAAAACTTCGCGGTCGTTAACTACGCTTTTCGCTACATCCCCTTTCTACACAACGCAGACAACATACAGTTCAGAAAAATTTTTGTGCAACACTGAGAATTAGCATGTTTATTTTAAAAGTGTTTCTAACCACTCAATTACATCTTGAATTAAATGTTTACATCCATTTTAAATAATTACCTACAGTGGCATTCTAAAATTAACATGAACTTGTCCATTTTCCATTTTGTAATCTTCTTGTAAAACCGTTTCCAATTTTATTTTCTTGTTCCCCTCACTGCTCGGCCCTCGCATCCATTTTTTAAAAGCCATTTGCTCCTTACGTCACGTGTTTTAAAACATCTGACTTGTAGCTGAGCTAGTGCATCAATTGGTCCTGACAAATTCCCTAAAAAAGAGAAATGAATTAAAAGCTTTAAAATGATGAAGAAAATAAAAAAGAAATGAACACCAAGAATAAAAATCGTAAATGCGCGTCTGAGTATTCTGAAACCGGTTGAGTAATCAGTATATTGAGTAACCGTCTGAGTATTCTGAAACCGGCTGAGTATTGAAAAACCGGTTCTCTTTCTTTTTTCCTTTCCTTCTTGATCACTTTTTTCTTGTTGTTTTTTTTTTCATTTTTTTAACGGCGTAGAAACCCAAGTATTCTGAACGTATGAAATGCGTCTGCGCAGTTAACATATATTTCAGCGGTATTAGAGAGACGCAGAAGTTTAAAGGACAGAACAAAAAATAAAATAAAATAAAATAACAAAACGAAAGAAAACATTATAATTCAGGTCACTAGATGATCTATTTTACAACAAACTGAGTATTCATCAAAAGTAAAGATTTTTAAGAAACCGGTTCTCTTTCTTTTTTCCTTTCCTTCTTGATTATTCTTTTCTTTTTTTTTTTTTCATTTTTTTAACGGTGTAGAAACCCAAGTTCCAAGTCGTACATTTACTAGATTTCAGTGCGTCGTTAGACCTCCGATATATTTTAAGATCTTAAAAAATTAAGCTACGAGTGGAACTTTGTATTAGGTCGGGACTTGTTAGGTCTTAAGCACCGAGAAAACGTTTGCACAATAGGCGTAAATTTTCAGGGGAATATAAGGTGAGATGAAGAACCCAAATTCAGAATCCAAGTTACAAATATTGTAACATTGAGTTTTAGGTAAACAGTATTACATGTTTGGGAGAACATTTTCCAAAAACAGCAAGACAAGAAAAAGATTAAAATCAATTTTCTTTCGAATTACTATTTATTTTTACTCCAAGAAATAAACATTAAGGAAACTACAGCGCCTAATATGTTAGGCCAACCAAACTCCGAAGTTTGAAAGGCCTAAGATGAAAATTGCTGATTTCATGAGTGCAGAATATCAGAATCATGCCCTTAAAAAAAATTATCTACACTATTTACCTTAAGATCCCCGGGAGCTTTTGTGACTGGTAAATCATCTTATGGCCGTGTTGTCCATCTAATTCAATAAATTTGATAGGACCTGCATCAGCTGGCCGCGAAAACTTAGCACTTTCATACAACTGGAGTATAGAACAAGACACAAAAATTAATTTTCAAACATGTTACTAAGCAATAATTGCAACTCTGTGAAATGTTTTGTTTTCTTAGACCTACAGGTATGGAAAGTCGTGGGCGTATTGCGCTGTAAGTGTTAACACATTAGCACGGATTACTGTGTTGCCTTGAGGCTACCTCCAAGAGTGGAAGGGGAATAGGTAAAAAGTAAAATGAAAAACTGTTACATAAGTTCAACATACGGCCGGAAGATGGACAGGTAACTTAACCAGAAACATGAGCAATTCTCTTTTTAACCTCGTATGTAAGTTGATGAAAAAGATATTGGAGCGGTTGCTAAACCCTTTGTCACTCAAAAACCCATTTCACCAAGTAAAAATTTCAATATTAGCTCTGTTCAATGCTGACTTTCAATGAATTCTAGGAACAAAACAATTACGAACGCATCCTCCCAGATGACCTTGAACTCACTGAAGAGAAAGTAAAGAAGCCTGAAGAACTTCAGGCTTCTACAGGCTTCTACAGGCTTCTACAGGCTTCTACAGGCTTCTACAGGCTTCTACAGGCTTCTACAGGCTTCTACAGGCTTCTACAGGCTTCTACAGGCTTCTACAGGCTTCTACAGGCTTCTACAGGCTTCTACAGGCTTTTACAGGCTTCTACAGGCTTCTACAGGCTTCAAATCTAGGCCTCCAAGAAACCATCTGGGCACCTCTATCTTCTGAATCACAGAGCCATAACTTCTTATTTATCCCATTTCTTGGTAAATCATATTTCTCACTCTAGTAAATCCTGTCACCATTACCTACCTTTTTCCCCAGAGCAAACGATATGATCTCATCACTTCGATCATGAAGGATTAGTATCGGACAATACACGTCTGCTAACCTAGAAGACAAAACAAAAAAAAGGTAGAATGAATCTTCAGTACGGAAAAGAAGAAGAATAATTCTATTGGCAGATGATTTATTTTGGATAAGACCCAGAGTTTCATATGAGACCATTATCCTCTTACGATTTAACATGACTCTACCACTCAATGTGTTCTAAATTAGTTTTAGAGCAAAATTTATTTGATTCATAGTTTCGATCTAGAATTTATTTTCTCAACTCGCTGACGACATGTTTAAACTCATACATTGTAGAGAGCGCATTGTTGACGTGAATATTGTTTCAATGATCAACTTTGGATTAATTCGGTCGCAGAAATGCATAAAATGACATGAGGCGCGTGGGGTGCTGTAGTACATGCAAGTGGCACTGCGTGTTGGTCAATCAGGATACATTATTTGAATTTGTAATGACTGGTTGACAAAGTACCTCTAAGGAAATGGCAGTGTGGTTGTCACCGATCTGAACAAAGTACATGAAAACTTGCCCACCTCTTATCAGTTCGAAATGCTTCTTTGACTTCTTCTAGCACAGTCTCATTAAAATATGGCAGGAATCTAAAAGGCTTTAATAAAAATAAAGTTTTACTAACCAGCACTCAATAAAAAAATTGGCAAAAGTATCATCCATGTTGATTTTCTCCTCTATCCAAAGAGACTTTTGGGACACTAGAGAAAAATCTACGAAAATTTCCCCTGAATCTAATGCTTCATTGATTAATACCTTACACACTTCAATTCCTTACGCCGCTGCAAGCAAAGGCAACATAAACAACGCATCGTAATCAAACTCCATTTAGAAAAAAGATGATGACAGATACTCTACCTTAAGAATATCTGCTTTTCACAAAACACAAACAGCTGTGCATTTCCACAGATCCTTTTACAGAGATCATTTAGATAATTATAAAGGGGGCAGTTTTCTAAAGAAACTTTGGTGCTGCATTAGTTGTTGGTATGACAATATAATTCGGTTTTATCAACTGAGTTGATAATGAAAATTGGCCACCGAAAAAGTTCCTAAACTCGTTTCGTGTGTTAGACCTTGGTCAGAGCGAATGCTATGATGGAGGAAAATAAAACAAAGACTAAAATTTTCATTCGTGTTTCTAAATAATGATGAGCAAAATGCAACATTGCAACGCACAAATAACCCATGCACTCCTCCCTACCCACCCAAGATCTCACTGTATAAGATGATTCCAGCTCTCAGAATTTGGTGTCAAAACTTTTATCATTGACATTTCTTTTTCTTCTCATCACCTTTCTGTTCAAATGTATCTTATAATCCAAGAGGAAATTTATTTTTGGTCTTTCTAGGGAGAGAAAGGGTTAAACATAGCACTGCATTCAAGAAAAACCCTCATCCCTTGTATGGCACAAATGGCCAGGAAAACTTTAAGCACAAGTTTTAACTCTTGCCTGAAGTTTAAAGACTTACTATAGTTATTGGATGATGGACTGCACCATCCCAAATATTGTTAAAAGGTGCTTCAAGAATGACTCCTAATGGTGGAGAACCTGTAAAAACATGACTTTATATTTGAAGCATTGTTATTTAACCTACGGTTTGATCATTGCCTTGCCCATGTCAGTGAAACTCTATCACTGCAAAAACTTCTTGCATCAGCAAATTTCATGTACATGTGTCCAAAATCATGTACATGTACAAGCACCAAAATATGGAGCAGTGCAACTCTTCAATATCTTTTTCTTGAAATTTCTGATAAGCAATTCATGGAGAGCTTTCTGAGTAACTAGCATGAGCATGGAAAATTCACTACAAAACTTTAAGTCTAAAATACTTTAATAAAATCTTAGAAGTAGCAGGAAAGTTGTCCTTCTTTCCAGGAAATCAAGATTTATAGATTTTTGTGATTGCATAGGAGTAGAAATTATACAAGGAAAGAATGAAGGCTGCTTTGTATTTCAAAACCAGATTCCCATCTACATAAGGTATCAACATGGCATAACCTTTATGCTTTTCCTCCAGTTACAGTGTTTATCTAGCACAAACCTTCTTCACATAGAGCTTTTGCAACTCCACCAGCTACTCTAGAATAAAAAAAACACACAACAAGATGAAACAACATAAATGAATGTGATGTGGTACAATATACATGTAAGTACTCCCCCATGGAACCAATAAGTGACAGTGCCTTACAAGAAACATTCTTACAGCTATTTCATCTAGGCAAATCCTGGTTGCCAGTTTGCCAAAAGAAACTCCCTGAAAAATTTGGCGGCCCAACAGGAATATTCACCAGCCCTGGGAATCAAATAGCACTTTTGTCCTCACCTGATGGTTGCTAACAGATTTCCCTCACTGGAAAAACTTGTAAATCTAAGAGCACTTACACTGTAATTCCTCCAAAACTATCCAGAATGCCTCTGAACTTAAAGCTATTTAAACCAAGTACACAACTGTTACTTTTTACTCCACAAGAGTATCACTTGGTCCTCTTACCCTGAACCTAAGGAGTGACCCCAGATGTACAAAGGTGCCTCAGGACTTTGTGATCTTATCCACTTCCAAGCAGCAAGACCATCCTCAATGAGTCCTAACAGTAAAAAATTTCAATTTAGAGTTGTGAGGACACAGTTATGCTGTCTTATTCAACTTCAGTGGCTGTTGATGATGCCATCTAGGAGGACCTTTCTGTTTACTGACATAGTGCTTGTTGATGAATGATGAAAAGTGATCTTGAAAAATGACTAAGTTCTTTGATAACAATGGTATCCTGATGAAAACCAAGAGTATAAAGTAGAAATGATTTACTGCATTAACAACCAATTTACTCTTAAAGCAGTACTGCAATTTCATATCTGAATTTTAAACAATACCATTTTCAGATGGCTTTCCTTCAGAGTCACCAAAACCTATGAACAATAACCAAAGGAAAGGTTTCCACCATCAGTAAATAGGAAAATATAACTATTCATGGAGATTAAAAGTGACAAAATTGAGATGGCAATGAAACTAAGAACCACTGTCATTTCTTTGTATTGAAGAGCTGTTTCAGTAATTTGATATAAACTGTTAATGTTAAATGTACAAACCACAGAGGAAAGATGCATCTACAAAACTATAGTGCAGCATCAGATTGGGAGGAAAAATACTCAGCTGATACATGGAGAGAATTTGGTACAGATAAATAAGCATAAAAATTAATTTGAAAAGTTGACATTCTAAGTATTTTCCATAAGTTATTCAGGAAAAAATATTCCATTAAAGGCTGCTTTTCCAACAAATGTGTTTCCAAAGTTCCCTCTCATGAAAATAATCAACTATTTAATGAAATAACTTCTTTAAAAATCCTTCAATCAAGTGGTTTAAAATTCTCACACATTCATATACATGTAAATCTGCATTTATATTGGATTGTGACACTTAATTTGTCAAACCATAATAATAATAATAATAATAATAACGAATTTTTATACAGGATTGAAAAACCCATCAGTGTGTAACACTGTTGTCCTTGGGGTCCTGTCAAAAATAATAAATAAATAAATAAAATAAAATTTAACAAGATATAATCATTGAAGGTCTAGAAAAGCATACAATAAAATGAAAAAAAATTAAAAATTAAATAAAAAATGCTCTGAAAAGGATACCTATAACCACGTTTAGATAGAATTTAACTAAAATAATCTCGCAATTTGTTCTTAAATTTCAGTCTCGAATCTAACGACCTTAGTTCAGCAGGCAGGTTGTTGAAAGTCTTTGCTCCTTGGTAATAGAAGCTCTTTTTACCAAATTCTAAACGAACTTTGGGTAATTTCACTGATATACCGTTATTCCTAGTGGCCTTAGAATGAACCAGCCTTTCGAAGTAGTTCTTAAAGGGTGTGCAAACATTATTCAGGAGACAGTCGAAAACAAACAGACAGCTTTTACGCTTGATCAAATTGTTCACGGATGGGGGATTAAAAGAACTATTGCCGATAACTTTAAAGCCTCGTCGTTCGATGTTCTTTATCATTTCCTTTCGGTAATCCGGAAAGCTAAGACCAAGTGTTCCGCAATAGGTAAAGATAGGTGCGATCATAGTGTTATAGATCGATTCTACACACTTTTGGTCGATCAAAGGACGAATTGATCGCAAGAGATTGATTCTGGTTGCAGCTTTTTTATAGATTCGGTCAAAATGTGATGCGAGGTTTAGTGATGAGTCAAGGTGAACACCTAAGTACTTATAGGTAGAGGTATTATTGATGAGTGACCCATTAGCAGAAAGTTTAAGTTCCTTGTCTTGAAGGTTGATTCTTTTAGCTGTTCCAAATAACATAGACTCCGTCTTGTCCTTTTTTAGGTTAATGATCAGTTCGTTGTCTTTAAACCACTCGCACAGGTTATTCATATCCTCGCTAAGGCTTCTCTGTATAGTATCAATATCTTTAGAAGAGGTATAGATGACTGAATCGTCGGCATAAGTGATAATCTTCGAGTGTTGAAGCGGTTTATGTACATCGTTGAAAAAGATAATGAATAAGATAGGACCCAGGATACTTCCCTGAGGAACACCTGTGAGAATGGGTTGAGGTTCTGATAGCACGCCTTTATATTGGACAACTTGTGATCTGCAGAAAAAGTAATCAGTGAACCATGCGAGTTCTGTTCCACGAACTCCGTAAGTTGAAAGCTTGCTCAGGAGGCCAGAGTGACTGATGGTGTCAAACGCCTTGGATAGATCGATGAAAACACAGCCTGTCAGGTTACCATTCTCACCTTCTCTTCTGATAACATCGGTAAGATGAGTAACGGCCAGTTCAGTAGAGCGCATGCGACGGAAGCCGTACTGAAAATGAGAAAGTAGACCATTCTGTTCAAAATGAGCCATCAGCTGCTTAAATACCACTTTCTCCAGGATCTTTGACATTGAAGGAAGTATTGAAATAGGCCTATAATTGTCGATTTCGGCCATTGAACCAGATTTAAAAAGTGGTACAATTTTAGCCGCTTTCCAGTCAGTAGGTACAGACCCAGTTGCGAGAGACAGGTTAATTATATGCGTGAGAGGCTTGGCTATTATATCAGCAGAGTCCTTTAACATTCCAGAAGGAAAGTTGTCAAGGCCAGAGGACTTATTTCTCTTAAGGCTCTTTAATGCATTAAAGACAACCTTTTCCGAGACTGATCTAAACTCAAAGTTCTCTAGCGGCTGCTGGGTGTCTATTGTAAGGGGCCTTTTCCAGACAAAATTGCAAAGAGGGAAGATCTTTCTTTTTAGAGATCGCGCAACATCAGTGAAGAATTTGCAGAACAAATTTGCAATAACCTCTTTGTCGGTTTCTACTGCTTCATTAACGAGAAAAGCTGCTCCTGGTTCCTTTGTAGACTTTGTAGGGTATAGTTTTTTAATAGCTGACCAAAATTTGTTAGGTGAACCCACAGTCTCCTCTAAGAGTTCACGGTGATACCTGCTTTTGCAATTTTTTACCATACCGTTAACTTTGTTTCGTTGGCGCTTGTACGAAGACCAGTCAATTTCACGATTTGTCTTTCTCGCTTTTCTCAAAAGCTGATCTTTGGTATTCATTTCTTGCTTTACCTTCTGTGTAAGCCATGGGCTGAGTTTCCCTTTGATCCTCTTCTTTATAGCTGGCGCATGCTTATCAATACATTCTTTCAGAATGGCTTTCAAAAAAGACCATGCTTCATTAACGCAGGAGGATTTAAAGACAGGTGTGAAACTATTGGACCGTAAATCATTGCAAAAGGATATAGGATCATAATTAGCATAGTTTCGACAGGTGATGGTTCTTGGCTGGAATTTATGGTTATGCAGCTTCCGGACACAACCAATCATATCATGGTCACTTAAGCCGGCGGGAATGACTTTAACACTATAAACATTCTGAGGGCGATTTGTGTAAATCACATCTATCAGTGATTTGAATCTTGCGTTACCCTCGTGGGATCCTTGATTAGCTGTTTAAGGCCAAAAGACAATAGCATTGCCTTCAGTTCTTTGTTGTCTGAGCTTACCAAATAGTTGCAGTTGATATCGCCTGTCAAAATGCATTCTTTGTTTTCAGATGATACAGCAGAAAGCATCGACTCCAGTTTATTTTCAAAATCTGCACAAAGATGCTTTGAAGAACTCGGGGGCGATAAATAAAACCAATAAGGATACCCTTAGATTTTGGAAATAGAATTTCTATCCAGATACATTCGATCCCATCGCGTTCCAGGTCTAGTCTTCTATGAAAGGGGACAGAAGAGGAGATATAAACTCCCACACCTCCACCTTTGCCTGTTTTCCTTGGTCTATTAATGAACGTATAGCCATCCAGTTGAACTTGAGCCTCTTCACTGTCCGATAAATGAGTCTCACTGAGGGATATGATGTCTATATGCTTGGAATCATCGATCATTTGGCATAGACTATCCCTGTTCGCCACGAGGCCTCTGATATTTTGATGAATAATTGTAAGCCCATTTTTCGTTGACAAATCCCGAAGATCAGACAGGGTGTCATGTGAACTAGAGGAGCCAACAGGACCAGGTTGAAGTTCAACATCATTTGCGAGACGAATGAGTAGTAAGGAAAGAGAGGAATTAATCGCAAAACGGCATAATGTAAAATACCAAAACAAAACTGTACCTCTATAGTCAATTGTTACTACATGATAACCAATGGAAGTCAAAAGCTGCAGGGATATAAACAATCAAACAAAAAAACTTGAAGTTATATCATTTTGAAATAACATTACAAAAACTCTACAAAATTAATGTACAACATTATTATAACTCTATGAATGAAATTAAAAGTACTGTTAGTATTAAACCTGGTATTTTCAAGGTTTTAAAAGTGTGATAACTACTTTAAAACAGTCATTTATTTTGAGATTTCAGCAAGACCTCAATCATAACAACCTTATAAACTCCTAATCTGTGGCCGGTCCCTCTGAAAGGAAACAAAAAATTAAATAAAGATAATAACACAGGTACATGTGTGTCTAGTAATAGAAACATAATAAATAAAATAAAAACCCTTAATGATTAATGGTTATCAAATAAGAAGTACCACGATCCTTTACTCAGTTATGAAACCGAGTAACCAAAAGTACCATTTGAAATACAGTAGTTCAGTACTGTGAAATTCATCTACTTTCAGTTATGAAACTGAGTAACCAAAAGTGCCACTTAAAATACAGTAGTTCAGTACTGCAAAATTCATCTACTTTCAGTTATGAAACTGAGTAACCAAAAGTGCCACTTAAAATACCATAGTTCAGTACTGCGAAATTCATCTACTTTCAGTTATGAAACTGAGTAACCAAAAGTGCCACTTAAAATACAGTAGTTCAGTACAGCGAAATTCATCTACTTTCATGACGAGTAAATTAATCTGTTAAAAAAAATAGGTCTTTTTCCCCTAATCCCCCACACTCAAAAAACTGGTATCTGACTGTCCAAACATTGAAGATTAATTTTAAATTTACTGCAAGAAATTTCTGGTCAATAACTGCATTCTTTCACTGGTCAGTTCAATTTACTAAAAATGTAATAACCTTGTGTAAGCATTGCCATGAAAATAGAGAAATACTGGATTTCCATCACTAAGGTGGGAATGCTTGTCAGTTTTGGTATCTTGGGCCTTATCAGCATGTTGACTGGGAATATTCCTAAAATATACAACAAACAAGGAAAACAAATGAAGGCAATCACAGACTTGGCACTTCCTTCAAATAGACTTTGGTAGATGTCCTAATCAACAAACCTGCTTTTGATTAAATAGTAACAGGTCTATTCAGATTTTCATCAATTGCTAATTTCAGCAAAAGTCTGTTTCACACTGTCTCAAAGCTACATCACTGAATAAAATTAATGCCAGCACACTCGCTATAGAACATAATGGCAAAAGCAGTTCTGCTGACTGAAAATGCTCATTCTACAGGTAAGGTAACAATGATTATTCACTTCCCGCCACAAGATGTTTTGAGAAAACATGTCTTTCTTTCAGTAAAAGAATTTTCCCTCAATTTGAAATGGACTGCTCTGACTTCAACTAGTTTGAAGCCATGTACTTTGTCCATGATTGCAGCCAAATCTAATGAACTTGTAGCAAGTGTCCCAACCTGGCTTACACTTCAACACCTAATTTCATCCCAACACCCATACCATGTGCTATACATTGAGTTTAGCAGATAACACAGGCTTAACAATTGTCAATGTGACTACAAATACAGCTATGTTGAATAAGAAAAGTAGCTTTATTTTCAAACTATAAATATCTATTGACTGCATAACTGACACTTGCAACAAAGTAAAATAATAACAAATAAAACAAAATACAAAACATAAACAAAAACAAAAAACTAACCATGCTCCTAATTTACCAGCAGGACCAGATATGTAAAAATGTACAGTACTATCAGGTAAACCAAATGAACTAGGATCAGACAAATTTTCAAATGGATTCTTCACTGGGTGACAAAAGAGGAAAATGAAGGTTACTAGTAATACAGAAAAAAATTATCACTTACAATTATTTGAATCAAAAGATCTCTAACTTTACTTAAATAATACATGTTAGTTCATTATATGTAATCCCACTGTATTAGAACACTGAACAAGAACAAATACACCAACCACTAATCTTTAGAAAAGCAGTTCTGGTGCAAATCTTAACACTTGAAACTACCTCAGTCTCTAATAACCCTTAAACTCCCTTTAATATCCATACAGTATCTAGCAAACAGGTAACAAGAATACTCAACATCACTATAGCAGCCTGAGGGAAGAATTGGGAGTTAAAGGTTAAAGTGAATTAAGTTTATCAGATTCATCAGATATAAAAAAGTTAATAGCACTGGACAAATTGAATACAAGACATTTCGCGCAAAAGACTTGCCGTTGGATCTTATTGAAAGTGACATGTGAAGGTGAAATGTCTTATCAGTATCAATCAGTATACCTTTTATATTGGTGTTTCTTACTTATAATTATTGTGCAAAATGACCACTAAGAATTGTGTGAACGGTCCAAAACTTGTGCTAAAAGTATTTTGTGCAAAATGTCCGGTTACCAAAAAATCATGAAAGAGCAACATCTTTATCATGTAAATGCAACACATCACCAAAACAATTCTTCATCTACTTTCTACATATAATTATTCACTAGAGAGAAGAGATCAAGAGGCAAGACTAATTAACTATTATAATGATATATACCTACATAACACATTCATAATAGTTACAGTGTACTAACATGGATGTAAATAAATCATGAGCTCCCTTGCTTCTGGTGAGGAATACATTATTATCACACATGTGATATAAAAGAGCAAAATCACACCCACTGTTGTCTTGAACAAAACCCTAAGAAATGAAATGATGAACATTAACTTGCTTTGTCTTTAACGAGTGTAATCACAATGCAAGACTTGTCTTCTAAAGGTTGAATTGTTTTGACTGAGATTTTTTTAACCCTTAAATTCCAAATATTTTACTTGTTAATTCCCCCCCTTTACATGTCGCTACACATTTCCTTGCAAATAAGTTACAAGAATGCTGAAAAAAAATGTACCAGTGATAAGTTTGAGAAATCTCATCTCAATTTTGCTTGATATTGTATGGGTATCTTAAGGAGAAGTTACAAGTTAATTACTTTTAGGAGTTAAAAAGTAAACCATAGGATGTGTAAATTTTTTAATACACATATTTTGATTCCTAAACAATATTAGCCAACTCCACGCTTATCCTTATACAGTACATGCTTTTCCATTAATCCTTTTACTCCCTGGAGTGACAAAAATGGAATTTCTCCTTACAATTCAAATACAGTTTAAAGCAGAAGAGTGTTGAGATGACAGAAACCTATCAATTAGCAGATACTGTCTGATTAAACACTAATTTCTAAGTTAAACAGACAGAGGAGAGAATTAAAATTTAGATCACAAGAACAAAAGAGTAACAAGAAATCAAAGCAAAGTTTAATTTTTATTCCTAGATTCTCATTACAGTTAAATCACCCTTTGAGCAACCCGCCCTGCAGTACCATCTCCAATATTCAAAGTGCCCGTATCACACAAACACCCTCTTTAGATAATTATTGTTTTAGGCCTTGATTGTCTATCAGACATTGACAATGACAGTCTTGAAAGTTATAACATGACACATCAAAGTAAATAGCAATGCCCTTCACCTCTCACACTACTAAAATTAACCACTGACCCTTCTCTCCCCCCCCCCCCATAGATGCAATAATAAGTGATAATGGTCCCAGGTACAAGGGCAGTAAAAGAAGGATCTTGATCTCGTTTCACGCACGAATTTAACCATGCGTTACGTGCACGTAAAACAGTATTTCAAGCGTCACAAATTTAAAAGAGAACACTCCGAATCTCACCTTACCTTGCCTTCCTGTAAGATTCACTCTTCACGTCTTAATTTTGAGCTTAATCACGTGTCACGTTTAAACCATTGCCACCCTCTAATAAGTGTAGAATAAGTGAATTTTGAACTTGATAAGCTTCACTTTGAGCTGACACCACTAGAATATTACTTTTCACGGCTTTCGAATCACTCTAATAGACACCCCTTTCTCTACCTATCGCCTTCTGATTGGCCGAAACAATACTGTTTAATAGCTAAAATATACTAACACGCAAAACTCTTGAACCTACCAAACTAACGTTACGATTCCACAAAGCAGCGAAGACACCAGACCTCTGTGGGTTCAAAGAAACATTTCATGTCAAGAATAATTAGGAGGGAAATGGTTTGTTTCCTTCGCCCGAGGCTCAATGTAAGTTTCAGTATCTAAAGGAAACGTGTTGAGATCGATGCACTCGACGTGCATCGGGTAAAACGTACCTCTCATGTTTGTTTTTCTCCAAGTTTTCCTTCGGTTTATTTTCCGTAATTTGCTGACTAGCTGGTGAATTCGTTGCTCTCTGTCTTACTCTTTCAGACATATTTTCTGTCCTTACGAAGCGAACTCTTAAAGATGTTGATTACTTCACCAGCTCCACGAAAGTTCGTGTTTCGTTAACACTTGTGAGGAAACTGGAAACGAGTGTTTTAATGAAAATTATTAGCATGTCGTGTAAGCGATACTGAAACATCCCCGACTGAAAGCCCACAGGAGCTCAGCTTGTATATAGTTCATGGCTGAATGCCATATGGACGACGAAATGGCCGAATGATATCTGACAATATAGACAACTTAGGTTTGGGTTACTATTCGCCCTTTCCTTATTTGAGAAGCTCTACTTACTTGAGGTGTTTTACTAACTTGTGGTGCTTAACTAACTTGAGGTACTTCAGTTACTTGAAGAACTTCACTTACTTAAGCACTTTCCTTACTGTAGACGCTTTACTGACTTGAGGCACTTTTCTTATTAAAGTTGGTTTCTTTACTTGAGGTGCTTTGCTTGCTTGAGATGCTCTACTAACTTGAGGTGCTTTCCTTTGTTGAGCTGCTTTACTTGAGTTGCTTTACTTCAATGGGGTGCTTCACTTACTTGAGGTGCTTCTCTTACTAGAGGTGTTTCACTTACTTGAGCTTTTTCTCTCAGGTAAGGTGTTTTACTTGAGGTGCTTTACTAATTTGAGTTGCTTCACTTTGTTCTGTACTCCTCTGATACGAAGTTAACTCGAATTAGCGCGGGAATCCTCGTCTCCCTTTGTTCATAGCTATCATAGCCAGCAGGCGCCGAGATAGTTGGGCACGAGAAGAAGGAAAAACACTCTTCCTCAGCTGCCGTTGTTTATTGTCAGGAAATTTTTCTTTACTAAAATACAAGGGCGGAAAATCTTGGGAATAGCGCCTTACTGAACTGTAAATATCTCTCTTTTTTTTTAAAGACCCAAATGTCTTAAGGTTTCATTTTTAATGTTGGTGATTATATAATTTTGCCGATTCCTTTTTTGACAGTTGACTACCACAATTGTTATTTACGATATTTGGTTAGAATAAAGTAGTGCAAAAAGTTGGTAGATTCCGAGTCCAATCTTTCAAATTAAGACGTGCAAACTTCACTTTCTTTCCAAATTGGTCTTTTAGCTGACATAGCGCTTGAATTAAGTCTTTGCAAACTTTTTATTTTTCTACTATTTAAATATTATTTTAAACTTTTTTTGCCACATTTATTAGGTTTCGAAAGAAAGGTCACCTATAACTCAGCTAGTTTATGCTGCGTGGGGAACCCAGGAGTAATTTTTTTCCCTCTAGAATGCCTCTCTACGAGGTCAGCGGTATTACGTCGCAGGTTTTTAAGATGGCGGACGTCAGTGATTCAAATCCCAAATCTGCAGATGAAGGCCTATGCAATCCAAGTGCGAAAGCTAAAAGACTGGGGGTAAATCTTGCTACCCCAGTAAAGCTAAAATAGCCAGAAAAAGAAAAATACAGATCCGGCCGGTAAAAAGCGCTCTACGCGTGGGCAAAATTACCCAAAGGTAAGTTCGTAGCAATGAGTTCAAGAACGTAATCAAAGTGCTCTGTGAGCCAACTTGTGAATTGACACATGATTTTTTTGGATTATGTTTAATGTTATCAGATTTAGGGAATTTTGTGGTTGATTGTCACATCTAGAGTACGAGCAGTAGTTCAGTGTTTGCTAATGTAGCAGAGAAACAAAGTAACGCAGGGATAAGAAGGCATTATAATTGAAATGATCATGCTATTGTATTTGACAAGGGTGGATGATGTCATGTGTTTTAAACGTATATCATTTCTGTTTCTGGTTCAAAAGAAAAGGTTGGAAGTAAATGAGGGTGAAAAGTGAAATTTACTGTCTATCATTGTAAATATTAGAAAATCAAGGCAATACTGTCTTAATGAAAACATTAACGATTCCCTCTTTATCAAATGAGACAAACGGGAACGAGTTTTGAGTGATATAACTAAGCTAAGACTGCCACCGTCATTTTGGATCTCCGCCTGGGTAGATTTTAGTCACGTGCGAGGCAACGTATAATCAATAACAAGATAGAATTTCATTTCAGGCCTATTTATTAATTTTGTGGTGTATAACTTTCGCATTTTAGTACGTAATATGTATTTTGAATCTTCAAATTGTCTTGAAACTTAAAAGAAAATTGTTCTTTAAAAATTCACTGAAAATCGGTAGCTAAAATTGTTAGTTTAGGTGTTATTTGATTTTCGTGTTAACTTGTAATTTCGTTAGTCGCCGGCATCTTCTGTTGCTTCACATAGGAAAAACACACGATACGAAACGTAATGATCGATTTTGTCGTCAATCTCACGCCATAACAGAAAAAGCTTTTGAACATCTGTAAACTCCGAGCGCTTCGCAGTAAGTGATATTTTCAATGAATCTTCGGATTGTTTTCAAGTTCAAGGATTGTAAATTACAATTTTATGAAAAACGAAGGTTGTTCTGTTATTTCAGTGTGAATCCTTGCATGCCTGCCAGTCGCTGGCGCCGCTTGTTGAAACTAAAACGAAAAAAAAAACTCTTAAGATTGTCATTGGCTTCTTTGTCACCCCACCACTATTCTTAACAACAAAGGTCGCCATTTCGTTTGTTTATTGCTCGCCAAAAACTATCAAATGCACTCAGAAGCCTAAAATCGAAAAAAAGTTTACAGGAATCGACCAATCGAGCGGGCGAGCGAGCGAGTGCCATTCCCTACATTGTATCTACAACTCGCTCTTGCGCATGCGCGCAATTCACGAGTTAAAAATGAGTACTCAACTGCAATGGATGGAAAACTGCTACATAATGCTTGTAAAGAAACTATACACAAGAATAAAAGCACTGTCAAAAAGCAAATGAGTTCCTTGAAGCATGTGAAGGCCAAGAAGGCGATTATGGAAAGCAAGAAGAAAGATCAATCGGTTTTGGAATCGACACTTTCCACATCTTAACTCAGCCGAAATCCTCTCCTAGTATTGATCCATCCCAATCAAATTTTTTTTAAGTTCAAAGATATCCTTCCACATTTACGGCAAATAGGACTTTGTATACCCTGAAAATATTGTGGCTTTTTTAGCCTTCTTGTTATGGACTTATATAGCGTTACAGCGTAATATCGAGTCACTTGAAACTTGGCGTTTGCAATCATGTGACTTTAGTTTTTTCGTTTGTTCGTTCTGTATGACGCGCCATTGCAGACAAAAATACTCGTGTGAATTTATATACGACTTGTGCTTTTTAAATACAACTTCTTTTCCCACTTCCAACTTTTTTGTCGCGTCTAGGACTTCGCTTTGTTTACC